GAAGCCCCAGCTCGGCCCAAGGTGTCTTTGAACCCATTTTGTGCCTCCTTACAGAAAATGCAAGTCCTGAATTTGACTGCTGACTCACAGCCCAAACCTTTCTGGAGGCAGAGAGCACAAACCCGACCTCAGCACCCCACCCAGGGAGGCTGGAGCAAGCATTTACCAAACTTTCAGATCCCAAGGTGGAAAAGTGGTAGAGAAATACCAAAAAAAACCCCACAGTTTTGGGGTGTCCAGTGCTGCTGCCTCAGGTACAAAGGTGGGGATTCACACTGGGGCTTTTAGAAGGATCTCCCCTGATGAGCTGATGGTTAAAAAGCTTCTGTGCCAGTCAGGAGTGATGCTGGGCTTTGTTTAATTGTGTCTAAAGCACCTTTACAAAGAGGAAAAAGCCACTGGAAGGAGCTGCAGCAGCTCCCAGCAGTTGGTAGCCGAGGTAGCCCGAGCACTTCAGGGCTGATCTTCTCTCTCTCTAAACAGGAAATGTATTTTTGTCTCAGCAGCACAGGAGAAGCCACCAGGCTCCACCGTGCAGAGCGTGGGGTGCCAAAACCCAGCGGCTCGGCAGCCTGGGGAGGGCTGGGAGGTGCTGGGGGCGCCCAGAGCAGCAGGAGATCCATGGATCCCCCCGCAGGGATCCTCCAGCACACCCCAGGGACAGGCAGGAGCAGCTCTTGGGCAGGAAGAACTGCCACAGTCGGAGAATCTGGGCCAGGGGAGCTGCAGGAGTTGCATTTTCCGTGGCAGGAACAGCTCGGGGTGGGAAGGGGGTGGAACTGGGGCAGCTTTCAGGTCCCTCCCCACCCAGCCCACCCTGGGTTCTGCATTCCCCAGGGATGATTCCATTCCTGAAGGCTCCAAGGGTGTTTTTGGAGACAACATCCCAGAGCTCCACCATCTCCTTCCTCATCATCACCATCCCCAGGTAATTGATTGTCCCTGGATGAGGGAAGACCCTGGGTCAGCAGTGTGCTCATTCTATGTTGCATAATTTTTAACTCCCCAAGTTTTGCCCAAGGTTTACGTTTGAGTTCCAAGCACTTGGAGTTGTGGGTTCAATTAGGGTTTTCTCCTTTTTTAAAATAAATTATTTTTCTTTGTAAAAACATCCATGCTTTGGTTGTGGAGGAAAGCTTTGGAACCACAACTGGCCATAAACTGCCAAACCCAGGGAGCAATTCATTCATTTATTTATTATCAACTGGGAGCCTCAAGACTTCAACAACTCCAGGATTTTGAGATTTTGCAAAGCTAATCCAGAGCAGGATCTCGTTCTGAGATTCTCGTTTGGTGGGGTCACACCAGGGCCTTTGTAGCCAAGCAAACAAAGCTGCAAAATCCTCATTGATTCTGGCCTGGCTCCTGTGTGCTGCCAGCACCTGCACAGAGGAGGAAACTCCTGGTGCTGAATCCAGGCCTGAAATCTGCATTTCTGCTCTATTTACAGAGAGCAGGACAAACATTGCAGTGTCCCCCTCTCTCCTGGGCTGCATTCCTGACCCTGCCTGTCCCCAGAGCCAGGACAGCCCCTCCTGCCCTGAACAGCCCCTCCTGCCCTGCTGCCCAGCAGGAGACACCGGTTTTGGGAAGGTGTCCCCAGAGCTGTGACTGTCCTGGAGCTCTGAGAGGTGTCCCCAGAGCTCTGAGAGGTGTCCCCAAAGCTCTGGCTGTCCCTTGTCCCAGCACAGCCTCACAAGGGGGACTCAGAGTTCTGGGAGGTGTCCCCAAAGCTGCGACTGTCCCAGAACTCTGAGAGGTGTCCCCAGAGCTCTGAGAGGTGTCCCCAAAGTTCTGAGAGGTGTCCCCAGAGCTGGGACTGTCCCAGAGCTCTGAGAGGTGTCCCCAGAGTTCTGAAGTGTCCAGAGCTGTGGCTGTCCCTTGTCCCAGCACAGCCTCACAAGGGGGACTCAGAGTTCTGGGAGGTGTCACCAAAGTTCTGGGTGGCTGTCCCAGGGTTTGGGGAGATGTCCCCAAAGCTGTGGCTGTCCCAGGGTTTGGGGAGATGTCCCCAAAGCTGCGGCTGTCCCAGGGTTTGGGGAGATATCCCCAAAGCTGCGTCTGAACCCGGCAGGGAGGGGTGGCCTTGCTGTGGCTGTGCAAGCAGGAACTGGCAACCACAAAAGCAGCAGAAACCCGCAGAGCCCCAGCCAGGGGAGGTTCAGGAGGAGCAGAATGCAGCTTCTCCCTCCCCTCCCCGACGCTGCTTCGCTGTTTTTGTCGCTCTCACCTCCGCTGTGACCCCGAGGCTCCCGTGGGTGAAGAGGAAGCCTGGCCCCAGCAGGGCAGGGCAGGCTCCAGCTCTCTGAACCCCCATCCTCTGTGCCCCACAGCCAGCCCAGGGGGCTCCTGAACCTCTGCACCCCAAGAACAGCCCGGGGACACGCAGGGGGCACCTTGCACCATCCACAGAATTCACAGAATCACCAGGTTGGGAGGGACCTGAAAGATCGAGTCCAGCCCAGCCCCAACACCTCAGCTCAACCCTGGCACCCAGAGCCACATCCAGGCTTTGTTAAACACACCCAGGGATGGGGACTCCACCACCTCCCTGGGCAGAACATTCTGGAACTTTATCACTCTTTCTGTAAAAAACTTTTCCCTAATATCCAACCTAAATTTCCTTTGGTGCAGCTGAGGCTGTGTGCTCTGGTTCTGTCAGCTCCTGGAGAAAGAGCCCAGCCCCAGCTGCCCACAGCCACCTTTCAGGAGCTGTGGAGAGTGACAAGGTCACCCCTGAGCCTCCTTTTCTCCAGGCTGAGCACCCCCAGCTCCCTCAGGGGTTCCTCACAGGGTTTGTGTTCCAAACCCATCAACAGCCTCGCTGCCTCCCCTGGACACGCTCCAGCCCCTCCATGTCCTTCCCAAATTGGGGACCCAGAGCTGGGCACAGCACTCGAGGTGTGCCCTCAGCAGTGCCCAGCGCAGGGGCAGAATGAGCTCCCTGCTCCTGCTGCCACTCCATTCCTGACCCGGGCCAGGGGCCATTGGCCCTTTGGCCACCAGGGCACTCTGCTGGCCCCTGCCCAGCCTGCTGCCAGCAGTGCCCCCAGAGCCCTTTCTGCCTGGGCACTGCCCAGCCACACCGACCCAGCCCCGAGCATTGCAGGGGGGTCATGGCCACGGGGTGGTTGTTGTGGCCACGGGGTTGTTGTGGCCAGGGGGTGGTTGTTGTGGCCAGGGGGTGGTTGTTGTGGCCACGGGGTGGTTGTTGTGGCCACGGGGTGGTTGTTGTGGCCAGGGGGTGGTTGTTGTGGCCAGGGGGTGGTTGTTGTGGCCACGGGGTGGTTGTTGTGGCCAGGGGGTGGTTGTTGTGGCCACGGGGTGGTTGTTGTGGCCAGGGGGTTGTTGTGGCCAGGGGGTTGTTGTGGCCAGCAGCCCTGACCCCAATTCCCCACTCCTGGGCCAAGCAGCAAACCCCAATCAGAAAAGAACAATAAACTATTTACAGAAACCACCCCAGTCCTATCTGCTTCAAAAGGCATTTCTGGTCAAACCAGTCAATCAGGAACAATTCTCTGTGAAAATTCAGAGGATTAAAATGGAGCCTTTTCTTGGCTGTTTTGTTCTGGGGCTGACAGGCCGATGTTTGCTGCAGGTAAACAACACAGCCCTGTTTATGGGCCACAGTGCAAATATTTCCCAGCCTGTTTATTCTGCAGGCAGGAAGTGATTGCAGAATAAGGACACCCCAGCCCTGCTCCTTTCCAGAGGCTTGGGAGCAGCTGGGATAAAACCCATCAGCTGGATAAAAACTATTAGTTGGGTAAAATCCATCAGCTGGAATAAAATCCAGCAGTTGGGTAAAACCCATCAGAATAAAACCCAGCATCTGGGTAAAACCCATCAGTTGAGAAAAACTCATCAGATGGAATAAAATCAATCCGTTGGGTAAAATCCATCAGTTGGATAAAATCCATCAGTTGGAAAAACCCATCAGTTGGAATAAAACCCATCAGCTGGGTAAAATCCATCAGTTGGAATAAAATCCATCTTTTGGATAAAATCCATCAGCTGGGTAAAACCCATCAGTTGGGTAAAATCCATCAACTGGAATAAAATCCAGCAGTTGAGTCAAACCCACCAGTTGGAATAACTGATTCATTCCCAGCCTGCAAATTCCCACAGAATCCATGGCTGCCCCATCCCTGGCAGTGTCCCAGGCCAGGCTGGAGCAGCCTGGGGCTGTGGGAGATGTCCCTGCCCATAGATGAGCTTTAAGGTCCCTCCACTCCAAATAATTCCAGGATTTTGGGGCTCCTCTCCCAGGATTTCACAGGTTGTGCCCTCACCCTCTCCCAGCACAGAGACCCAGTCAGGGCCAGGCAAAATCCCTGAATTCAGAGCAGGCTGAGGAGGCATTTCTGGAAATAAATAAATTTCCAGCAGGCTCCCCTGAGATGTGAGCCAACATTTAATATTCTGCCTTTGCCAGGCTGACCCAGGCCCATGAAAGAAGAATCTCATTTCTCAGTCTCGAGACAGAATCTCCCTCAATTCCTTTCAAGTGTATTTCTTGAAAAGTTCTTGAATCTCTGTATTCCTGCTCTCCCTGAAACAACTGCTTATGTCTTTAAAAATCCACCAACAAAAAAAACCAAAAAACCCAAACAAAACAAAAAAAAGGAAAAAAAAAAAGAAAAAAAAGGAAAAAAAGTCCTAAATTACTCCAATTTGTCTATTACAGATTCTATTAAAAACAAAAACAACAAAAACAACAAAACCCAGGCTTTTCCCTTATGTCTCAGGTGTATGAAGAGTCTTAATCTAGCCCCACTGCTTAAGAACATAATAAAGAACATTCTTGTTTGCATTTACCTCACTTGGGAAAATGCAATAGAAAGGTAAGAAGTTGTTAAACTTGGTCTTTTTTACACTTAAAAGCCCTTGGTGGTGTGGGGAAAAGGATATTCAAGAGTGAGAACAAGGATTTGCACCCAAGAAGATTTTCCTTTTCCTTCTGGCACCTTGCTGTCCAAAAAAAGGAAATGGGGAAAATGTTTCAAAGTCACTTAAGTGGTTTTATTTAAAGGTGTAAAACCAGTTTAATGGGAATGAAAGAACTGAGCCACTTCCAAATGTGAGACTTGTTCTGCCTCTGAGAAATGTGTTATTAATTTAAAATTAATGGCCTGACTGTTTCTGGGAACAGAAGCTTCTTCAAATTCAGTGTCATAATCAGCAGTGAAGTGAAATTAAGGGGAAAAAATTAAAACAGGACCAGTTAGGGAAAAAGAAATGACAGCCTAGTGTGGTAAATTGGATTATAGACAAATTATTCCTTCACTCATTTCTCAGGAAGCAAAACAGAAACACCACAATAATCTCACCTTCATAAAACACTCAGAAAACCACTAAGCTTAGAAAAAACCCACCTGAATTCCAAGCAAAGACTTTAAAACAACAAAAAAAAAAATTCAGTACTGGCTTGGTCTTGAGAGGAGGAAAACAGAAGTTCTCAGGCTCAAACAATTGAAATTAATCAAAAATATCTGAACAGCGTGGTAATGAGGTAAACCAACAGAGCCCTGTGGTCGGGGGAGGCAGTTGTTGATAATGAAACCCAAAAATCTTCTCCCACGGCCAAGACCTGAGCTGGAAACGCTGCAGGAGAAAAGAGAGGGTGACAAATGAAATGTGGTGATGCTGGAGCTGTTATCTTCCCCAAACAGAAACCTGAAAAAGAAAAGATAAATCAAATACAATCCCAGATCCTGATCAAGATTCATGAGCCAACAGTGAATGTGAGACAACTTTTGGATAGAAAGCAGAATGTAGAATTTTGCAGGGAAAATTAAATATTCTTGAGAAAGACATGGCTCTGTACTGGCCCTTTTCCTCATGATAAAAAACTCACCAACCCAGGATTGTGATGTCAGTTCGCAGGAGGCGCTTGGGACTCTTGGGCAGTACAAAAATGAGGTGGGGGCAGCTGGGGTCCGGGACACATCCATCGCTGTTCAGAATTTCATAAGGAAAACATTGACTCAGGGCCACCAGCTCCTGAGCACAAATTCCGGCCCTTTTTCCCTATGAAACAAACTCACCACCCCAAGTTCCTGATGTCAGTTTGTAGGGTTCGGTTGGGACTGTCAGGGCAGCACAGGTTTGAGATGTGGGCATCTTGGGTCTAGGACACATCCTTTGGCTTACGGAATTTCAGGAGGAAAACATCGACTCAGGGCCACAAGCCCCTGAGCACAAACACCGGCCCTTTTTCCCAGGGAAAAGCAACAAAACTTGCTACCCTCAGATCCTGATGCCAGTTTGTAGGGCTCCCTTGGGACTGTCAGAGCAGCAAAAGTTCCAGGTGGTGGAACACTGGGTCTGGGACACATCCTTCGCTGTTTGGATTTTCGGGAGGTGGCCGCACACTCAGGGCCACAGGCCCTCAAGCATAAACGTCTACCCTTTTCCCTTTGAAACAAAACTGGCCAGCCCAGATGCTAATTTGTTTGCAGGGCTCCCTTGAGACTGTCAGGGCAGCACAAGTTTGAGACGTGGGCATCTCGGGTCTGGGACACATCCTTTCGCGTATGGAATTTAAGGAGGAAAATATTGACTCAGGGCAACGAGCACCTGAGTAAAAACAGCGGCCCTTTCCCCTGGGAAACAAAACTTCCACCCGCAGATCCTGATGTCAGATTGTAGGGTGAACATGGCACTGTCAGGGCAGAACAAGTTCAAGGTTGTGGAACACTAGTGCAGGGCCACAGCCTTACCTGGTTAGATTTTTGGGAGGTGGCCGCACACTCAGGGCCACAGGCACTAAAGGAAAGACGCAAAAGCATTTCACCTTGAAACAAAACTCACCAGCAAAAGTTCCTGATGTCAGTTTGTAGGGCTCCTCTGGGACTGTCAGGGCAGCACAAGTATGAGGCGGGGGCAGCTCCTGTCTGGGACTTATCCGTCGATGTTCGGGTTTTTTGTAGTCCGCTGCCCGCTCAGCGCCAGAGGACCCTGAGCACAATTGCCGGCTCTTTTTCCTTATGAAAGAAAACTGGCCAGCCCGTGTTCCTGATTTGTTTGCAGCGTGTTTCTGGGATTGTCAGGGCATCACAAGTTTTAGATGTAGGTAGTTTAGGTCTTGGACACCTTATTCGGCGTATGGAATTTCAGGAGGAAAACATCGACTCAGGGCCATGAGCCCCTGAGCACAAACTCTGGCCTTTTTCCCTATGAAACAAAACCGGCCAGCCCAGGTTCATGATGTCAGTTTGCAGGGTGCACTTGGGACTGTCAGGGCAGCACAAGTCTGAGGCGGGGACAGACGAACAAACGTAGAAATCTGCCCTGTACCCAAAATTCCAGACGTTTCCATCTCATTCCAGAGCTCCCATCTTGCCCTCCCATAGAGGGAGGAGGTAGAACCTCTTATAACAAACATATAACAAAATATACTATTCTTTTTATCTATTTCACATGAATAGATATAACAAATTATACTGTTCTTTATTATCTTATGACCAACTATATATACTAAATTATACTATTCTTTATTACCTATTTCATACTTTCATAAGCACTAATCTATACCAAAATTTCAAAAACCCTCTCTATAAAGAATAGTTAAAATCAATACTTCTCTAAAAATCAAAACCCCTCAAAACAAACGAAAGAAATCTTCCTTATACCTGAAATTCCAGCACATTCCAGAGGTTTTCATCCCATTCCAGAGGTTCCACCACCTCCCTCGCTGGGAGGGCCAGGTGGAACCTCTTATAACAAACTTATGACAAACTATACTATTCTTTATTACCTATTTCACACAAATAGATATAACAAACCATATTATTCTTTATTATTACAAACTATATATAACAAATTATACTATTCTTTATTTTCTATTTCACACAGATATAGAAAACTATACTATTATTTATTGTAACAAACTATAACAAGTTATACTATTCTTGTCTATTTCATACTCTAATAAATGCTAACCCATGCCAAAATCTCAAAAACCCTCTCAGATAAAGAAAAGTTAAAACCAATATTTCTCTAAAAATCAAAACCCCTCAAAACAAACGAAGAAATCTTCCCTGTACCCGAAATTCCAGCACATTCCAGAGTATTTCATCCATTCCAGGGTTCAACCTCGCCCTCCCAGCACCCTCTGCTGGCACATCGCGGGCACAGCCGCGCATCAAAATGAGCCAAAATCGGGAAAAATCCGCCCCGGAGCTGCAGGAAAGGCGATGGAATCTGCCCCAAAGGATTTGGTAAAAGGAGAAATTCCCTGCGTGACCTCCAGAGGTGGAGAGAGCACCTGGGGCCGGGCCGAGCCCTGCCTGTGCTTGCCATGACAACAGGCAAAATTGATTGATCCCAAATTCCTGATGAATTTTTCCATAAAAAGTTTCCCATCTGCTGGGACACACCAGGGGAAGCTCCTGGAGGGGAAGATGACATTCCAAGGGTTTTGTCCCTCCTCTCATCTCTCCCTCAAATTGGTTTTGGACCTTAAAATCTCAATTTAGAACTCCAGGAAGAGCCTGGGCAAAGCACAATTTTCTGGATTATTTCATTCTTCCCGGTCAGTTCTCAAGCAATGATGGGAAAGTCATACCTGGCCCAAAGCTGGCATCACCTCCTCAGAGAATTCCAAGGAATTCACCCCAAAACTCTCAGAGATGCTGGAAGATGAACACTTTTTACCTCTCACAGGATGATCCCCTTGGAGCAGCAGAAAAATGACACCAGTCGTGTTCATGGGTTATAAAAGCCCTTTTATAAAGCCATTTTTAAACAAAACCAAAAAGTTTACAAAAGAAAATAAAAGATACAGAAGAATGAGTTGCTTAATATATTCCAAAAAGGAGAAAAATAAAAGAGGGGACACAATTCCAACATGCTGAACAATAAAGGGTTCATTTTTTTCCTCGTGGTTCTTTTTTTTAATACAAAATACAAGCGAAGGATACACATACTTAAAACAGAGCTCAGGAGCAGGTATGCAGTCCCAGGAACCCTTTTTCAATCAAAGCAAAGCAGGGTTTTTGTTATTTTTTTTGTTTTTCTTTCTTTGCAGGTACATACAGAGACTTGGAATATGTCAAATTAATTAGCACAAAAGACCATCACACAATTCTACCAATGAATGTTTGCATCTAGAAATTCACGAACATGGTCAACAGTCATGTTCACTTCAACCCCTTAAAAAAAAAAAACCAAAACCAAAGTGTTTTTGTTTTTAATTTTAAATAAAGCATTAATGTTACATTCAGACTTAACTCCTAGTACCATGCTAGATCTCAGGGTTGTCAAGAGCTCCTAACCCCACAGCGATGACTGTTTGCAGCTGCCCCTTCTTCCTGCTTTTGAAATTAAACAAAAAATAATAATAAAAATTAAAAAGGACAAGGAGGGGAACTGCAAAGAGCCTGAATTTTTTTTTCACTTGTTTTTTTTTTCTTCCAAAAGCTCACCAGGGGAATTGCAGATACTCGAGACAAAATATTCATTGCATACCAGAAAATGCTGCCAGTCTCCTCCTCCACCTTCACACTGCTCACTCAGGGTTTGCTGTGACATGATGGCAAACAACAACAAAAAAAATTACGTAGCTCTTATTTACAATTATTTTTCTTTGTAACAATTGCTTCTGCAGGAAGGGGGGGGGGGGGGAAATAAGAAAAAAGAAATAAAACCTCACAAATGCTGAGAACACAAAGGGAATGGGATGTCAGACACTCCCGCTCGCGCACTCACACACCGAAGATTTTGGGGTTTTTTTACACACATTTAAGTCTGGCTTAAGCTGATTTCAGGATCTCCACACCCACCCTCCTCCCCCCCCCCCCATCCCAAAATATATATATAAAAAACCCTGGCCCCACTGTACAGAGCGTTTGCACACGGGTGCTTTGCAGTCACACTGAGCATGCTGGGCACGGTCGGGGCTGGCGCTGGGGAGCAGCACCGGGCAAGGCCGGGCTGCACCCCACAAATATTCATGGTTTGACAGCAAGAGTTCCATGAAAAGACATTCAGCTACTCAAGTGGGAAGGTTCGGATTTGATTCAGAGCTAGGCTGGGCTTGGGGAGGTCTCTGAAGGACACTGTCGGCTCTCCCTGCTCTGATGGGCTCAAAAAAGCCCAAAAATCCTCCTGGACAAGCAGAACAAAGTGTTAAAGTGTCGCTTCTGTTCCATCAGCACTGGGACTGAAGCCTCCTAAAACTGCAGGGAAACACTCCAAGCTGAGGGGAAATGCTCTGTTGGGTCAGATACACACAGAATTTCTCATTTCCACAGAAAACTGTGGCAGCAGCTTCCCCAAAATCACCCATCCTAAACGCCACCGACCACTCCGTGCCAGCGTCCCTCCAAAACTGCTCCAACTCCTGCCCCCTCAACAGATGAATGAATTCCCCATCAAACACCAAAACTCCTGGATCACTTTGTAGCTTTTAGGAACCGTGTGTTCAACGTTAGGATCTGTTAGAAAAATAAACACTTCACGAACAGGACAGAAAAGCAAAGCACCAGGTTTGTTTTTTTTGTTTTTGTTTTTTTTTTTTTCCTACAGCTCCAAAAGCTTCCAGCATGGTACAGATTCCTTCCCTCCCTCTCTCACCTGGCTGCCTCAGTGGCTCTTGTACCTTTGTGGCTATCAGTAGAGGGAATATTCAAAAAAAAAAGGGAAAAAAAGGATAAAAAAGGAAAAAAAAACAACAAAACCCAGGAATTTCAGATTTTTGCGCTGCCCTGGTGGTGCTGCTTCTCTCCCCTCACTCTCTGCCTTGAGGAAATTAAAACTGATCAAAAACTCTTCAGCTGCCCCATTTTTAAGCCACTCCTGACCCCCTTAACTCAGCACAGTTGTCATTCTTCTGCTGACCCCCCTGGAACTGAACCAAACCATTTTTAGCACAAAATCCAAGCTGAAATTGCAGATTTTGACTGATTTTAAAAAGTTCAAGGCAGGATGTTGGCAGGAACCAGAGGTGGAGGTGCTGGTGTGGATTTATGGAAGTTCTGAAATTTTAAAAGCAAGGCTAGGGCAGAGCCGGAGCCTGACTGAATTTTGGAATAAATCCATTTTACCTCTCTGCAAAGGCTCCAGGACTACAGCTGTGGGAGAGAATCTTTTTAAAGCCTCCTCCTGTGAATGAAACTTTCTGCTCCATAAAAATCCCTTGGTGCTCCTAAAGAAAGGCATTTTCCCAGCTTTCCTTCCAGAATCTTTTAATACAAATTAATTCCAATGGGCATTTAAAAAGATGAAGTCTGCTGCTACTGAAAAACAATGTATGTGAAAATAAAAATATTCAAAATCATAGAAATATTCACCTTGACAATTTTCTCCCATCTGTAAAAATGTGAAATTGCTGTATTTCTAACAGAGACCATTAGGGTTCAGTGTTTGTACCAATCAGCAAAACAGGGTTAGAAAAAGTTACAAAATCCTGAAAATCTGGGATTTTCATGGTGTTTGGGACACTCAGAAAGGAGCATCAGGCAGCCTCCAACCCACCAGAAATGAACACGTGAGAATGCAGAACAGTTCTGTGGAACAAAAGGCCAAAGCTCCAGGGTAAAACAATCCAAAAACTGCCTGAAATAACAGAAAAATGATGTTTCACTGCCTCAACTTCTCTTAAAAAATAAAAAAAAAATGAAACAACCAAAAATATATTTGAGGTGAGACGCACAAAATACACTTCAGAAAACATCAGGTGTGGCAGGTGAAGAACCAGAGCCCCTGGAATTCTTGTACACCTGAATTAAAGGAAAACCTTAAGAACCCATTGAAACATTTTGGACTGCAGGGCAACAGCTCTGGGAACCAGAGAATTGCACAAGTGTTTGCTACCCCCAAATGGTTTTTATTTTTAAAATGCAGCCATTTATTTTCCCAGAATTACCCAAGAAGTTGAGGGAATTTCTGCTCTCCCTGCAATCCAGCAGGTGGGAAGAGCTGTGGGAGAGGAGAGGGGATTACATTTTCTTTTTCAAGACTGAGATCTCCCTGCAGCCTGATCCTGCTCTGGAAAAAAAAAAAATTAAAAATATCAAACCATTGTAAAAAAATAAAAATAGATTTACAATGAAACAACATCATCTTTATTGTAACTGCAACAGTAGTTCCATGAGAGTCAAGAACGTTAGAGAACTTCAATTTTTATAAGGTAAAGGAATTTACCAGCCTCAATAAAATCCAGGGAATCACACAGGACAATCACTCAGCTGCTGGAGGAATATTCCATTCCCCACCTGAATCAGGCTCCTTCCTGATCATATTTAGTGTAGGAACTCTCCAAAATCCCAAACAGGATTCAAAATCTGCTGCCACCAGAAATCCCAACTCATTAATTAGCTGCCTTATGTTACCTTCGAGAGGCTGGTTACAAAATGGGGAGTTCTGTGACAAAAAAAATAAAACCCCAAAAAACAAGAAAGATGCAAAGCTTGTCAGCCCGAAGAGAATGTGAGCAACAGACAGAAGCACAGAGGGTTTAAGGAAAAAAATAAAAATAAAAATGGCAGGTCCAGTTTTCAATGTTTCCACCAACAAAAGTGGCAGAAAACTGTCTGAGGGTGTGAAAACCGAGGTTTGTGGAGTTTCATGAAGTTCAGAAAATAAAAACCGTGAAGGGAAGGATATGGCTGCTCGGATAAAACCACATTAAAATGGCAGCACACACCTCGAGTGTCCTGCTGTGCCAGGGACAGGCTGATGGAAGCTGCTGCCAGCCCCAGGGCCCCTGGAGCTGATCCCACAGGAACCTGGGAGCTGATCCCACAGATCCCACAGAGCCCTCAGGGACCTGGGAGCTGATCCCACAGATCCCACAGGGCCCCTGGAGCTGATCCCACAGGAATCCGGGAGCTGATCCCACAGATCCCACAGGGACCCGGGAGCTGATCCCACAGGAACCCGGGAGCTGAGCCCACAGATCCCCCAGAATCCTGGGAGCTGATCCCACGGACCCCACAGAGCCCTCAGACCCCACAGGAACCTGGGAGCTGATTCCACAAAAACCTGGGAGCTGATCCCACAGATCCCACAGGAGGGGTGAGGAGAAAATCCCACAGGCAGGATGGGAGCAGAACCCAGAGGCAGGGGAGAGGAGCAGATCCCACAGGCAGGAGGGGAACAGATCCCTCAGACCCCACAGGGAGCAGGGTGGGGACAGGGCAGTGACCCCTGGAGCTTTGCTGAGGGCAGCAGGAGGGAAGAGAAACACTCAAGCCTGACTCATGGGATCTCAAGTGACCAGAACACTACAGGAATCCTTTGCTCACACCCACAAAAGGACATCCCTCGCCCCAAAACCTGAAGAATTTAATTTTACATTATCTGTTTTTGTTTTGTTTTTTTCCCTTGGAAAATTCTATAATAAAAACATTTTCCACGGTACCCAATGGAAAGCAGTTTTAAAACTGATTTTGCAATTTCTCTTCCCTGTTCTGCCCCTCTACAGCAGGAATAAAAGAAGGGTGACTGGATATGGGAAGGCTGTAGATTGAATATCTGAATTTCTCTGGAATGGGCTGCAATTTGCCTACAGCAGCACAGTTTTCTATCCAGCAGAGACAAAACTCTCCCATCCTGACTGGAGGGTCTTGTCTAAATCAAAGACACTGGAGCATCTCCGAGTTTCTTGATTGCTTTCCATGAAAAACGTGCCTGAATCCAAGAAACACAGGATTCCTCCCTGTGTTCCATCCTCCTCCACTGGAATTAGATCCACTACATTTTTGCTGAGAGTGAACTCATCTCAAAGTCTTTTAAAGCAGAGGCTCATTATTTTTTTTTTCCATATATTTCAAATACAGAATAATAGTTTTAAACAGCTCTTACCAGCACTGGGAAAAATCTATTCTACTTAAGGATTTGTAAGTATGCTTTCCACAGATCAGTCTCAAACCTTATTGCTTCACAACTGCAGTATCCCTTGAAACAAAAATAAAATATTGAATGGTCTGTTAATTTGTCTTAAATGGCTTTTCAGATTTGGCAGGGGAGGGAGAACGGAATGGCCAACAGAGAACATTGACTTCAAAATATTACTGTAGAAGGGTTTCCTCTTATTAAAAAAGAATACACTGTATTAAACAGCTGAAAGTAAAGACAGCATTCAAAGCCCATGAGTCAAGCCACAGCCAAAACCGTGTTCTACCCCTAAGTATTGTTTTCTTTTCCTTTTTCTTTTTTTTTTTCCTCTTTTTTTTTTTAAACAAAGATTTTCCTCAACTGCCATTTTAATCTTCACCAGAGGGTGCTTCATCTTCAGATCCCTCATCCCCTGACTTTTCTGGTGGAGGGCTGGCTGATTTTTTCTTTTCTGGGGGACTTTCAGGCTCTTCATCCTCTTCTTTGGGGGATGGGGTCTTTTCTTTTGTTGCCTTGGAAGCTGTGGGGCGACCTGCCTTCCCTTTGCCTTTCACTGGGCTGGGGGTCACTGGAAAAAGAAAAACCTTGTAAAACTCAGCAGCAGCACAGGCAGAAAAACTCAACAGTAATAAATGGGATTTCAAAGTCATTCAGCAGCAGTTTGACCACACCCACAATGTTTTTAGCACTCCCAATTAGCAAAACTGAAGTGAAGAGCAATCTAAGAAGATTTAAAAGCTGTTTAATTGCTGGATGTGACATCACAAATGGACACAGCTCTTGTCAAAGCAGAACACACATTGCTGCTATAATTTGAAATTTCTGCAGAAATCCATCCAGTTTTCCTCTGCTTCTCATTTCCCCATCCTGACACCGTCAAAAAGTCCCAAACAAAGCCACAAATTGTTATTATTTGGCTGTGAGACACACAAAGTCAGAATGCAGCACCTCAGCAGGAAAGGTTTTCAATACCATGAATTTTGACCCTCAAGACACAGATACCAAATCAACCCCTAAAGGAAGAATTAAAGCCAGCTCATTATTCCATCCTGCTGCTTTGAATCATGGCATTTTGGCCCTTCCAACATTTTTGTGGATGTCTGTGACCCCAAGAATTCAACCAAGCTTCTGCAGCAAAAAGAAAATCTGGGTTTTAAACTGAGAAACTTGCATTGCACAGACTCACCTGTAGCCTTTAGCCTGGGCTTGGGCATTTTCTTTTCTTTCCTCTCTGGCTTGGATTTCTTGGAGACCTTCTTATTTTTCTTTTTTGAACTGCCATAGTCACTGTCATCATCATCTTCCATGAGGAAGTCTTCATCACTTCCTGAATCTGCTGGAAGCATAAGGAAATTTCAGATTTTTTGGGAAAAAAAAAAGAAGAAAGTAAAAGATGTACTTGAGATCTGCCAGTTAAATTGTGGAATTGTGGACATAGACTCCGAGACCTTGTGGGCTTCCATTTATCTGCTGTGGTACAAAATCTGACTGGGTTTTTATGTCAGCAAAGCACGGGGACAGCAAAAAGCATTGAGAAGTTTATAATTATCCTTTAGGGCTGCTTACAAATAAACAGATCCCTGGAAAACACACACATCCCTGGAAAACACACACTCACATCCCTGGGAAAAAATAAATCTTCATCTGCAAGGAAAAGGCACCAAGATGAAGTTTCCTGTCTCACAGATTGCACAGATTCTTCCAGATTCACTGAGTGAACTCTTCAATTATTTAATGCTTTTCTAAAATCTGTCATTGAACCTTAAAAACTTTTGACTCCAAAAATTCCAAAGCAGTTTGGAAGCACTGGCTTATCTCCCACTGTACATGACCAACACCAAGCATGCAGAACAGCAAGTGGTGCAAATTCATGACAGATTCCAACTTTCAAGTTGCAGAAAGTTGTCACAGCCAAATTTATACAATTAATGACTTAAATCTCATTCTGGATAAAAACTGCAGGGAAGGGATCAACAGATCTACCCTCTTGTGAAGACAAATTTTGTATGACACACACACACCTTTACTGCAAACTCAGAGCACAAATTCCAGCTGTGAAAACCCAACTTGGAAAGTAAAAATGAAGTTAATGAGGAGCACAATTTCTGTCCTCAGCGTCCCAGCCAAAAAGCAAACTGTGTCCCTTTTTCCAATCCCATTTACTCACTCTCCTGGAACTGTGCCTCATCATCCTCTTGCTCTTCCTCCTCACTCCCCACATCATCCATGAGCATCTCCCGCTGTTTGGAGGCTGCTTTGGATGCCGCCTGCCGCTGCTGACGAACATTTTTGTGATCTTCCTTCTCATCCTCGCTGTCCTCTGCAGAAAAATGCCCCAAATTGGGCTGAGTGCAGAGCAGAGGGGCAGCAGAGGGGCAAAACAGGGGGTTAAAACATTTATCAGGGGGTTAAAACATTCACTGAGTTCCTGTGACAACACTTCAACCTCATCAACACCTTCCTTACTCACCCAAAGATCCTCTGCAGTATTTTCACTGCAAAATAACCATTTTTTTTTCTTTTTTTTTTTTTACCTGCAGGCCTTTTCCTGGATTTGGAGGCTGCTCTCTTATTCTTGTCTGGTTTAGCTTTCTTTCCTTTTTTGCTTTTTTGAGAGCTCTCGTAGTCACTGTCGGCTTTGCCATCGTCAGCTCCTACGTCATCGTCTTCACTGCCAAAATCTTCATCTGCAAGGAAAAGGCACCAAGATGAAGTTTCTTGGATCATTCTGGATAAAAGCTGCAGGGAAGAGATCAACACATCTATCCACTTCTGCAGACAAATTTTATAGGACCATCACATTATACAAAAAAAAGCCCATCATCCCAAACCAGTGTGGGAAGTAACAGCAGCAGGGGCAACACATGACTTAAAATAAATCAGAATTATTTCATTTCTGCCTCAAATCCTACTCCTGCAACTCTCCCAGGTGTGAAGAGACATGATTTAAAGGTACACAATCAGTACAATGTTATCAGTCACCTGCTGAGTGTGAATCATCTTTCTTAGTCTTCACATCTTTGTCTTCTGAATCCTCACTGCAAATGAGAGAACGATAGGTCTTAGTGCTTGTCTCAACTTTGATTTCAGTCACTCTTGTGTGGAAAATAACTTTTAAAGAGCAAACTGATGTCCAGGCTGAGAACTGTCACTTTTCCTGGACATACTTCAGGATTACTCAGCTGTCTGTGGAGTTACCATGGTTGGGAAGATAATGTTCAAACTCTGAATCACAGAAAAACTTAAACCAGGCAGGAAATAATCAGATTGAGGTGAACCATGCACTTCACTCTCAAACCAACCCACAATCCACATGGCTTCCAGTTTAGTTGTTATTTTGATGGTTTATAAATGAAATAAAGGTTTGTCCTGAATAGATTTTTAGTCAGCACTTGTCTTTATGTCATTGCTTAGTTTCCATTCTGTGTATCTTGCTCTTAACTGGCACATATATGCCCTAAGCTTTCTCCAATGATTTGATCATTTGATTCATTTGGAAAATAAAAGACATCTTGGAGTGATAGAATTAAGAACCAGTTGGCAGAACCTCCATCCCTGAAGCTGAAATCTGTCACGAAAACAAAAAAAAACTTATTTCAAAGGTCTCATGGCAATCATTTGGGGGACTGCAAAATGGAAATTCTACAGGAAACTCATTTTGCAGCAGGGCAGCATTGAGGCTGCTGGAATAACTGAGCTCCCAAACCAAGTGTTTGTAGAGGACCCAAAATGAGGAACAAAGAGCCACAAAACTTCCAAATGTCCCCTGTCCTCAGTGCCACCCTGGCAGCACAGGGATGCTGAGAGGCTGCAGGACATGGGGCAGGAGCTGCACCTTGCCCTGACCCACCTGAGGGTGCAGCAGCTGCCAGCCCTCGTGCCTGGATCCCACTTCCTGCCACTGCAGCTGCTCTGGAGCTGCTGGAATGATGGAGCAAGGCTGGGTGTCGGAACTCAAAATGTCCCTCAGACATTTTTGGATGTTCCAGGCCCCGGTCAGAAGCATTTGAGACCCTGGCAGGCAGCTGGAAACAGCTGTGATTTTGGGTTTGAGCCATGGAATGATTTACCAACCTTGCAGAAAGAACAAGAAATCACAAAAGTTTAGATGTTATAGTAGAAGTAGTCACAAAGTGGAGGGAAGAATTTTTGAGTGCTGTACAGGGGGGTTTTGGTTTTGTACATGGGGTCAGAGGGTTTAAGATGGAGGGATCTGGGCCTGCCCTGTCCTCCCTCTTTCTTCTTCCTTCCCTCCATGTTCTTGGTGATGTTGGCACTCCCAGATTGGTTTAGAGTAGAAAAGCACCATTTAATATAGGTAATGGGCATTGGGGAAAAACTGTACCCATGTAACACGTAATGTACCATATAAAAGACAGCACAGCCCTGGGCAGAGGGGGAGAGAAGAAGCAGTCGGGAGTCAGAGAGGATGTCAGGGTGTGTGTGTGCCTCTGCCTGAGCTGTGAGCAAACCACAGCAGCCCCAGAAGAAAATCTTTTAGATAACTTGCAATAAACTGCCTTGAGACCAAACAACAGACACTGCTGAGCCTTTCTTTGGCAGCACGGACTGGAGGAGAGATTTTTCCACCACACGGAGCCACCTCCGACCTAGGGTGAGCCCCAGCAGCTGGGAACTGTTCCACACCTGATTTCTGGGGCTGCTCCCTTCAGGAGAAACCCCCTCAGTGTCCCAGCCCTGACTGAGCTCCCAGTCGCACTTCTCTTGGGAGATGCTGCTCCCCACACACAGGACAAGGCTCTGAGCAATGTTGCTGAGAGACGAAAAGCTGCTTTTTTTAAATTATTTTTTGGTTTTTTACCTGTCCTCCTGAGAATTCTTCCCAGATCTCCTCTTGTTTTTAGCCTCTCGGGGAGATGAACGGATTTTCTTGGATGGGGGACCTGAATCTCTTCCATAATCATCATCTGGACAGGACAAAAAGTTTTGGGATCAAACTCATTCCCAGCCAACAGCTCTTCTCAGTCACAACGCAAACTGAACATTTCATGCTCATCAAAAAGAAAAACTTCAAAAAAACTTTGGTGGAAGCAAAGTCCTGGCTTAAAACATTGATTTGAGCTTTGATTTGAGCACCATGAAAATGTTCTTTACAGTGCAATCTCATCCAGGGAAACACAAAAAAAACCTCACCAAGGGGACACAGGATTAAATTTACATTTTGTTATGATATAAACTTATTAAAAATTAACATCCATATGTATTTCTGCATGATTCTAACAGCACTGCCCTGTGATGGGATAAAGGATGTTATTAAACAGGAGTTTTCAGCAGAACTCCTTACAACTATTACACAATACCTTATTTAATGAATAAAACCACTATAATTAAGAACTGTGCATATTTGTCTCACTTTAATTATCACTGCAACCTTAGCATTGAGTTTATCTTCCAAGAACTCAAAATATATTCCAGAAAATTTATTTTAATTCACACAGATTATATATTTTTTTAGAAATGGGATCCAGACTTTTAATCCAGAGATTACATTTCTTCCAAATGTGATCCAGCACTATTTTGTTAATTCACACTGATGATATTTTTTTTAGCTGCAATCCCCCTCAAATGCTTGATAATATGGGCTCAACTGGAGCCATAAAATAAATGGAAAACATCTTTTCCTGTGGAAAAAGTGGCATCAAGGAGCCTCTGCCCCAGAACACAACACAGAGCAAGGAAAGCATTGCTGCCAACAGCCTCCAGGCACTACAACAATACCAGCATTAAATAATAAGATTTCGAGCACCATTGTTTGTTTAATACCAAACATATGAGAATGATTATATTTTCAAATACTTATTAACAGTTCAGGCTGTGAAGAACACAAACTCCTTGGAACTGGAGTTGAAGATGTGATTAGAAGCAGAACAATTAATATGCATGGCAATAACGATCTGTTCCAGCCCAAGGAGATTAAGGAAAAAAAGTCATTTACCAGCATCATCTGATTCCTGAAACTGGGAGTAATCGACCACCTTCCTGTTCCTGTGAAAAAGCATGAGAAGAAAAAATCAGGCATTCATCACTTCAGAGCTACTAAAGCTTCAAGGAACAAGAAATGTCCCATCCTTGTTTCCAGTGCTGCACTTGTAGCCCAAAAACATCCCAAGAAAACTTGGGTAATTCAGCCACTTCCACCTCTGCAGTCAGAAGTGAACACAAAGTACATTAAAGCATAAACAGCATTTCCCTGAGGAGATTTTATAATAATCTGGATTGCAGCCTCAGAATGTGGATGTTCTTTTTGATAAATACACTAGGATTATAAATCAAACGTTTCTAAACTGCTCCTTTCGGGATTTCTGCTTCTCACAGTTCGCCTGCTGTCACACCTTCTCCTCCAATTTTTATTTTCCCATATGATCCCTGTTTTTAAAGCATTTGAAGTTTTCACTGGGGTTTCCAGGAGCTTTCTGAATGAGCTACACTGATCTGGAAGTCAACAAAATCAAATAATCTTCTTCAACTTACTGAAACCTCCAAAATGGAATTGTTGGTTATTTCATCAGCACCTTGTCCATCAAATCCCATTGATAAGATATGAAATCCCAACTCTTTTATTGACAAGGGATCAAATCCCAGCTGTTTTATTGATAAAATATCAAAGCCCAACTGTTTTATTGACAAGATAGCAAATCCCAACTCTTTTATTGACAAGATATCAAATCCCAACTCTTTTATTGACAAGATATCAAATCCCAGCTCTTTTATTGACAAGATATCAAATCCCAGCTCTTTTATTGACAAGGGATCAAATCCCAGCTATTTTATTGATATCAAATCCCAACTCTTTTATTGACAAGATATCAAATCCCAACCCTTTTATTGATATCAAATCCCAACTGTTTTATTGATATCAAATCCCAACCCTTTTATTGACAAGATATCAAATCCCAACTGTTTTATTGATATCAAATCCCAACCCTTTTATTGATATCAAATCCCGACCCTTTTATTGATATCAAATCCCAACCCTTTTATTAACAAGAGATCAAATCCCAACTCTTGTATTGACAAGATAACTGCCCTATAAACAGCAACCAAAGGAAACCAAGATAGCCACAAATTCAATTAAATTTCAGCTGGAAATGCTTCAAACTCAGACTCCAAACTCCTCCTGGAAGGACTGACAGGGGCTGGGAGGAGCTGGAAATACAGAGATTCCCACAGAGCCACGGAAAAATGGGATTTTGCAGCAATCACCACGTGAGCTCAGTTCTTCAGCTGGGAACTCCAGCCAGCACACGGATCCTTCCTCATCCTCCTTCCCTTCTCCTGCTCTCAGCACAATTCACTCTGAGCTCCCCAAACTCAGCTACGTTCACTGGCAGTTCATTAATTATCATTAACTAATTGCTGATTAACTCAGTTCAAAGACACCCCAAAGCCATCACTGCTGAGCCATCTAAAATCAAGTTTAAGTTGCCCTCCTGAGCACCTCTAACTCGTGGCTTACAGAAGGACGCAGGAGCAAAACTGGTTTTATTTCAACCCAAACTTCTTCAATAAATTAAAAAACAAACCAAACAATGAAACCAATCCCTTAAAAACATCCCAAAAATACCAATAAGGCAAATAAAATTAATAAGTTGCTCTCCTGTACAAGCACCTCTAAACTCATGGTTTACAAAAGGATGAAGGAGCAAAACTGGTTTTATTACAACCCAACGCTCTTAAAGAAATTTAAAAACCAAAAACTGAAACCAATCCCTCAAAAACATCCACAAAGATACCAAAAAGGCAAAGGAAAGGAAGACAAGATTTGTACAGGTAAATCAAGTTTAAGTTTAAGTTGCCCTTCTGAGCAGCTCTAACTCATGGTTTACAGAAGGATGCAGGAGCAAAACTGGTTTTATTTCAACCCAAAGCTCTTAAAGAAATTCAAAAACCAAAAAATTAAACCAATCCCCCCAAAACTACCCCAAAAAAGACAAATGAAGAAAATAATTGTACAGGTTGAATCCCATCCAAGCCTTGGAGAGGAGCTAAATCCAACAGCACTATGTTCTCCTGGTCTGAATGTGTCAAAATTCCACTTTAGGGACACAATTATTGGCAATTTTTGATTTACACTCCTATTCCAACAAGCAGCCTTCCTGAACATTGCCCCCTGACCCATCTCATGAGTGAAAAGATGAATTTTTTTCTCGTAAGCATCAAAAGAATTAAGTTATTAGATAAGAAATCTGATTTTATGTATCAAGTATTGGGTTTTTTTCCTATGAAAGAATAAATGGGGTGAAAAAAAGCAGAATTTCCATATATAAACAAGACTTTTAGACATCACTGAGAAAAAATTGTCACTGTGGAAAACATCCTGGAATGAAACCATCCCTTCCCTAAGCACCCAGGCAGAAATCCCTGCTCACTTTTCCTCACGTGGTGAGCAGAAATAATAATTTATTATTTAAAAAAATAATAATAAATTAAAAATTATTGTTTCAAAAGAAACCAAAAGTGAAAAGAAGAAACCAAGTAAAAAGATGAATTTTATTCTGATAAGCATCAGAAGAATAATTAAGTTATTATATAACAAGTCTGATTTGATGCAACAAGTAATGGGTTTTTTCCTGTGAAAGCATAAAGTGGGTAAAAAAGCAGGGTTTTGTATTTAAACAAAAAAATTGCTTTGTATTTTAAAAAAATTAAAAATCATTGTTTCAGAAGAAACAGGAGTGAAGCTGTTGCCATGCAGAAACTGATATTAGTATTTAAAAAATGAAAAATCTTTGTTTCAGTAAGAATCAAAAGTGAAGCTGTTGCCTTGTGGAAAGTGATATTTGTATTAAAAAAGAATAAAATTAAAAATCATTGTTTCAGAAGGAACCAAAAGTGAAGCTGATTCCTTGCAGAAAGTGATATTTGTATTAAAATAAAATTTAAAATAATTTGTTTCAGAAGGAACCAAAAGTGAAGCTTTAATTATCTTATCTTGCAGGGTGGAGCACAGAAGGAATCTCTGCCCTGATGCACTGAAGAGAAAAAGCTGCAAATAAATCTCCAAGAGCAGCAGAGAAGCTCAGAAAGAACCAACCTGGCCCTGCCCTTCCCCTCACCTTTTAGCCCAGCAGGTTTAATTTGATTTTATTTGATTTATTTCTTTATTTGCAGCTGCTGTGCAATAACAACTCCAGGTTTGCACAGAGTTTTACTACACCCAGGTGATAAAAACACCGGAGGGAAGAGGAAGGACAAGGAGCTGCTGGTGGCACTGGAGACATAAAAATAAAATTTCTCTTAAATCCACTTAGGCTGAGCATAAAAAGATAGGATGGGATAGGCATTGTTCAGTGTGGTTTGAGATATAAATTTAAATTTCCTTGTTGATTCAGGTTAAAAATTGTGCATGTAAAAAGTTCAGGTAAGTTTTTAATAACAGCTGTCAGTCCAATTTATTGGATATTAATATTCCTGTTATGTCAATATATCAATATTTACATATATTATATATGTCAATGTTATATGTCAATATTCTTGTTATATGTCAATATGTCAATATTGATATCTATTATATATGTCAATGTCATATATCAATATTCCTGTTATATGTCAATATATTGACATATATATGTCAATGTCATATATCAATATTCCTGTTACATGTCAATATGTCAATATTAATATTCCTGTTTATTTTTGGAATAATAGGAGCTCATCAACATGTTGAGATTGAAGCACTCAGTGAAATTACTCCAGTAATTTAACTACAGCTCAAAAATGCACAGAAATTCTTGCAACCTGCACTTGATGCCTGCCAAAGTGCAATTTTGGAATTATGAAAAACAACATCAACATGTCAAAGGATCACTAAATGTTCATAAAACTGTGAAAAAATGTCATCTTCATACCACATCTTCAGTTTAGTCCCTAAACCCTCAGTTTTTAAATCAACATCAGCACAGCCCTAGAATCAAATAGAAAAGTTTTGGGGGTTTTTTATTTTTTTTTAAGGAAATGCAGAGATTTCCAGATATTTGTACAGACATTAAAACCCACAGATGAAGTCCACATTTAAAAAAAAAATCCACAATATCTAATGCTGCAAGGCAATGCTAAAAGGAGTCATCAAAAATCCAAATTGAAGAGAATGTTTGTATACAACCACCCACCCTCAATCCAACAGGGCAAAGGCAAGGAGATGAAATTATTGAGTTTTTTGCATTTTTTTTTTCAGCACCGCCTTGATTTAACCAATGTAACCAAAATTTCTCAGAATTTGTGAGCAAAGCTCCAGCCCCTCTTCAGCAGTCAGGTTTCACTCTCAGGTAAAGGTGAGACCATTATCATCAGCAAATATTGCCACTAAAAGCACTTTTTGGTGCCTTTTTTATACACAAACAATACAAATTCCAGCCCCAAGTGTTTCCTGCAGGTGTTTTCAGAGCTGGGCAAGGCAAATCTGCAGTGCTGGGTTTGGGCTTTCCATGAACACTGATTTAAAATCACCACCAGGAGGTGGCACAGGGCACCTGGTGACAGTCAGGGACCCAAAATCTGGGTAAAAATTGGACTCGGCACCCACCACTGAGAGGTGAGTGGCACCTGCAGGATTTTCAGGGATCCACACAACTCTGAACTCCACAAAACAATTCAATGCTCACTAACAAATTAAATTCAAACAATTGAAATTAAATAAAAATAATTAAATGCCCACTACAGAGCTCAGATTTGGGTCTGGGCTGACTCCCCACGTCAGGCTCTGCTCGTGGCACATGCAGGATTTTCAGGGATCCAAACAACTCTGAACTCCACATAAAATCAGATACATAAAATCAGATTTCTTATTTAATAACTTAATTATTCTGATGTTTATGAGAACAAAATTCGTGTTGACCCATCATGAGATGGATCAGGAAGCAATGTTCAGGAAGGCTTCTTGTTGGAATGGAGTTTAAATCAAAAATTGCCAATAATTGTGTCCCAGTTCCTGATTTTATGTTCTCTGAAGGATCAAGGTGGAAAAAACTGCCATTTCCATCTTGTTCAGTAGCTCAGTAATGTCTAAAAGTCTTGTTTATATGTGGGAATTCTGCTTTTTTCACCTCACTTATTCTTTCATAGGGAAAAAACCCAATACTTGATACATAAAATCAGATTTCTTATTTAATAATTTAATTATTCTTCTGATGCTTATGAGAATAAAATTCATCTTCTCATTCATGAGATGGGTCAGGAGGCAATGTTCAGGAAGGCTCCTTGCTGGAACGGAGTTTAAATCAAAAATTGCCAATAATTCTGTCCCTAATAATTCTGTGGAATTTTGCCACGCTCAGACTGGGAGGGAGTGACCCAGGGGATGTGCCTGGGGAAGGGATGGTTTTGTTCCAGGATTTTTGCCACAGTGACATTTTTTGTTCATGCCACTGTCACATTCCCAATTCCTGATTTAATGTTTCTCTGAAGGGTCAAGGTGGAAAAAACAATTCCATTATTTCTGCAGCAATAATTAAAGCAGTCTTGTGCTCATTCTCTATTTGACTCTAATTAGAATTGAGATTTTACTACAGAAATGATGCAGAGCAGGAGGGGAACCAAACCCAAACACCCAACTCACACCCCCACCCTGATATTTTGAATTTTCTTGTACCTCCACCTTCTCTCTGTTTCTCTTCAGCCTGAAACAGAGCAAGAATCAGCTTTTTACTCATCCATCTCTGGACCACACAGCATCACTCCATTTTATTAAGTGCCAATCCCCAAGGAACTGTTGCTTGCCTGCAATCCCACAGGAACTTTTCTACAATCACAGTATTTCTACTTTACACTGCCCAGTGACAACACTGGCAACAAGTTATCTTTTATAGATATATTTTTTCCTCCAAGTAAAACTTCACCCTTCCACTGCAGTGCCAACAGCAGGCTGGGATTCAAATCCAGAAAAATGAAGGATGTAAAGCCCTGAAGCACTGAGATAAATTCACAAGTGGCTTTAAGCTTAAAATGAATGACCAAAAAAACCCCTGGGATTTCCAGCCCTGCCCACAACATCTCAATTTGCAAAGCCTGCAGGAGAAGAACAGTGAGTAAAAGTGACCAATGAGAAAAAGCAGAAGAAATGTTGTACCAGAAGTCAAAATTCTGACTTTAAACACATTAATTGATGCTGTATATAGAAAAACACAGTGACTCCAAGTATTTAATTTTGGTTTTTTTTATCCCTATAAACAGCCCCAGCTCTCTTTGCAGAACACAAGAGATGCAGAAATTCAGTAATTTCAGGTTCTTTTAGATTTTACTCCTTCCCTTTTTCTAACAACACTGAAAACCCCATCATTATCCACCCAGGAGAAATGAACTGTGCAGGAAGTACCTGGCTCTCAGAGCCAGGCATAAGAAGCCTGTAAATAGGCAGGATTTTATTACTACTTAGTTTTAAATAACTGATATTAACAGCCAGACTCAGCCACAGGCCAATTTTCTCAACAAGTGGAGTAAAAACTTGGGATATAGGATGGATTTTATGAAGTTCACTGCTTTAGGTGCACACATATTCACCAGAAACCAACAGACATCACCAGTTAATTCAAAGAACACTGACTAGAGAAAAACTCTCCCACCACTAAATCTTACTCTGATGAAAAACCTTGCACCAGGCTTCCATTTTACCAAAAACCAGCAAAGACAGGCAGAAAAAACTTCAGTCCAACATTAATTCATTAATGGATTGGAATCTATAGGCAGGGTTTTCTAGCTAGCAGAGTAATATAATGTAGCAACCACTGAATATTTACCTTTTTTCCCCTGGGAGGGCGATTAAATCCAGGGAGATAAGGGACTGCTGCATCTATCCTGCCACTGCCAGGAGGTTTTGTGCTCTTAACAACCTGCTGGACTTTGGTGCTTCAGAGCTGAGGCTGAGAGCAGACAGACCTCCCACAACACTCCAGGACTGGACACAGGTGTTTTATTTTAATTTTTTTTTTTAAATCCTCGCAAAAATACTTAATTCCAGCAAGCTCGGAGGCTCTGCTTTTGAAGACAGCAGCCTTTCCTTACCTGGAACAAATCTCCAACACTGAAGTGTCCCCTCAGGCAGCAGAGCCACATCACCACTAATTTGAGAGCTCACCCATCACTGAGCCACTCCCCTACTCAGCAAAGCAGTCCTGGGCTCCATTTAGATTTTAAATTCTGCATTATGAGAACTATTACTCAAATGCAAATGCTGTCATCTCTAAGTGTATAGATGCATCGCTGTCACAATTAATTAGTACTTTTTAGTTAAATTAGACAAAACACCCAACATCCACAGCCCTCACCAGGCTCACTGGGAATAAAACTCTAACTGGGAATAAAACTCCAACCAGCCATTTGAGAACGAAGGAATTACAAAGCATGAGAAGAACACCGTGGGAAACTTCACACCTTTGCTATAAAGACAACTTCAATCACGAGTTCACTCTTTTGCCACCTCCTTGGCAAAGCTTTGAGATGCAAGGGCATCAAAATATCCTGAGCTGGACTGGACTCACAAGGATCATCCAGTGCAGCTTCTGGCCCTGCAAAATCCCACCCTGGGCATCCCCAGCAGTGCTGTCCAAACACTCCTGGAGCTCTGCGGCTGTGCCCACTCCCTGGCGAGCCTGGGCAGTGCCCAGCACCCTCTGGGCGAAGAAACATCCCAAATACTTTCCCAAACACCCACCCTGACACAGCTCCAGCGCTTCCCTCGGGCACCACTTCCCGGTGCCGCACACTCCCAAACCCACCCCAGCGATGCCACCCAGCGCTCCGACACCGCTCAACCCAAACCACCGACCCCAGACCCACCTCGGCGGTGCCGGGCACGCTCAGCCCGGCTGCCAAAGGCTCGGAGAGGGAAACGGCGGCGGCGAACAGCAGCGGGCAGGCGAGCCCGGAGCGCGGCCGGGCGGAGCGGGGCGGGCGGCAGCGGCGCTCGCAGCGAGGGGGCGGCTCCCGCCGGCTCCTCCCCTCCGCGTGGTTCCCCATGCACAGCCCCCGTGCCCCGGACCCTCGCCGGATGGCACCGCTCCCCTCCCCCGGCAGCGCGCTCCGCCCGGCCCCGCCGCCCGCGGGGGCCCGCGGGTGGCGGCCACAGCAGCGCCCGCCCCGCGCCAAGTGGGTCACGGCGCCGGTGAAAAATCCCCTTTTTTCCCCGTTAGAAAATGTGGGGCAGCGGCCGCACGGCCGCCCCGGCGCGGCCCGCGGGCGGCGCGGGGTGAAGCGCGGTGCTGGCCGCGGTGGCCGTGCCAAGTGAGCAGGGGGGAAACAAGGGGAAATAGAGGAGAAATCCGCACGGCCTGAGCGCGGCCTGCCCTGCCCGGGCCGGCCCGGCGGGAGCGGCGCCGCCGGCACTCACCTGACGGGCCGCGACATCTTCCCGGCGCTTCGGGCCGCGCGGGGCCGGGCGCGGAGCAAACGGGGCCGCGGAGGCCGCGGAGGCCGCCCGGAGCGAGCGGGAGCGCTGGGCCCAGCGCCTCAGGCCGCGCCTGCGGAGCCGCCGCTCCCCCGTCAGGCGCCGCCGCCGGTGCCGCTCCCCGGTGCCGATCCCGGTGCCGCTCCCCGATCGCGCTGCCGGTCCCGGTGTCGGTGCCGGACCCGCTCCCGCCGCTCCCCCCCGCAAAATGGTCGCGCTCGCCCCGCCGAGAGGATGCGAGCGGGGGGGCGGTGCCGCCGACCCCGCCGGCCACGCCCCTTTCATCCGCCGATTGGTCGAGGGCCGCGAGAGCCCGCGTCCTATTGGCTCGTTCGAACCATCACGGCGCGCAGGGCCCGCCCACTGTCCCCGCGGGGAGGGCGGGCAGCGCGGCCCGCACGCGGCGGAGCTGCGGCGGCAGATTCGCCACGGGCTCCCGGTGCCGCCGCGGCCTCGCCGCGCCCCGGCCCGGCCATCCCGCCGCGCTCGCCGCGTCCCTCCGGCACCGGCGCCACGCTGGAATTTTTTCCCATTTCTCCGGGATTTTTTAGCGGCGCTGCGGCGCCTCAAGGCCCGAGCGGCAGATTCGCCGCCCGGGCCCGGCGCGGTTTTGGAGGGAAAAGGCGGCCGCGGGCGCGGGTTCGGTGTCGTTAATTTTTATTATGAAGAAATGCAAAAAAATCGGTCTCCATGGCAGATTTTGACACCAGCACTGTTGTCACCACCGCCACGTCTCCCTGTGCGAGTCAGCAATTGAGTACATGCACAATTCATGCAAAGTCCAATAAATATTTTGGATTTTTTTGCACTTTAAACTCCCCAGAAATGCCAAAATTATTCATTTTGGTTAGAAAAAGGGATGCTTTAACCAAGAAAAAATTAAAATTATTCCACGGTCATTAAAATGGCAGCTTCTGCCACAGCAACTCACTTTTGCTTTGCATTTTGATCTTTGGAGGTTCACCCCTCCATTTGAGTAAAAATAGCATTTAAATCCTATTTTTTATATACATTGGGAACTGTGAGAAGATGGCTTGATGATACAAACATGATCAGATTTATAGGAGAAATTAAAATTTTAGGATAATTTGAGTTCATTTCATGCCCTGCTGGAGTTTCATTGGAATTCCTTTGGAATTCTGGCTGTTTTCCTGCTCCATCCCATCGAGGCTCAGGAAAACCCGGCTGATTGTGGAATAAAGAGGCCCAAAATACACTGAATTAAGGATAAAAATAAGGAGCCCCGGGGAGGAAGGTGCAGAAACCACATCAAGGAATTCTTTGCTGGAAATATTGGATCAAACCCCACAGGGGCTGACTCAGAGGTGCACAAGTTTTGCATTTTTTGCATTAGCCCAATAAAAATGCAATAATTGAAGATATTTCCACAGAGTTAATTTGGGTTTTGGTTTATTTTTTTGTTCGGTTGGGTTTTGTTTGGGGGGTTTTGTTGGAGTTTTCTTTTAGGTGTGTATTTGGGATTTTTGAGTGTGTATTTGGGATTTTTTTTTGTTTTGTTTTGGGGTTTTTTGTTTGCTTGGGTTTTTTTACATTTGGTTTGTTTGGGTGGGTTTGTTGCTGGGTTTTTTTGGTTTTGGTTTTTTTTTTTTTTTGGTGTGTATTTGGGTATTTTTTGTTTTGAGGTTTTTTGTTTGTTTGGCTTTTTTTCCCCTTTGGTTTGTTTGGGGGTGTTTGTTGTTGTTTGTCTTTTGGGGGGGGAGTGTATTTTGGGATTTTTTTCTTTTTTTTTTTTTTTTTTTTTGGTTGGTTTTTTCTTGTTTGGGGATTTTGGGGTTTTTTTTGTTTGTTGGTTTGGTTCGTAGATTTTTTTTTTTTGCTTGGTTTTCTTTTATGTGTTTGGTTTTTGGTTTTTTTTTTTTCCTTTTTTTTTCCTTTTTTTTTCCCTTTGGTTTGTTTGGGGGGATTTCTTGGTTTTTTTGTTGTTTTTTTTTTCTTGTGTGTGTGTGTGTGTGTGTATTTTTGGGGGTTTTTTTTGTTTGTTTTTTTTGGGGATTTTTGGGGTTTTTTTTTTGTTGTTGTTGTTCTGGTTGTTTTTTTTTTGGGGGGATTTTTGTTGGTTTTTTGGGGGGGTTGTTTTTATGTTTGTTTGATTTTTTTTTTTTTTTTGGTTTTGGGAGGTTTTTATTTGTTTTTTTCCGGTTTGTTTTTATTTTCCTTTTTTTCCCCCTTTGGTTTGTTTGTTTTTCTCGTGCTTTGTCCCCTCCCTGTCGCGCCTATCGCGACTTAGGCAGCCAAGGTTAGGGCAGTGCCCGCCCGGGGCCATTGCAGCCCCTTTGTCATGGAATTGTCCCCAATCCACACCGGCACAGGATCAAACACCGAATTCCAGGAGATTTCCCCCATTATTCCCTCCTGCCACACCCCAAACCAGCCTGGGTTTTGTGGTTAGACTCAATTTATAATAAATATCCACAATTTCCTATTCTCCCCACTTATCCCTGTGAGTTTTTATCAGCCCTGGGGGGCGGGAATTTTTATTTTTTTATAATTTAATTTTATTTTTAATTTTTACCTTAATTTTATTGTTTTTCTGGTTTCACCAGCACCATTTTACCCGTGCTAATCAGCACAATTCATGCAAAGCCCACTGAAGATATTTGATTTTTTACACTTTAAATTCCCTCCAAACCCCCAAAATCACTCATTTTGGTTAGAAAATCGGATGCTTTAACCAAGAAAAAATTAAATGTATTACACAGTCATTAAAATGCAGCTTCTCCCTTTTGCTTTGCATTTTGATCTTTGGGGTTTCACCCCTCCATTTGAGTAAAAATAGCATTTAAATCCTATTTTTATATACATTGGGAACTGTGAGAAGATGGCTTGATGATACAAACATGATCAGATTTATAGGAGAAATTAAAATTTTAGGATAATTTGAGTTCATTTCATGCCCTGCTGGAGTTTCATTGGAATTCCTTTGGAATTCTGGCTGTTTTCCTGCTCCAGCCCATCGAGGCTCAGGAAAACCCGGCTGATTGTGGAATAAAGAGGCCCAAAATACACTGAATTAAGGATAAAAATAAGGAGCCCCGGGGAGGAAGGTGCAGAAACCACATCAAGGAATTCTTTGCTGGAAATATTGGATTAAACCCCACAGGGGCTGACTCAGAGGTGCACAAGTTTTGAATGTTTTTGCAGCCAAATAAAAATGCAATAATTGAGGATATTTCAGAGGAATTTGTTTTCCTGGCAATGCAGGGCAGTTCATACCTCGTGTTTTGTACATTTTTGTTGTTTTTATTCCTAATTTCAACTCATAAACTCATTTCTTAGCACTGTTGAGACAGCGAAACAACAACTACCAACTGAGCAATATCCATTTTTTTATTTCAAACTGTTGCAATGCTGCACCAGTGATTGACTGATGTAGATTAAAATCCATTTTTTTCCTCTTTACACAACCATAATACTGAATTTTACAATGGTCAGGACCCTGCCTCTAAAATACTTCTGCGAAACAGCAAGAAATTAAAAAAAAATAAAACAAAAAAAAAAAAGCTGAATTTTGACATTTTTGACTTGTTGAGGCTGCAGTAAAATTCTCCAGCTGTGTAAAGAAACCAAGTGCAGCCACCAAGGCACAAAAGACACCTGGAAATTCTTCTGGTTTTGAGTCCCAGGGCCACAAATTGAAATTCCAGGAAGGAGAAAGGAGAAGGAAACGGGAACAGTTGGCCCAGAGTCACACAGAGGGCACGGAGTGAGAGCAGGGAAAAGGAAATTCCTTCATTTCCCAAAATCCTCATTCCTGATGAGGCCAGGAGTGAAGCAGAATAAAGATAATTTCTGATTCCTATTTGAAAAATTCAAGGTTTTACCCCCCTAAATCAACAAAAAGTAAATTAAGCCTTTTTTTTTTTTGCTTTCCCCTTCCAGTTTTTAATAATTCTGGGTTTTAAAATTCAGAATTATTTCAGCTGGGCACAGCCCCTGCTCCTCCCACGCCATCCCTGGATGGGGATTTTGAATCTGGTTTAATTAATTTAAACCAGATTTAAATTTGGGGCACTTTTTGAGGTGTATTTGGCTTTTTTGAAGCATGGCAAACACCCCCAGCTGCTCAGGGAAATCGTTTTCCTGTTTGGTTGGGGTTTTCACCCAGCTCAAGCAACCACTCTTCCTTTTGTGCAGCTTGTGGGGGGTTTTATTTGCCATTTTTTTCAGATGCTAAGAATCAGTAAATGTGGGAAAATAACCTCCCCAAGGCACACATGGGGACTGGAAACCAAAGGGCAGCACAGAAATGCTGTGAAATAGATTTTTTAAAATAGATTATTTTTTTTTTAAAGAGATTTTTTTAAAAGATTTTTTTTTTAAAGAGATTTTTTTAAAGATATTTTTAAAAGATTTTTTTAAAGAGATTTTTTTAAGTGATTTTTTTAAAATCTCTTTTTTTTTAAAGTATCTTCCTTTGGGTTTTTGGTTGATTCTTAAAGGCACTTGTGGAGGAAGAGGTGCAGGCACCTGGGAGGTATCAAAGTGCTGATGGAAGAAGTTTTCCTGCAAAATTCCCAGAAATTCCCTGTGAGGAGGCCTTGGCATGGATGATCCAAAGGAATGTCCCTGCCCATGGCACTGGGGGAATCTCAAACCATCCCATGGTTCTGTAGCTGATGACACAAATCTGGCCAGATTTAGAGGAGAAATTACAATTTCAGGATCATTTGAGTTCTTTTCACGCTCTGCTTGAGTTCCATTGGATGGAGCAGGAATTGGGAATTTTCAGCTGCTCTGGGCCGGGTTTTCCACCTCTGAGGAGAGCTCTTGGCTGAAACATTTTAAGTACAAAAATCAATAAGAAACACCTGAATTTTAAGGGGTTTCGTGGCAGCTCCTTTAAAAAATTAGGCACTTCTCTCATGTTCTAAAAAGAACTAGAAATATTTATAGGATTAAATATTTATAGTATTGAAAACTTTTTTTTATTTTGTTGGGGTTTTTTTTCTGTTGTTGTTTTGTTTTTTGGGTTTTTTTGTTTAAGACAATGAAGTAAAATTCAGCAAGGCACTTCCACTTTGCTGCTAACCAGCTCTCCCTATTTCTAAAACCAAGGGTGTAGGAAAGGGTATTTTTTAGCACCTCTAACCCCAAATTTGGCAATATTTGTGTGGCAGAACCCCAGCCCGGGTATTTCAGCTTTGCATTAAAAAGTGCAGCACAAATAATCCCAAATTTCTTAACCCTCACTGTTTCGTTTTAAATTCTTTTCAGCTCCAGAGAATGAAAACTCAGATTTTTTAGTGAAGGTGATGAGTGCCTGTTTTACCAACTCATCCCTCAATGTGAGCCAGGCAGGAGGAATAATTTACCAGAGCAAAGCAGCCCTAATTCAGCAGGAACCAGGACACAGCAATTTCCAGTCCTGTCTCCCAGTTAAACCACTCAATAGGTAAAAAGAAAATTGAATTATTGAAGGCCTTTTGCTGAAATCCAAACCCAAAACGTGAGCAGGGCAATTGTGAACCACCAGAAAATCACAGAACAGCAAATCCAGAATTAAACACACAAAACTCCAGCCCTGAAGTGCAAGTTCCCCATAAATTCTCCTCAATTTGTACCATTTTTTTTGGCCAGAATTGCTCTCCACCAGCAATATCTGGGATGTGGAAGGGAAAAGTGGCACCAGGGGGAAATGAGGAGTGGCTCCTTCCTTTTCTTTTATCCCACAAAGTCTTTTTTTTTCCCCTCCTCCTCCTCTTCCCCAGCCCCACTAAAACAGCAGGGGGGTTTTTAGGGAGCTGTTTCCGACCCCAAATTCCCTCCTGGATGCTGGGAAGGCAATTCAGCAGCAGTTGCCAAAAGCACTTTGGGCTGGGGGGTGGAGGCTGTCCCAAAAAACGTGCCCAGGGTCACACAAAGGGGTTACAGCCCCTCCTCACCCTGCCCCAAAAAGGGGCAGCAGGAGGGGCTGGGGGGAGGAAGGGCAGGAGCAGCTCCTGGCCAAATTTTGGGGTCTGTACCCCACAGGGGAGTGGGGATTGTGCTGGTTCAGGAGGGACAGAAGAAGCTCCTGACCAAATTTTGGGGTCTCCGCTCCACAAGCAGAGCTCAGTGGAGTGGGGGTTCTGCTGGTCCAGGAGGGGCAGGAGCAGCTCCTGACCAAATTTTGGGGTCTCTGCTCCACAATCAGAGCCCAGTGGGATGGGGGTTGTGCTGGCCCAGGAAGGGCTGGAGCAACTCCTGACCAAATTTTGGGAACTCTGCTCCACGGGGGAGCGGGGATTGTGCTGGGTCAGGAGCAACTCCTGACCAAATTTTGGGAACTCTGCTGCACAAGGCAGTGAGAACTGTGGTGGTCCAGAAGGACAGGAGCAACTCCTGACCAAATTTTGGGGTTTCTGCCCCACAGGGGAGTGAGAACTGTGCTGGTCCAGGTCCCAGCTGACCCCCAGAACTCCACAGTGCTGCTCCACAGGCAGCTCCTCATCCTCAGGGGGTTTGGGCACTGCTGGGATGTGCTGCTCCCTCCAGGACACTGATCCAGAATCCCAGAGATTGCTGGGATCCCACAGCTGGGGATCCACAGGCACCACCTGGGCTGGGCTGTGTCCCCAAAAGGGAGAGGGTTAAAGGTGCAGAAAATTAAAAAAATCCCTCTGCCAGCCCTTGCCAGAGGGGGAAGTGCTCAAAATTAAGAAAAAAAATAATAATTCAGTGTAATGCAAGGCACTGCCTGGACATGGACTGTGCTCCTTCAGAGCAGCAGAGAAAAAGAGGAATATTCCCAATCCTCTTCTTCCATCCCTCGCTCCAAGTCACTGCAGCAGGGCTCTGCTGAGGAAACAGCCACTGAAAAGTTCAAAATATCAGGAAAAAACACCAAACCAGGGACAGTTCAGGGCAAGGTGACCATGGTAACGATGATGATGATGATGATGATGAGAAGCCCATCAGAGCTGGAGTGGCTTCAGCAGCAGGCCCAGCCTGGAGGGGAGGTCTCCTTGATGTTGATGTAATCCCCAGTGCCAGCAGAGGAGGAGCTTCCTTCACCTGTGGATGAGGACATCATCTTCTCAATCAGAACCCTGGGGGAAAAAAAAAGTCCTGAGATTGATTTTGGGGTTTTTTGGTGGGTTTTTTTTTTGGTTTTTTTGGTTTTTTTTGGTGTTTTGTTTGGTTTTTTTTGGGGTTTTTTTTTTTTGGGTTTTTTTTTTGAACCAGCAGCATTGGGCAGTGCAGAAGAGAAATAAAAAAATTAAAAAGCGAAGCTCAGAAGTGTGGGAAATGGATTTGTAGAGAGTTATGCACTGCAGAAAAGAAATAAAAACTAAAAAGTAAAGCTCAGAAGTGCAGGAAATGGATTTGTAGAGTTCTCAGGGCCTTTCTCAGGGCCTACAGCATAGTGTAGTAAAAAGCTGATAGGCCAAGAAACACTTTGAATGTTTTTGTAATTAAGAAATTGTTAACTTCTAATTGTGATAACATAAATTATAACCCCTGTATTGTTTCACTCTTCTCATGAGACTAAAAATAGTTATATTAAAAACTTCTCTTTGACAAAATAGCTGGGAAAATTACTTTATACATGGAAATACTCCACAATTGCTCCAGGGGGAAAATAGTCTCTTTTGAAAAACACCTTTCATGAGAGGCTTCCTCTGGCCCTGGAGCCTCCTGATCCCAGCACCTGGACACAGAGGCTGCAGGGGGACAAACTGAAGTGTTTTCTGCAAATAAACAACTGGGAGCTTTTGGTTATTTGAATAAAAGTTTTTTAAATGCCTTCCAGTTGTCCCATTGTTGCCCTGTCCTTTTTGAAAGTTTTAAAGTTCTTCCAAAAGTTTTCTATGCCTTCTGATGTTTACATATTTACAGAGTTTCTCACACTGTTCATGTAAATAAGGATTGTTTTGCATTCTTCTTTGTGAGAAGAGAGAATTGATGGACTGTTGGTTTGAGCAGTGTGGTTGGAGAGGTGGGAATTTCACCCTCCAATCCGCTGCCACTTTTGGAATTAAAATAAAGAATTAAAATAAAGAATTAGAAATAAAGAATTAGAAGTAAAGTTCTCTCCTTTTACTCTCTTTTCCATCTAGTGTGAATGTGTGAGTTATTTTGTGACACTTTTCTAAGAAAAGAGTATTGGCTGACAGAGAAGGAGATAAACTGCAGGAAATGAGGAAAAAATCAGGTTAGAGAGTGGGACAGCACTGGCAGCTGGATTTGGGCAGGGACCTTGCACTGTGCCAGGTGCTGCCAGCCCTGTCCAGCCTGGCCCTGGGCACTGCCAGGGGCTCTGGGCAGGGAAGGATCTCAGGAACACGGCCCCAGGCATGGCTCCTACCTCATGGACTCGCTGACGTTCTTGTTCTCCTTCACAGACGTCTCCACCCATCCTGAAAATCCGTTTTCTTTGCTGAACCGATCGACCTCGTCCCTGGTCACTGCCCACGGGGAAAGGTCACACTGCAAGGAGCACAGAGGCACCTCAGGGCCACCCAGCCCAGAGTGGCTTTGCTTGGAGGGGACCTCAAAACCAGCCATGGGCAGGGACATTTCCCCCGTCCCAGGCTGCTCCAACCCAGCCCGGGGCACTCCCAGGGCTGGAGCACCCATGGATTCTCTGGGAATTCCATCCCAGCTCCTCCCAGGGAAGGATTTATTCCCAATATCCCAATATTCAAAGCAGCCCAGGGAATCCTGGAATGGGTTGGGTTGGGAGGGATCATCCCATGGGCAGGGACACCTCCCACTACCCCAAGGTGTCATTTGACCCATTTTTTCTATTTTACCCATTTTATTCACCCTCCAGCCTGGCCTGGGACACTGCCAGGGATAGAGCAACCCCAGCTCCTCTGGGAATTCTCTCCCAGGGAAGGATTTATTCCCAATATCCCACCCAAACCAGCACAGGAAATCCTGGAATGGGTTGGGTTGGAGGGATCATCCACTTCCATGGGCAAGGACACCTCCCACTATCCCAGGGGTGCCATTTGATCCATTTCACCCATTTGATCCTTTTTACCCATTTTATTCACTTCATCCACTGTCCAGCCTGGCCTGGGGCACTTCCAGGGATGGAGCAACCCCAGCTCCTCTGGAATTCCCTCCCAGGGAAGGATTTATTCCCAATATCCCACCCAAACCTGCCCAGGGAATCCTGGAACGGGTTGGGTTGGAAGGAATCATTCAATCTCATGGCCTGGGACACTTCCAGGGACGGGGCAGCCACAGTTTCTTTGGATCATCTGTGCCAGGGCCTCCCCACCCTCACAGGGAGGAATTCCTCCCCGTTTTTGCAGCTGGCAGGGCCATTCCGTGGCTGTGGGAGGCAGCTCAGCCCTCACAGCTCCCAGATCTCGGGGCAAGGCTCTCGCTGGGGTGCTGCAAGCAGCAATTTCTTTATCTGATATCTCAGTTACTGACACACCTCAGTCAAGCACGCCTGGAATGGAGCTTCCAGCCTTGTCCCTCATCCCAAAAATCTGCCCGGGCTCCCAGCAGCCGGGAGAGGTGGCACAGGTGTGGTGGCACTGATGCCAGGGGATGGACACGGAGGCGGAGGGAGAGCCTGGCCCAGAGCTCGGGGCTGCAGCCACCCAGGATTCCCTGATCCTGGCAAAGCTGCTGCCTCGAAGGAGAATCCCAGAATCCCTGAGGCTGGAAAATCCCTGTGGGATCATTGAATCCAGGCTGTGCCCCATCCCCACCCTGAGCACTCAGTGCCACCTCCAGGTGCCACCTGCAGGAATGGGCACTCCAAACGCCCTGGGCAGCCCCTTCCAACCCTTTCCATGAGGAAATTCCTGCTGATGTCCAACCTGAGCCTCCCCAGCACAGCCTGAGGCCGTTCCCTCTCCTCCTGTCCCTGTTCCCTGGGATAAGATCCCAAATCCTGCCTGGCTGTCCCCTCCTGTCAGGGAGTTTCAATCAAAGGAAATAATTATTGAAGTGCAATTTGTGGAGCAGTGGGTAAGAAAAGCCACTCTCCTGCCCAGCCACCCCATTTTTGAGTTATCTGCAGTTTTAGCCTCTCCCAAAGCAGGGAAGTCTCAAATTGAATTTGGAAAGGGCTCCCGAGCCAGGACTGGCACAGGGAGAGCAAAAAGGAGGGCTGGAAATGAAGGGAAAATACATCATAAAAAGGGAGAAACCAATGCAGAGAGCACAACTTGGCCCTAGATCCAGGTGGAAAGCAGAATTTCTGTCTCTGTGGCAGGAGCTGTGCTCAGGGTGACAGGACAGGGAGGAAAAGGCCCCAGGTTGCACCAGAGGGGGTTTGTGTTGGATTTTAGGAGAGGTTTTTTCAAGGAAAGGGTTGTACAGCAGGGCTATGGAGAAGAATCCTTGGGAGAGGCAGAAAATTCCAGGAGGGGTCTGGAAAGGTTTAAAGGTGACAGGCAATGGTAGGTGCTGAAGGTGCTCTCTGGTGTGCACACAGAATAAAATGCAGAAATAAACAGAAACACACACACAGGAACACACAAACACACAGAGAAACACAGAGAAATGCACAAAAATACACAAAGCCCCACACAAACACACACAGGAACATACAGAAAATCCCACAAACACACTCAGGAACACAGAAACACAAACACAGGGAAATACACCCAAACAGAAAAACACAGAAACAGACAAAACACAAAGACACTGAGAAATACAAACAGAAAAACACACAAAACCCACACAGAAACACACAAAATACACACAAAAACACACACAAAACCATGAACACACACAGGAGCAAACAAAATCATACAAACACATGCAGAAACACAGAGAAACACACAAAATACACACAAAACCCCACACAGAAACACAGAGAAACATACAAAAACACACAAAAATTACACAAACACACAAACACACAGAAACGATACACACACACAGACAGAAACACATAGAAACCACACAAACTCGCAGAGAAACACACAAAATCCCACACAGAAACACACAAACCCACAGAGAAACACACAAGTAACACACACAGAAACACACAAAAACACACAGAGAAACACACAAAAACACACAAACCCAGAGAGGAACACAAAAAAACCCACACACAAAACCACAGGGAAACAAACAAACACACAGAGAACACATAAACCATACAAACCCACAGAGGAACACACAAAAGCCATACAAACCTAAAGGGGAACACAAAAAAAACCACACAAAACCTGACAGAAACCCACAAACTCACAGAGAAAACACACAGAGAAACACACAAACACACAGAGTAACACACAAAAACCATACAAACCCACAGAGGAGCACAAAGGAACCACACAAAAACACACAAAACCATACAAACCCACAGAGGAACACACAAAAATCATACAACCCCACAGAGAAACACACAAAAAACACACACCCCCATAGAGAAACACACAAACCCACAGAGAAACACACAAAAAACATACAAGAACCATACAAACCCAGAGAGAAGCACACAAAAACCATAGAAACACAGAGAGAAACACACAAAAAACACACAAAAACACACAGAGAAACACACAAAAAACACACAAAAACACACAAAAACCAAACAAAACCATACAAAAATCATACAAACCTGCAGAGGAACACACAAAAACCACACAAAATCACACAAAACCCACACAAACTCACAGAGAAACACACAAAAACCATACAAAACCCACACAAACCCACAGAGAAACACACAAAAACCACACAAAAACCCCCCCAGAAGCCCACCTTGTTGGCCAGCAGCAGGCAGGGCACAGGGCTACCGTCTGGCAGCAGCAGTTTGCTGTCCAGGTCCTGCTTCCACTTCTGGCTGTTGCTGAAGGTGCTGGCGTTGGTGACATCAAACATGATCACACAGGCGGAGGCATCCCTGTAGTACAGCCGGGTCATGGATGTGAAACGTTCCTGCCCTTCGGGGTCACAACCAGGGGAAAAAACGGCCCGGAGTTGTTATTTTGGGTTTTTTTTCGTGCTGGTGTTGTGTTTATGTGGTGTTTTTGCAGCTGGTAGTAAGGGGGTTTTGGGTAGTTTTGGGATTTAGGGTGTGTTCAGCCTGGAGGCTCTGTGCTGGGCAGGGGTCAGGTCACAGGATCATGAAAAATACACAGAGAGACATGTAAACCCACAGAGAAGCACACAAAGACCATACAAACCCACAGAGCTACACACAAAATAAACAGAAAAACCCATACAGAAATCTACAAACACACAGAGAAACACAGAAAACCCACACAAACCCAAAGAGGAACACAAAGAGAAACACAGAAAAACCCATAGAAAAAGACATAATTCCATAGAGAAACAACAAAAAAAAAATCATACAAACCCACAGAGCAACACACAAAACACACAAAATCCATACAAACCCACAGAGAAACACACAAACTCACAGAGCAGCACAGAAAGCCATTAAAAACCCACAAACACACAAAAACCATACAAACACACAAAGAAACACAGAGAAATACACAAAATACACACAAAACCCCACAGAGAAACACACAAAAACACACAAAATCCATACAAACCCACAGAGAATCACATAAAAACCATGCAAACATACAAAGAAACACAGAGAAACACACAAAACACACACAAAAACACACACAAACCCACAGAGAAACACACAAAATACACACAAAACCCCACAGAGAAACACAGAGAAACACACAAAATCCATACAAACCCAGAGAATCACACAAGATACACACAAAACCCCATACAAACACACAAAGAAAGCCACAAAACATACACTGCATTTGTTTGGGTTAAAAGGGACCAAAGATCATCCTGTGCCAAGGGGCAGGGACCCCCTCCCCTGTCCCAGGGTGCCCAAATGCTCTGGGATACTCCAGGGATGGGGCATTCCCAAAATTCACATTATTCCCATAATTGCCACCTGGGCACCACAAGGGCACAGCAACAGCTCTGCTTCCCACACCTCAAACTCCTTTTTTTGGGGCCAAAACTGAAAGCAGTTTCTTGCTGCGCTGCTCCCTCTGCCAACTTCTCCTTCCTGATGCCTTTTTAAGGATTCCAGGCAGCCCAGCAGCAGCAGCAGAGGAAACCACAGCCCTGTTTTCCTCCCTGCTCCACAACCATTTTGGAGCTGCTGCTGCCCACAGCCCTCCTGGTGCCAGGGAATTTGGGAAATTTGTTTCTCTGCCCCCTCTCCAGGGAGCAGGAGCTCCTCGTCCCACTCCAGCTTTTATAATTCTGTCCCTCAGAGTGTGTCTCGTGCCAGAAATTTGGATTTTAACACGAGGTTTGGGGTTGAGCAGTCTCATATCCAGGCAGTCCCACACTCCCTCTGCTCTGGAACAGAAAGGAAAGGCTCAGCAGGAATTGCTGTGTGCATTCCTTGCAGGTGGATTTTTAATTAAATATTTAAATTACTACAGCAGGCTCGAGGCAGCCAAGCAGAGCAGTCCTGCCCCTGGAATCCACAGGCACCTGGGATTTAGTTTTGGAGGAGAAGGAAAAGGAAGAAAAAGGAAGATGAAAAGGGGGAAAAAAGGGGGGAAAAGAGGGAAGGGAAGGGAAGGGAAGGGAAGGGAAGGGAAGGGAAGGGAAGGAAGGGAAGGGAAGGGAAGGGAAGGGAAGGGAAGGGAAGGAAGGGAAGGGAAGGGAAGGGAAGGGAAGGGAAGGGAAGGGAAGGGGAAAAGGAAAAAGAAGGCAAAAAAAGGCCAAAACAGTGAGAACATTAAAAAACCTTCAAAATACCTGCAATGTCCCAGAGCTGCAGCCGAACCGTCTCCGACTCCGACCACTGAACCACCTTCAGTGCAAAATCCACTGGAGAATTTCCAAAAAAGCAGGAAGGAAAGCTGCTCAGGGCTGTTCTGCCCCATCCTGCACAGCCTCTCCCCATCTCCCAGAGCCCCAACCCAGCCCCAACCATGGGGCCCTTCCCAATCCTCCAGCAGGATCACAGCCCAAGCACAATTCCAGGGCTTGGAGCAGCCTGGGATAGGGAAAGGTGTCCCTGTCCTTGGGGTGCTGTGAGGTCCCTGCCAGGCTGGATCACCCCACATTATCCTGAAAGAGGGAAAAATGTCCCTGTCCATGGGGTGAGAGGTGCTGTGAGGTCCCTGCTAAGCCAAATCACCCCATATTAACCTAAAACAGGGAAAGGTGTCCCTGTCCTTGGGGTGCTGTGAGGTCCCTGCCAGGCTGGATCACCCCAGATTAACCTAAAACAGGGAAAGGTGTCCTGCCCTTGGGGTGCTGTGAGGTCCCTGCCAGGCTGGATCACCCCATATTTGCTGTCACCAGTGAGTCAAAAGGGGAAGCTCTGTGCTGCTCTCAGATCCTGATGTGTCGGGGTTTCAACCTGGCGGCCAGACCTAGCTGGGCTAGGACTGAGCAAAACCAAGAACAAAGTACAAAAACAAAAATCCCAGACACCAGTCTGCAGCATTTCCTGCTGGGAGAGACCAGGCCACAGCCTGGAGCTCTGTGCCTCTCCAGAGTTTTCACCTCTAATCCATCCCCTCTTGGGTCAGGAATAAGAAGATTTAAACAGCTGAGCTCAACACCCCCGATTTTGGGTCCTTGGGGAGATTTCCTGGGTAAACCCTTGGCAGCTCCTGCTCCTTCCAGGTTATTCATTTACACAAAGACCAAAATCCTGCCCAGGCCCATTCCCAGCCTCTTCCTCACAGAGCTTCCCAAGAGCTGCTGAGCCCGCAGCAGCGAGGCCAGGCTGTTCAATTAATGCCAAATTAATTGGGTGGGGGCACCCCAAATGAGCCTGGCACAAGGACAGAAGCTCCTGAGGACTTCGGGGCTGTTTAATTAATGCCAAACTAGCACTGCTGGTAGTTTTACTGGAATAAACTGAACTTATAACCTCAGCCTATCCATGTTACAGCTCCTGGGGTGGTTATTCCAGAGGGTGGGAGATGGATGGGGCACCCAAATGAGTCCTGGTAGAAGGAGAGAAGCTCCTGAGGACTTCAGGGTGTGTTTAATTAATGCCAAACCAGCACTGCTGCTGGTTTTACTGAGATAAGCTGAGCCTGAAACCTCAGCCTATTCATCTTACAGCTCCTGGGGTGGTTATTCCAAAGGGTAGGGGCACCCAAACGAGCCTGGTAGAGGGACAGACACTCCTGAGGACTTCAGGGTGTGTTTAATTAATGCCAAACCAGCACTGCTGCTGGTTTTACTGAGATAAGCTGAGCCTGTAACTTCAGCCTATCCATTTTACAGCACCTGGGGTGGTAATTCCAGAGGGTGGGAGAAGGATGGGGCACCCCGAATGAGCCTGGTAGAGGGACAGACGCTCCTGAGGATTTCAGGGCCGTTTAATTAATGACAAACCAGCACTACTGCTGGTTTTACTGGGATAAGCTGAACCTATAACTTCAGCCTATCAATGTTACAGCACCTGGGATGGTTATTCCAAAGGGTGGGAGAAGGATGGGGCACCCCAAATGAGCCGGGCAGCGCTCCAGCATCCCCCGGGGGCTCGGTGGAGAAGGTCTGGCAGTTCACACCCCACAACCCCCGACGGTAGGCGGCTGTTCCCACCCCAAATCCCCAAGCCCACCGCCGGGGGAGAGCGGGACGAGGAGCGCGGTGCGGAGCGCTGCGGGGCTGGGGATGCGCACCGGGACGGGCGCGGTGCCGGACCCCGGGGAACCTCCGGGAACCCCCGGGAACCACCGGGAACACCCCGGGGAACGGCCAGGAGCCCGGGGAGGGCTCACCTCCCACGGTGGATTTGTAGTGCCGGTTGAAGCTGTCGTTGGCGTAGCGCTGCACCAGCGAGGTCTTGCCCACCGTGGCGTCCCCCACCACCAGCACCTTGAACATCCGATCGCGCTGCCCCATCCCGGCCCGGCCCGGCCCGGCTCCGTCATGTGAGGCTCAGCCGGGGCAGCGGCCGGGCCGCTCGGCGCTGCCGGGATCTGTAGTTCGCTGCCTTCCGCCGGAGCCATCGTCAGATCCGGCCCCGCGCATCCCCGGCGGCAGTGGGTGCTGCTGAGGGCACCTCCAGATCTACTGTGGGCACCCCCAAATCTGCTCTGAGCACCCCCAAATCTGCTCTGTGCACCCCCAGGTCCTGCTCTGTGCACCCCCAAATCTGCTCTGTGCACCCCCAAATCTGCTCTGTGCACCCCCAGATCTGCTCTGAGCACCCCCAGATCTGCTGTGAGCACCCCCAAATCTGCTCTGTGCACCCCCAGGTCCTGCTCTGAGCACCCCCTGATCTGCTCTGTGCACCCCCAAATCTGCTCTGAGCACCCCCAGATCTGCTCTGAGCAGCCCCAGGTCCTGCTGTGGGCACCCCCAAATCTGCTGTGGGCACCCCCAAATCTGCTCTGTGCACCCCCAGGTCCTGCTGTGAGCACCCCCAAATCTTCTCTGAGCACCCCCAAATCTGCTGTGGGCACCCCCAGATCTGCTGTGGGCACCCCCAGATCTGCTGTGGGCACCCCCAAATCTGCTCTGTGCACCCCCAGATCTGCTCTGTGCACCCCCAAATCTGCTGTGGGCACCCCCAGGTCCTGCTCTGTGCACCCCCAGATCTGCTCTGAGCACCCCCAAATCTGCTCTGAGCACCCCCAGATCTGCTCTGTGCACCCCCAGATCTGCTCTGAGCACCCCCAAATCTGCTCTGAGCACCCCAAAATCTGCTCTGTGCACCCCCAGGTCCTGCTGTGGGCACCCCCAGATCTGCTCTGAGCACCCCCAGATCTGCTCTGTGCACCCCCAGATCTGCTGAGGGCACCCCCAAATCTGCTCTGTGCACCCCCAGATCTGCTGTGGGCACCCCCAGATCTGCTCTGGGCACCCCCAGATCTGCTCTGGGCACCCCCAGATCTGCTCTGTGCACCCCCAGATCTGCTCTGTGCACCCCCAGATCTGCTCTGAGCACCCCCAGATCTGCTGTGGGCACCCCCAAATCTGCTCTGTGCACCCCCAGATCTGCTGTGGGCACCCCCAAATCTGCTCTGTACACCCCCAAATCTGCTCTGTGCACCCCCAGATCTGCTCTGTGCACCCACAGGTCCTGCTGTGAGCACCCCCAAATCTGCTCTGTTCACCCCCAGGTCCTGCTGTGGGCACCCCCATATCTGCTCTGTGCACCCCCAGATCTGCTGTGAGCACCCCCAAATCTGCTGTGGGCACCCCCAGGTCCTGCTCTGGGCACCCCCAGGTCCTGCTCTGAGCACCCCCAAATCTGCTCTGAGCACCCCCAAATCTGCTCTGAGCACCCCCAGCCCCAGCCCTGCACATCCCCGGCGGCCGCGGGTCCTGCTGTGGGCACCCCCAAATCTGCTGTGGGCACCCCCAAATCTGCTCTGTGCACCCCCAGGTCCTGCTGTGAGCATCCCCAAATCTTCTCTGAGCACCCCCAAATCTGCTCTGTGCACCCCCAGGTCCTGCTGTGGGCACCCCCTGATCTGCTCTGTGCACCCCCAGGTCCTGCTCTGAGCACCCCCAAATCTGCTCTGTGCACCCCCAGATCTGCTCTGTGCACCCCCAGGTCCTGCTCTGAGCACCCCCAGATCTGCTGTGGGCACCCCCAAATCTGCTGTGGGCACCCCCAGATCTGCTCTGAGCAGCCCCAGGTCCTGGTGTGGGCACCCCCAAATCTGCTCTGTGCACCCCCAGATCTGCTCTGAGCACCCCCAGATCTGCTGTGAGCACCCCCAAATCTGCTCTGTGCACCCCCAGGTCCTGCTCTGAGCACCCCCTGATCTGCTCTGTGCACCCCCAAATCTGCTCTGAGCACCCCCAGATCTGCTCTGAGCAGCCCCAGGTCCTGCTGTGGGCACCCCCAAATCTGCTGTGGGCACCCCCAAATCTGCTCTGTGCACCCCCAGGTCCTGCTGTGAGCATCCCCAAATCTTCTCTGAGCACCCCCAAATCTGCTGTGGGCACCCCCAGATCTGCTGTGGGCACCCCCAGATCTGCTGTGGGCACCCCCAAATCTGCTCTGTGCACCCCCAGATCTGCTCTGTGCACCCCCAAATCTGCTGTGGGCACCCCCAGGTCCTGCTCTGTGCACCCCCAGATCTGCTCTGAGCACCCCCAAATCTGCTCTGAGCACCCCCAGATCTGCTCTGTGCACCCCCAGATCTGCTCTGAGCACCCCCAAATCTGCTCTGAGCACCCCAAAATCTGCTCTGTGCACCCCCAGGTCCTGCTGTGGGCACCCCCAGATCTGCTCTGAGCACCCCCAGATCTGCTCTGTGCACCCCCAGATCTGCTGAGGGCACCCCCAAATCTGCTCTGTGCACCCCCAGATCTGCTGTGGGCACCCCCAAATCTGCTCTGTGCACCCCCAGATCTGCTGTGGGCACCCCCAAATCTGCTCTGTACACCCCCAAATCTGCTCTGTGCACCCCCAGATCTGCTCTGAGCACCCCCAGATCTGCTGTGGGCACCCCCAAATCTGCTCTGTGCACCCCCAGATCTGCTGTGGGCACCCCCAAATCTGCTCTGTACACCCCCAAATCTGCTCTGTGCACCCCCAGATCTGCTCTGTGCACCCACAGGTCCTGCTGTGAGCACCCCCAAATCTGCTCTGTTCACCCCCAGGTCCTGCTGTGGGCACCCCCATATCTGCTCTGTGCACCCCCAGATCTGCTGTGAGCACCCCCAAATCTGCTGTGGGCACCCCCAGGTCCTGCTCTGAGCACCCCCAGGTCCTGCTCTGAGCACCCCCAAATCTGCTCTGAGCACCCCCAAATCTGCTCTGAGCACCCCCAGCCCCAGCCCTGCACATCCCCGGCGGCCGCGGGTCCTGCTGTGGGCACCCCCAAATCTGCTGTGGGCACCCCCAAATCTGCTCTGTGCACCCCCAGGTCCTGCTGTGAGCATCCCCAAATCTTCTCTGAGCACCCCCAAATCTGCTCTGTGCACCCCCAGGTCCTGCTGTGGGCACCCCCTGATCTGCTCTGTGCACCCCCAGGTCCTGCTCTGAGCACCCCCAAATCTGCTCTGTGCACCCCCAGATCTGCTCTGTGCACCCCCAGGTCCTGCTCTGAGCACCCCCAGATCTGCTGTGGGCACCCCCAAATCTGCTGTGGGCACCCCCAGATCTGCTCTGAGCAGCCCCAGGTCCTGGTGTGGGCACCCCCAAATCTGCTCTGTGCACCCCCAAATCTGCTCTGAGCACCCCCAGATCTGCTCTGAGCACCCCCAGATCTGCTGTGGGCACCCCCAAATCTGCTCTGAGCACCCCCAAATCTGCTCTGTGCACCCCCAGGTCCTGCTGTGAGCACCCCCAGATCTGCTCTGAGCACCCCCAGGTCCTGCTCTGTGCACCCCCAGGTCCTGCTGTGAGCACCCCCAGATCTGCTCTGAGCACTCCCAAATCTGCTCTGAGCACCCCCAGGTCCTGCTCTGAGCACCCCCAGATCTGCTCTGAGCACCCCCAGGTCCTGCTCTGAGCACCCCCAAATCTGCTCTGGGCACCCCCAAATCTGCTCTGAGCACCCCCAGCCCCAGCCCTGCACATCCCCTGCGGCAGCAGGTCCTGCTGTGGGCACCCCCAGATCCTGCTCTGAGCACCCCCAATTTATTTGATTTTCTCCTATTGAAAAAGCTTCAGCCTGGGCTTAGATAAACTTCAAAACCTGAGAGGAGCCTTCAACCTGAAGGAAAAAAAAAAAACAAAAACCCACCACAGTCCACATAAATAAATGTCATCTTTATTTAACCAAATATAATTTATCCATTAGGTCGACATCTGTCAGTGATAGGAACTATAAATAATTAAGACAGTCTTTTTCCTTTAATAAAGAGTAAACCAGGATTTTTCATCTGCAGGCAGCTGTAGAGTAGGCATGCATTGGAGTGCAACCAGTGGGAAGAGGTTTGTTTTTTGTTTTGTTTTTTTTTTCCATCAATATTCCTCAGTTTTAAATTAAATTCTTCCCTGACCATTCCCCAAGCACACCTTTGACCATATTTAATGTACAGACCCTCCCAACCCCACCAGCCCCGACCATGAGAGGCAGATTCCTCCTCTAGGGAATCCTTTCCTGGAGAATTAAGTGGTGATGCGACACCAGAAAGGCCAGCAGAGCTTCTCTCTGTATCCATAAAAGCTGAAGTGTTAATGGAAGGAGTCTTGCATTTATTCCTCAACATCAGGCAGAGAAATCAGGTGAGCAGCTGAGAATATTCCAGGAAATACTCCAGAAAATATTACAGAAAATACTCCAGGAGCCCCTGGGCTGAGAGTTCAGCACAGCAGGGACAGGGTTTGTTTTGTGGTTGGGTTTTTTTTCCTTTGAGCACAGCTTTGGCCAAAGGAGATCTGAGAAATGTCCCCAGAGGGGACAGAAGAGGATCAGAGCTGCTCCCACACAGGACATGGGGCACAGGAGGAGGGGGACTGAGCCTGAGGGTGGATTAGCAAGGGAAAAAAAGGGGGAAATCATCCCAAAAATACAACACCTGCTCTTCTGAGGGGCTGAGAAGGAGCAGCTTGGAGCCCAGCCCTGCCTCCTGCACAGCACCAGCAGCAGGGAAGGGTTTGCAGAGCTCCAGAGAGGGCTGGAGCAGCCAGGATTCCCTGGTTTGGCTCCACCTGCTCCGTGGATCTCCGGAACTTCATCCTGACCCTCTTTTCCAACTCGTCTCTGGAGCTGGAAAAGAACTTCATCCAGAACTTCATCCTGACCCTCTTTTCCAACTCATCTCTGGAGTGAGGCCCAGCTCTGCACGCAGATCCTGGCCTGGGACAGTGAGCCTGGACTAACTTTGGTCTTGGTTTGCCCCGAGCTCTGGTTTTTGCTGCCCTCCCAGCATGGCCTGAGGGGAACAGCAGGAATTGCAGGCAGATCTGATGAGAAGAGCACAGAAACAGGAGGGGAAGCAGCAGAGGAGGGAACCCTGCACTCCCAGGGCTCAGCCAGGCCCCCCCAGCTGGGCTGAGCCCCCATCCCAGCTTTTACACAAGGGCAGGGCGGGTTCCTGTGCCACAGAGCTGCCCCAAGAGCCAGGGCTCCAGTGATCCTGCATTCCCAGCTCTTTTCCAGCTGGCAGGGAAATCCCATGGACACCAGGAGCAAAATGCTCCTGCCCAGCTGGGAACAGCCCAGGAATGGCAGGATGGAAAAATTGTGTGTAGAGGTGTCCAGGAAGAGTTCCCCAGGGATCCCTTCCTGCCTGCAAGGGGCCCCTCAGCAGCCAAAAGGAAACCTGGGCACAAAACCAGGAGCTGTTTGTCCATCCATCCACCCCTCTGGGTGCACTGAGGGAAAGGGAGCAGCACAAGGAGGGATCCAGCAGGTCCTGCAGAGGATCCCTGGCAGTGGGGATGGTGTGGGCAGAGCTCCCAGCCCCTCTGGGCGAGGCTCAGAGCAGCTCAGCTCGGCTCACCAAGGCAGAAGCAGCGTGCTGCTGGGGTGGGTGGCAAAAGGCAGCCTGAAGCTGCCAGCAGAGCCCAGCCAGGGGCTCTCAAATCAGCTCACTCGCATTCCTGGGGTGAACACAGGAGCCTTCCTCACCATCGTCCTCATAGACACTCCCCATTTTTGGATGTGGCCCCAGGCTGGAGCTTCAGAGAGCCAAGGCAGGGCTACCCCGTGCCCTGAGCCATGAGGTTGCACTTGGCTGGAAGGCGCCAGCTCAGCTAAACAAACCTGAGCTCGACCTGCAGGGTGTAAAACGCTTATGAAGCGAAAAAAGCAGCCCTTCACCTCGAGGGAGGGGGCAGGGGGGGCTCCCTGCATGACCTGACTGAGCAGGAACTTCACTGGAACCTTGGTTCAGACATAACCTCTACGAAAATTGCACTTAGTGATTGTCTCGTTACACTTTTTGTTTGTTTGTTTGTCCTTCCTAAAACTAGATCGATTTTTCTGTACAAACTTGGTTTGAAATATAAACCACGTAAAATTCCCATTGAAAATAATGAGAATCCAGTATCAAAGGTGAAATCTTCCAGGGTGGGGGTGGCAGGAGGGGGAAGCAAAGAAACAACAAATGGAAGGAGGAGAGCTGTGGGAAGGGAGAAACAGGGAGATTTAATCCCCAACATCGGAGTCCCGGTCCCCGATGAGCCAGAGCACGTGGAAGCTGAGGGCCAGGAGCCCTGTCCCAATGAGGTCCCCCAGAGCTGTCAAGTATGGGATGGAGAAATTGTCGGGATCCAGGTGCCTGCCCCACATCCAGTGCACCATCCAGTCAGCGATGTAGAGCAGGATCAGCACCTGCAACAGACACAGCTCCTGAGCCCTGCGTCCCACAGCAGCTCTGCCAGGAATGGCAGGATGGAAAAACTGTGTGTCCAGGAAGAGTTGCCCAGGGATCCCTCTGCCCAGCGCAGCACCTTTGGCAGGGACAGCCTCCGTCCATCTGTCCCCAGGGCAGGTGACACCCGTGTCCCCTGAGCCAGCCCAGCCCCCCGAGGGCTCCCAGCTCACCTGGAGCAGCGCTGCTGTCATGTAGAACATGATGAAGATGAGGGTGAGCGTGGTGTGTCCCCCCTGCATGGAGTGGATGGTGTAGAGGAAGACCAAGTGCCCAGGCACCACCAGGAGGAAGAGCACGCGGGCAGAGCGCGAGTTCACGTCTGCAAAGGGGACACCAGATCTGATTTAAACCCTGGCAGTGTCCCAGGCCAGCTTGGGCAGGGCTTGGGAGCAACCTGGGCTGGTGGAAGGCGTCCTGCCCGTGGCACTGGGTGAGATCTAAGGTCCGCTCCCACCCAAACCATTCTGGGATTAAATGACCCAGCTGAAGGCTGGCAGGGAGTTTGGGGTGTGGAGCTGCACTGAATGATCCTGTGGGTCCCTTCTGAAACAGGGGGTTAAAAATTTAATTCAGGGTAAATACCAATTTTGGATTTTTTGTTTAGTCTTTTAACTTGTGCACTCACAAAATGACCTACAGAGAGTGAACAAAGAAGACTCAAAACTGCTCAGAAAAGAATATTAAAGAGAGATAAAAAGAGGCCTACCACTAACTTTGAGACGAAAACAAAAAAAAAAAAGGAAATCTGAACTATAAATATCACATTACATCTGCGTGATTAAAGAACTGCTATCCCTATTCCCATATCTTTACTCAAGAGCCCCCTAATTTCAGAATTCCAATAATCAGGAGGGAGGGATGTCCCAGGTTATAATATTGGGCTGTATTCCATTACCACTTCGAGCTGCAATCCTCTCTTCCAAGAAGAACAGCTAAAACCTTCTCTACACTAAACCTCCAGAGAGAAACGACATCAGTCTACAGGACTGTGTCCAGCTCTGGCCCCTCAGTTTGGGAAGGACGTTGAGATGCTTGAGCAAGTCCAGAGGAGGCAACGAGGCTGGTGAGGGGCACACAAAGCCTGTGAGGAACGTTTGGAGGAACTGGGATTGTTTAGGCTGGAGAAGAGGAGGTTCAGAGGTGACCTCATTGCTCTCTACAGCTCCTAAAGAGAGGTTGCAGACAGGTGGGGTCGATCTCTTCCACCAGGCAGCACTGACAGAACAAGAGGACACAGCCTCAGCTACGTCAGGGAAGGTTTAGGTTGGATATTAGGAAAAAAAAATTCACTGAAGGAATAATAAAATACTTGAATTGCCTTCCCAGGGAGGTGGTGGAATCACCACCTCTGGATATGTTTAAAAAAAGCCTGGATTTGGCACTTGGTGCTATAGTCTGGTTGTGGTGTTAGGGCATAGGTTGAACTTGATGATCTTAGAGGCCTCTTCCAACCTCATTATTCTGTGATTCTGTGTGTGTGACCATTGCTTAGACAAAACCATACCTGCTACCACCGCCCTAGCCAGCAAGTGTGGGGTTATATCTCTAACTCTGTCAGTAGTTCTTCTTTTGTGCTATTACATGTACTTAATTCTTTATTCCCTTTTTCCTAACCAATGATATTTCTGACTTAAAACCTCTCACTAATTTTACTTTTCAGACCAAGACAAGGGGGTTGCATTTCCCCGGGCCGTACCTGAGCTGCAGAAGGTGCTGCAGGGGTTGGGGCAGCGCCGCGGCGCCGGCTCGGGGCTGTCTCCGGGCTCGCCGCTCATGTGCAGGTAGGTGGAGATGCGGCTGGCCTGCACGGCCACCAGGTTACCACCCACACCTGTGGAAAAGGTTTGACAGCAGATTCTGTGAGCCACCCACACCTGGGTGAGAGGTTTGACAGCAGATTCCGTGAGCCATGCAGGAGTTTGAGAACAGGATCTGTGTTTAGGACTGAAAGAATTTCCTACCGAGGTTGTTTTGGCGTGGAAAGCAAGAAAGAAAGGAGAAGAGGAAAGAAGAGAAAGTAAGAAAGAAGAAAAGAAAAAATAAGAGAAAATAAGAAAGAAGAGAAAGGAAGATAAGAGAAAATACAAGAAAGGAAGATAAGAGAAAATACAAGAAAGGAAGATAAGAGAAAATACAAGAAAGGAAGATAAGAGAAAAAAAGAAAGGAAGAAGAGAAAATGAGAGGAGAGGAGAGGAGAGGAGAGGAGAGGAGAGGAGAGGAGAGGAGAGGAGAGGAGACGAGAGGAGAGGAGAGGAGAGGAGAGGAGAGGAGAGAGAGGAGAGGAGAGGAGAGAGAGGAGAGGAGAGGAGAGGAGAGGAGAGGAGAGGAGAGGAGAGGAGAGGAGAGGAGGAGAGGAGAGGAGAGGAGAGGAGAGGAGAGGAGAGGAGAGGAGAGGGAGGAGAGGAGAGGAGAGGAGAGGAGAGGAGAGGAGAGGAGAGAGAGGAGAGGAGAGAGAGGAGAGGAGAGGAGAGGAGAGAGAGGAGAGGAGAGGAGAGGAGAGGAGAGGAGAGGAGAGGAGAGGAGAGAGAGGAGAGGAGAGGAGAGGAGAGGAGAGGAGAGGAGAGGAGAGGAGAGGAGAGGAGAGGAGAGGAGGAGAGGAGAGGAGGAGAGGAGAGGAGAGGAGAGGAGAGGAGAGGAGAGGAAGAGGAGAGGAGAGGAGGAGAGGAGAGGAGAGGAGAGGAGAGAGAGGAGAGGAGAGAGGAGAGGAGAGGAGAGGAGAGGAGAGAGGAGAGGAGAGGAGAGAGAGGAGAGGAGAGAGAGAGGAGAGGAGAGGAGAGGAGAGGAGAGGAGAGGAGAGGAGAGGAGAGGAGAGGAGAGGAGAGGAGAGGAGAGGAGAGGAGAGGAGAGGAGAGGAGAGGAGAGGAGAGGAGAGGAGAGGAGAGGAGAGGAGAGGAGAGGAGGAGAGGAGAGGAGAGGAGAGGAGAGGAGAGAGAGGAGAGGAGAGGAGAGGAGAGGAGGAGAGGAGAGGAGAGGAGAGGAGAGGAGAGGAGAGGAAAAGATAAAATGAGAAAGAAAAGATAAAATAAGAAAGAAAAGAAGATAAAATAGGAAAGAAAGAAGAGAAAATAAGAAAGAAGAGAAAATAAGGAAGAGAAAGTAAAGAAAGCAAGAAGAAGAGAAAGTAAAGAAAGAAGAGAAAGTAAAGAAAGAAGAAGAGAAAGTAAGAGAAAATAAGGAAGAGAAGAGAAAAATGAGTAAGAGAAACCTGCAGCTGCCTATTGCAATGAGCACTTGGTTTGTCTTTCCTGACCAATAAATGTCAACTTAGGAGTTTTGTCAGAATGCATGAAAAGCATGCATGCTATAGCAAAATGGGGTTTGAAGCATTCTGAAAACGGAGTGTTGCTTTGTACTGTGACCACCTCAGCCACAACACTCCTGCAGGCACAAACAGCCCTCAGGGCATGGCCAGAGACCTCCAGGAGCTGCTCTCACAGCCAGCACATCTGGGAGTGCCAGCTGCTGGAATTATGTAGGACGGTCTGGTTTTGACCCCAATTCTACTTTTGCAGGATGTGAGGAGCTGGGACAAAGCTGTGGCTTTCCCCCTCAGGCCCCTGAGTAAAACTGAAGCAGTTCTGTTACTGCAGCTGGGGGTGGAAGAAAAATGATGAGTCAGGCACCAAAACAGACACAGGAAGTTCGAAACTATTACTTTTCACATGAAACTGCGAAAGCCACCAGCACTGGCTGAAAATTAACTCCACCTACTGCAAAAAAAAACAATTTAAAAACGAGTTTTCCTGGTTCATCAGGCAGAAAGGAAGTGAAAACTTTGCACCAGAACCAATCAGATTTCCTGACTCCAAGGCACAAATACAAATCTTTGTGTTGCCAGGTGCCACAAGGCAAATATTTTAGAAGATGGGGGGGGTGTTCTACCAGACAGGAGGAATAAGGAAATTAAGAAGTTCCTGGAAATGTGGATTTTTGGGGAATAGCCTCCTAGGCTTGTCACCTGAAAGGGTGGCACAGGAGCAGCCAAACCTGTGTGCCCCAAAAGAGAATGATTGTCCCAGACCATCCCAATTAGCAAAGGGTGAAAGAGTGATACAGGGGCAGCCAGACCTGTGTACCCTAAAAGAAAATCAGTGTCCTGAGATCCCAAACCATCCCAATTTGTCAAGAGCAAAGGGTGAAAGGGTGGCACAGGAGCAGCCAAACCTGTGTGCCCCAAGAGAGAGATGACTGTCCTGAAATTCCAGACCATCCCAATTTACAAAGGGTGAAAGGGTGGCACAGGGGTAGCCAAACCTATGTGCCCTAAAAGAAAATTAGTGTCCTGAAATCCCAGACCATCTCAATTTGCCAAGAGCAAAGGGTGAAAGGGTGATACAGGGGCAGCCAGACCTGTGTGCCCAAAAAGAGAATGACTGCCTGAAATCCCAGCCCATCCCAGTTTGCAAAGAGCAAAGGGTGGCACAGGGGCACTCAGACCTGTGTGCCCTAAAAGAAAATGAGTGTCCTGAAATCCCAAACTATCCCAGTTTGCCCAGAGCAAAGGGTGAGAGGGTGGCACAGGGGTAGCCAGACCAGACCTGCGCACCCCAAGAGAATGACTGCCCTGAAATCCTAGACAATCCCAGTTTGCCAAGAGCACAGGGTGGCACAGGGGCACTCAGACTTGTGTGCCCCTGGCTCCCCAGAAGAGAAGGAGTGCCTGCAATCCCAGCCCATCCCAGTTTGCCCAGAGCTGCAGCCCCGGGGCGGGGCAGGACTCACCGTTGATGACTGGTGTGAAAACTGCCATCCCAGCGAAGTTGGGATCCGACACTGTCCTGTCCAAAATCAGCCCCCCGACGCTGCAGGGGGAGAGGGGGGAGGTCAGAGCTGGGCTAAGCCCAAGGGAACTCTGGGGACAGGGCCAGCCCCACCTGCTGATGGCCATGGCGACGATGACGGGCTCCCAGCCCGAGTACAGCACCTCCCGCGTGGCAGAATTCCTCCTGGCAATGACAATCCAGATGGGCAGCAGGGACAGGAAGAAGGCGCACACCAAGGGGTTCACGTAGACTTTGCTCTCTGGGAAGGGGGGAGAAGGAGAGGAAGAAGCAGAGAAATCAAGGCCATGTTGTTGCGGAATTTCTGAGAGAGAGAGGGGGCATGATTTGTCTGGAGTGAGAATTGACTAAAAAACTGCACAGGCCCGTAAGATTAATAAATCAGTTTAATGCATATGCATATATCTGTTATGCATGTGCAACAGGTTAGAAGATAAATAGACTCAAGAATTTTCAGAAGTGCACATGTCCTTAAGGAACTGAAATAAACCATACCAATTTTACAACTTTTACAAGTTGTGGAGGTTTTTCCCTGCTGTCCTAGATTGCATGATAAGCGGCCTTGGTGGGGCCTAGAAGCCTTTGACGCAGTGAGAATTCAGTTGTGGCGCAGTTAGAAATTATGTTAAGGTAACTACAAAGTAATGAGCTATCTGAGTGTGAATTAGGGTAGAGCTGCAGTGTGAAAGGCCTGACCCCTTAAGGCAAAGGTAAACAATGTTAGTGTGCCAATCAGAGTGCCTTTGTAAACTGTAAACGATATAGAAGTGTATATAAACTGCCATCTTCTCTGGAATAAACGGAGAACGTTGCATTAATCATATTGGTTTGACATGCATTCTGTCCTGTCCAGCTTTCCTGTTTTATGAGGACCCTGAGTTCACCACATCCCTCAGGAGCTCCAGGAAGAGCAGGGAAAGTCCAGGCCAGCCTGGGCTCTGCAGGACCTGGTGGTTCCTCGCCACAGCCGTAGCCTGTAAAACGCCTGGATGTGTTCGCCAGCAGATCTCAGGGAGATCTCTGCAATTCCAGCTGCTTCACCCCCACTTCCCAGCCCTGGGCAGGATCTCCCAGCGCTGCTTCCTTCACCCCTGGATGAACCTGGCTGAGTCACAGCCCCGTGTCCCAGGGAAGGAAGGAGGAGGAGGAAGGAGGAGGAAATTGGGAGGCTCCAGCTGCAGCCCTGCCCTGAGGATCCCCAGCTGGAGCTGACAGCTCAGCAGATGGAATCCAAATCTGCTTTCTCCCACTGCTCCAGCCCCAGCCAAGCCCCTGGAAGGGGCCAACCTCTCCCTGAGCACCTCGCCTGGAGAGGAGGAGGTGTGCAAGGCAGTGAGAAGCTCCATCTCCTCCCCTAACCTGAACTAGGCCTGAGGGAGCTCCAGAGCGGGAACCCCCCACACCCCAAGGAAGATGATTACACAGGAAGAGGGTGAAATGAGAGGGAGACCCAGCAAGGACCAGGGAGACACTTTTTGCTTTTTTTTGCTGCTCCTCACCCAGCTCCTTGTACAAGCCCCAGCTGATCCCTGACAGCAGAGCCAGCGTGATGAGGTCCCCCAGGCTGGCAGCGATCGGCGTGGCCACGTTGTCAGGGTTGATCCCCATCTTCTTGGAGCCAACGATCACCCCAATCATAATCATGCCTGCAGCCAGAAAGAGGCAAAAAAACCACCCCAGGATAAGGCCAAGGGGAGGTTAAAATCTCAGGAAGAGGTGCACAGAGGGGTGACTCTCACCCAGGACTAGGGAAGCAATGAAGGCAGTGGCCACACTGCTGGCACACAGCAGCACAGCGTGGTCCATGCTGAAGTGCCCATCTGGGATCCACCCGAACACCACGGCTGCGATGGAGGCCAGGAAGCCAACCACGGTGGCCTGGACCTGGAAATGGAGAGCACAGGGTCACCAAGAGACCAAAACAGCCCCAGGGTGTGGGGAGAGCTGGAGCGTGTCCAGGGGAGGCAGCGAGGCTGGAGAGGGGCTGGGAACACAAACCCTGTGAGGAACCCCTGAGGGAGCTGGGGGTGCTCAGCCTGGAGAAAAGGAGACTCAGGGGTGACCTTGTCACGCTCCACAGCTCCTGAAAGGTGGCTGTGGGCAGCTGGGGCTGGGCTCTTTCTCCAGGAGCTGACAGAAGCAGAGCACAGCCTCAGCTGCACCAAGGGAAATTTAGGTTGGATGTTAGGGAAAGGTTTTTCACAGAAAGAGTGATAAAGTTCTGGAATGTTCTGCCTGGGGAGGTGGTGGAGTCCCCACCCCTGGATGTGTTTAACAAATTCTGGATGTGGCTCTGGGTGCCAGGGTTGAGCTGAGGTGTTGGGGCTGGGCTGGACTCGATGATCTCTCAGGTCTCTCTCAACCTGGTGGTTCTGTGAATTCTGTGAATTCTGTGAGAGGTTGCCCAGAGCAGCTGTGGCTGCCTCATCCTTGGCAGTGCCCATGGCCAGGCTGGAGCAGCCTGGGACAGTGGAAGGTGTCGCTGCCCATGAGAAATGGATCAGCTTGTTGGAGTTCTGGATGCTGAGAATTTTAAACTTTCTGTGCTGAAAGGCACAGACCTGCAAGAGAACACTGCATTGATCCGAGGCTGTGGGGAAGGCTTCCAAAATTAATTAGTAGCACTGGAATTATGGGTGTGGAGTTTGTTGGAAGTGTGTAATGTCACAGGGTGGAAAACTTAAGAGTTTGGGGTTTTAGAATATAGAAATAAATATGAAGCAAGATGGAGGTTTAAGGGTGGAGGCAGGTTGTTCTTCACCTTCTTCTACCTTCTTCTCCATGGGTTTGGGTGGTGTTTTGTAACTGGACAGAAAAGTCCGCAGTGCAGGCTTCAAGGGATCAGTTATTGGGTTAAAAAGGAAAATAATTTAGGTGTCATTTCTTAATTGGATAGTTTAGCCTCAAATGACCTTGTAACAAGAAATAGTTGGCCATTTTGTGCCTGGTTAATGAAAGACTGCAGAACTGGCTGCTGTGAGGCTGGAACATTGATAGAAATAACAAACACCTGAGTCTGAACATGAAATACCATCTGAAGTGCCTTCAATCCCCACGCCAACAGAGGCAGAAAAAGGAAGGTAAAAACTGACATAAGCTTTAAGGTCCCTTCCAGCCTGAACCATTCCATGATTTCATTCTATGATTCCAAGAAGGAAACCCCACCCAGGGGGATCAGAATCCAGCATGGCAACACCCAGTCCAACCTGCAGGGCCACAGAGATGCCACCTGCCTCCCCATCAGACACAGAATATTGACAGCAAACAGCAAAACCCAGGCATTTAAACCTCCCACACTTGCCAAAGCTGGGCTTGCCCAGCTGTAAATATTGCCCTTCCCTCTGCTTACCTGTATCAGAGCCATGTTCCCTGTAATCATCTTCCAGAGCTCTTTGGGTGTATCTATTTGGCCAATATTAGCCTGCAAGAGGAAATCAGAGATCCATTAATTACAGCCTGGCAGCACTTCACACCTGCTAACAGCCAAACTCCTGCATGCCAGGAGCAGGAGGGAACCTCAATCCCTCAGCTCTTACAGGAGAATAATCCAGCAGCAAAGGGAGCGCCAAGGGGAATCAACACCAACCAAAAACCTGCAAAAGCAGCGAGATCCCTCTGTGCCCCTGCAGCCACATGCTGCACTCCTCATGGCTCTCACTCTGCTGGCCCAGCCACGCCTGGCTGGGGCCCAGCTGGGTCAGGCTGCCTCTCGGGCCAGGGGTGCAGAGCCCCAGGTCAGAGCAGCAGCACTGGGGCACGGCGGGCAGGGCAGCAATCCCTCCTGTTCCTGGGAAAAGCTGAGCAAACAGAGCTGGGGACACGTGGGGACATGGAGAGGAGCAGGCAGCAATCCCTCCTGGCTGGGGACACAGAGAGGAGCAGGCAGCAATCCCTCCTGCTCCAGGGAAAAGCTGAGCAAACAGAGCTGGGGACATGGAGAGGAGCAGGCAGCAATCCCTCCTGGCTGGGGACACAGAGAGGAGCAGGCAGCAATTCCTCCTGTTCCTGGGAAAAGCTGAGCAAACAGAGCTGGGGACACGTGGGGACATGGAGAGGAGCAGGCAGCCCTGGCACAGGGGTCAGCTGGCACGGGGAGAGGCTGAGCAGGATGAGCAGGATAAAAAAAAAAAAACAGTAAATATCACCGTGGGTGATACCAACCAGGAGCAGGAGGTGGAAATGGCTTTAATTCCTGGATCCAAAATAACCCACAGGAATCGCTGCAGGGCACCAGCTCTGCTCCTCCCTGCCACCTCCGGGGTCTTTATGGGAAGAATGGGTGAATTTATATCCAGTTTGCATCGTTAGATGCTGATGAGCTCAGGAAACAAGGGAGAGGCTAAAACACTGGAGTGGGAAATGCATTTTGAAGGAATGCATTTTGAATTTTGAATGAGTTAGAGATGGGACCTCTGAGTTTTTCGGATGATGGGATTTATTTTTTATGAGAAGAATGGGGGAGTTTATATCCAATTTGCACCCTTAGAAGCTGATGAGCTCAGGAAACAAGGGAGAGGCTCAAACACTGGAGTGGGAAATGCACATTGGAGTGCATTTTGAAGGAGTGCATTTTGAATTTTTAGTGAGTTAGAGATGGGACCTCTGAGTTTTTCAGATGATGGGATTTATTTTTCTTATCTTCTGTGTAGACAGGAAGGATAAATTTGGCTCACATCTTCACCGCATGGCTCAGAAAGTCTCAAGACCCCTAGTTACAAGACCGTTCAAGGATTTATTGACCAATAAAACACTGTCAACAAGGATATTTATGTTCTTGACCCAATCTTTAAATAATTTAATCTTATGGACTCATGCTACAGTGTAATCATGCTATGACACACAAACCTACAGTACTGCATCCTAAACTTCTCCAAACTTGTGCACAACACCACAGCAGCAATTTCCTCCTCTCCGGTGGAAAATAAAACAAGAAATCATTGATTAATTAATCCCCACGCTCTCCTTGCTGGATGTGCTTTACTGAGATGCTCCCATCTCTGGAGCAAATCATTCTGGGCAGAGAGGAGGAAGAAATTTGGGGGAAAACCAACAAAAAGTCGACTGGAGCAGCACAGCCAGCACAGGAATTTGAGCTCCATGTGAAGCCTGACCTTAAAATTCCAGCCACATGGCAATTAGGCTGGGATTAACATAACCTGGCGTAATCACTTAATCCTTTAACTAATGGGGGAGTTTTGCCTCGTAATTGTGAAAGGAATTTCTGAGGTGCTTTAAAGCAGCACTGATTAGAAACCCAAAGCCTGAGAAGCCACTCCAGGCTGTGGAGACAGCTGGGGGAGCTCTGGGCAGAGAGGAGCTCCCTGCACAGCCCTGGGAGCAGAGACCCTCCTGTGCCACCAGCACGGGCACCTGGATGATCCTGGAGGTGCCCTGCAGCCTCCAGGACCCCATTTCATGATTCCATGATTTTAAGGAGGCACAGGAGGGAAGGCAGAGGCCAAAGGCTCTGGGGGTCAGCTTGAGGACAGGAGGATGCAGCAGGACAGGAGCTGTGCTGGTGTCCCCATGACCCCCCTGCAGCCACCGGGGCAGATGGGGCAAAGTTCTGCATTCCTGACTCGGTTCCTCTGCCAGGGCTGCTCCTGCCAGCCCCAGGGGGGGACACACAAGTGCCAACAGTGCCCTTGTCACAGGCACTCCCCCTGAGCAGCCCAGAAGGTGGCCAGGGCCAGGGGGGACAAGGTCCCTGTGGGCAGGACAACAAATTCCCAACAATGGAAAGGGAGTCAAACAAATGGATTTGTTTGTTTGTTTTTTCCCCAGAGAGAAGGGGCAAACAAAGCTCAGCCTCTGTCCCTGGAGGGGAGGAGAGGAAGAGGAGGGGAGAGGAGAGGAAGAGGACAGAAGGAGAAGAGAGGACCTGACCTGCCAGAGATGCAGAGATAGCCCTATGCAGCTCAGCTGTGCCTTCCCTGCCCAAAATTTGGGAATTTGACCTGCCCAGCTACCATCCCTCCCCAGGGAGGTCTCCCTGTCCCTCCCCAGCACTCACAGCTGTGGACAGGCGGGATGCCAGCGTCATCTCCAGGTTCCCCTTCAGGCCCAGCAGAGCAGGAACCAGGATGAACACCTCAGTCACCTGTTTGAAGACGTCCCAGTGCTGCAAAATTAAAACCAGTAAAAAACAGAACCAGTAAATCTGAGTGTGGGTGATGCCAGCCTCGGCTCTGGGCTCAGTGTCACCCCCGGGGCAGACACCCCAGTGCCCTCCCTGCTGCCACACGGGAATTCTGCCTGGCAGCAGTGCCCACAGCATCCTCTGGGCTCAGAACCAGCTCCGACATTTCCCAGACCTCCCAGCCCTGCTTCCCTGCCAGGACCCAAATCCACTCCTGTTCCCCACCCTGCCGGAGCTCACAGAACTCAGAACCCAGCTGGGCATGGGCTGATGGCCCTAGCAGCTTTCTGCCTGCAAGTGGCACCTCTGCAAATATATATATATATATATATATATATATAAAATTATATTCTTATATTATATATTAATAAGTTTTTTTATTTAATTTGGTTTTTTTTTATTTTTAGATTTTAAATCCAAAACTTAGCCCACTGAGGCCATATACATATATAAAATATTATATTACATATTTAATTTTTTTAAATCCAAAACCTAGCCCACTGAGGCCATGTATATATATACATACATAATATATATATATATAAATTATATTATTTTGATCCAAAACCCAGCCCACTGAGGCCATATACATATAATATCACATTATACATTATTTAATTCTTTTTTTAATCCAAAACCCAGTCTACTGAAGCCACCTTTCCCTCCCAGCTGTGCTAACTCAGCCATTTCCCAAGCGAGGAGGAGGCTCCAGCCCTCTCTGAGCTGCCCTCGGCAGTGCCACCCTGCCAGGCTGACACAGACACGGATTTCTCTGCAGGACAAGGAAAGCCTCCAGCTTTCTTTTTTCCCATCCCACCTGCCAGCCTGGGGGAGGCAGGAGTTCAGTTATTTTGTGTTTATTTTTTTCCACCCTCACCTCTTTGCCAACAAGCTGAAGTTTCCTGCTGCTTTGCTGTGGGAATCCAGGGCTTCCCTCTGGCTGCCCTGGCAGGTCTGGGACCCTGGCAGGGGTCAGGAACCCCCCTGGACAGAGCCCCCAGAGACACTGGCTGTGATCTCTGTCCATGGAAAAGAGTTTTCAATCTTACAGGATTAATTCCAAGCTCTGAGTGTTTGATATGAGTAATAATTAAGTGTGGCACGGGTGCAAAAGTAAAATTTTAGGATTCTAGATTAGGGGTCCAAAGGGGACAAGATGGAGGAAATTGGGTGTGCCTTGTCCTTTTTCTCCTTCTTCATGCCCTCCATGTTTCACTGTGGTGTTGGCATTTTTCTGTTGGTTCAGGCTGGGGACACACTGTCCAACGTAGGTGACAGATATTGGCACGTTATTGTAAATCCAGCACAGGTAGTTTGTGGTATTTAATGTTTGTACCATCCCACTGAGGGCAGAGCCCCACACGCTGCCCTGCAGGACAGAGCTGCGGCAGGGCAGCAGAACATGTTAGAGATAAACAGAATAAACAACCTTGAAACAGCACAGACCAATTATGGCTTCTGCTTTGGCAGCGGGGCTGACAGACAGAGACTTTTACAATCTCAGACTCACCAATACCACAGATTCCGACACTTTGCAACACCAAATTCAAGCTCCTCTCGAAAAATCCTTGCAGGCAAATGAAAAAAATAAAGTGGAGGCAAGCTTGGGATGGGTGGAGCGGGATTTCTCCAAGGGAAAAGGGGTTTTCCAGTGTGGCAAGCACATTTCTCTCCCTCTCAGGATTTTTAATAGAGAGAAATGAAAGAGAAAACAATTTCTATTTCTGCTCCTTGTTTTTCCCACGTGGAATGTGTTTGGAGAATTGTTTACCTGGGGTGATTGCTTGGTTGGGTTCTAGTGAGGATCGTTTGAGCCTGATGGCCAATCCAATCCACCTGGGGCTAGGCTCTCAGGGTCACAAGTTGAGGTTAGAGTCAGAGAAAGCAGTATGTAGTTTTAGTATCCTCCTTTTATATAGTATATTAATGTATTTTAGCATAGTTATAATAAAGAAATCATTCAGCCTTCTGAATTGAGTCAAATATCGTCATTTCTTCCCATTGGCTTCGCCTGCATTTCCAATATTCCAGTGATAAAAATCCCTCTAATGTTTCTGACATTGGTAAGGCCAGGTGAGGATGGAGAGAACCTGGCAGGGGTTGTGCCCTCCTCATCCCTGCGAATGTCCCAGGCCAGGCTGAGCTTGGAGCAGCCTGGCATGGGGAAGGTGTCCCTGCTTTGGAATGGGATCAGCTCCAGCCAAACCTCTGGGATTTCATGCCAAGCTGACTCTCAGGGACACAGCCTGAGAGTCAATATAAACAATAGAATATTATTATATTATTTATATTGATATATAATTATCTATTATATATTTTTATATTATATAATATTACATTATTTATATTGATATATAATTATCTATTATATATATTTTATTTTTATTATATATTCTATAATATTATGTTATTTATATATATATTTTTTCTATTATATATATTTTATATGTTTTTATTATATATTCTATAATATTATTATATTATTTATACTGATATATAATTATCTATTTATTTTATATATATTTTAAAATATATATTCTATAATATTATTGTATTATTTATATTGATATATAATTATCGATTATATTTATTTTTTATATATTCTATAATATTATTATATTGTTTATATATAATTATCTATTCTATATCTTTTATTATATATTATATTATTATCTTATTTATATTTTTATTTGATTATCTATTTTATATATATATAATAGATATATATATCTATCTATATCTATCTATATCTATCTATCTATATATATCTATATATATCTATATCTATCTATCTATCTATCTATCTATCTATATATATATATATATATATATATATCAGTCAGGTCTGGAGGTGCCCGAGGATGTGGCACTCAGGGTGGGGATGAGCTGGGGATGGTGGCACAGCCCGGACTCACTGATCCTGGGAGGATTTCCCAGCCCAAATTCCTGGGATTCTGTGATTTGAGCTCAGTGCTCACAGGTGAGAGCAGAACCTGAAATTCCCCACCCAGCTCAGGCTGGGCCTCCTTTAAGGCACCCCAGGAGCAGCTGAGCCAGGCTCTCCCTGGGCAGTTTTTGGGGACTCTGGGATGGCTCTGCTGGGTGAATCCTCACTCCAACTCCCCCTGGCAGCACCACTGCTGTGTCCTGGGTTAAGTGTGGATTCAGTTTCCATCTGTCAGAGGAATTTCCATCTGGGGCAGTTCTCCTCTGCTCGTTGAGCAGTTCTCTTTATCTCTTCCATAAACCAATTCCCCCTCCAGGAGATCTCTTCTGTTCATGGGCCATTAATTATTAATTTTCTTCTGTTAATGAGCCATTAATTATTAATGATCTCTGCTGTCCATGGCCACTGAATGTCCCTGCATGGCTGAGAAAATTCCATCATCCCATGGGGAGATGCTCCGCCCAGGGGAGGAGCCAAGAATTCCTACTTGGATATAATCTGGGATTTTGGGACACAGAACAGCCTTTGCCCCACTGCATTCCCAGAGGAGCAGCTTTCTTCCCCACAGCATTCCCAGAGGAGCCCAGGCCCATCTCCCCCAGCCCTGCAGCTCCAGAGGAAAACTCCCCCCTTGTGCAGGGGTTTGTTTTTTGGGTTTTACTGACTCTGGCAGTGTTGGTTTCTTTTGGGTTTTTTTTTTTTTTTTGTACTATTGCATTTGTATTTTAATTTTCCTAGTAAAGAACTGTTATCCTGTTCCCATATCTTTGCCTGAGAGCCCCTTAATTTCAAAATTATAACAATTTTGAGGGAGGGGGTTTACATTTCCCATTTCAGGGAGGCTCCTGCCTTCCTCAGCACACAGGGGCAGGGCCAGGCACCAGCTCCAGCTCTCATCAGCTTGTCCCAAGCCTGGTTTGTAAATGCAGCTTTAGGGGAGGCTGCCCTGCAAGCTGGAGCCACTGCAGCAGCTCTAGGGCAGGGCTGCTCCTTGAGAAAGGAAGAAAAGGCATCCTTGAGGAAGAAAAGGCATTTTTGGGGAAGAAAAGCAAGGAGATTTCTGCAGAGCTCAGCAGCTCACTGACTGCAAAAGAAAAAAAAAACTAAAAAAGACCAAAAAACCCTAAAAAAAGGCAAAAAGGAAACCCTAAAAAAAGGCAAAAAGAAACCCTAAAAAGGGCAAAAAGAAACCCCTAAAAAGGGCAAAAAGAAACCCCTAAAAAGGGCAAAAAGAAACCCTAAAAAGGGCAAAAAGAAACCCTAAAAAGGGCAAAAAGAAACCCTAAAAAGGGCAAAAAAGGTAAAAAAAAAACTAAAAGAAGAAAAAAACAACCTAAAAAGGGCAAAAAAGCCTAAATAAGGCAAAAAAATCCCACCAAAACCTAAAAAAGGCAAAACCAAAAAAAAACTCTTAAAAAAGGCAGAAAAAATTTAAAAGTCAAAGGAAAAAAAACCCACCATAACCTAAAATAGGGGGAAAAAAGGCAAAAAAAACACCAAAACAAAACAAATTTAAAAGGCCAAAAAAAAAAAGGATAAAGAGAAGATGAAATAAGAATTTCAGTTCAGGACTGAAAATCCCTGTAGCAGCTCCTCTGAGAAGCACAGCACCAGGGAAATCAGCTGGTTTTAGGGAGGCAAACACAGCAGAGAGGATCCTCCAGGATGTGCCCAGGATCCCACGCAGCACTGGAAGGGGTGAACTGGACCTGGGTGTGCTGGAGGTTCTGGAAAAATCCTCCCCCTTCCTCCCCCATGGCTCATTTCATGCCAAGGCTGAAGGGAGCTGGAGCTGCTGGCAGCACAGGCTGAGCTGCTGTGGGACACAGGAATTACAAAGTTTTATTCCAAAGTAATGGAATGACAAAGTTTTACTCCTAAATTTACACAAATCGAGGCAGGAGAACACAGTCTCCCAGCCCTGCCTGCCCACGAGCTCCAGGAAAAACTTTAGCTTGGGTTCAAATCACTTTGGGGGACTTCCAGAAGAGCCAGGCAGGGACCTTGCGAAGGGAAAACATGCTTGAAATGTCCTTATTTTTTCAGAAAACGATTCCAGTAAAGCTCTCCCAGATTAATTTCCCCCTGTCCAGCCTTTCCTGTTTGGAGTCACTTCCCAGCTGTCCCGGCAGGTCCCACCAAGAGAGGCCACAGGCATGAGCAGAGTTCAAAGGCACGCAGGGAAATGCTGCTGTGGGCAGGACAGCACCAGGAGAGGCTGCCTGACCACCCACAAATCCCCAAAAAACCCTTCTGACTTCCTGGCACCACAAATCCCAAAAAAACCCTTCTGACTTCCTGGCACTGGGCTGGGCTGACCCAGCTGCCAGGGGCTGACACTGGAGCTCTCCCTGCCCACTGCACCAGAGTTTGTTCACTCAGCCCAGCACAGCCAGCAGCTCCAAGCAGAGCATTTTCGGGTGCCCACAGCTCCCAAAATCTGTGTCCCCATCCCAAAGCTTGGATGAGCCTGGTTTTGTGCCTCAGGCTCTGCCCAGCCTGGCGTTCAGGGCACAGCAGAAGCTGATCTGCTGCCAGGCACGCTTGGGAAATGCACAGGAGCCTCAGTTTGCAAAAGCAGCGTTCCCACATGGAAACACAGCCAGGCTGGCACGTTCCCACGGGGAACACCTTGGTTTTTATCCAGAGGCAACTGCCAGCTCCCTGCTGGCCTTTCCTAAATGTCACCTGCACCTCTCAGGGGAACACTCCTGTCATCCCTGGATGCCTCCAGAGCACAGAGAAGTGGTGCAGAAAGCTCTGGAATGAGCCACAGGGCCTGGCACACACTGAGAGAAACATTAACCTGGCTAGCACGAGCCTGGACCAGCACAGCAAGCACCTGAGGTGGGAAAGGGACAAAAGGAGCTGGGATGTCACCAGGGAAGGGATTTATCTCCAGCTGTGATGCACAGAGTGCTCTCACTTCCCAGGCTGCACCTTCTCCTCTGAGCCAGTGCCCTCTCCTTCCTTCACTGCTCACACCTCTCCCATCCCCTTAAATTAACTGAGCTTAATTTACACAGCCAGGGCTGGGACAAGGCGATGGAGACTCCCCATCTCCCCCTCCCCACCAGCACTCCAGGGAGCTGTTTCCCCCCTCCCCAGTCACCGAACCAGCCTCGGCAGCCCATTGTGGCAGCCAGCCCTGCCCTGCAGAGCGCCAGCCCTACCTGCACGATGTCCAGCACCATCCCCGCAGCCACCGTGCCGAAGCCAGCCAGCAGGAAGGGGAACAGCACCTGCAGCCCGATGGAAAACGAGGTCTCCTTGAGGGGCGAGGCAGGCTCGGGACCCCGGTCCGTGCTGGTGTCATCGCTCTCGTTGCTCTGGCTGCCATTTTCCAGCAGGGCATCCTCCTCCCTCACCCCTTTGGCGTTGGCTCGGGACTCCAGCACCACCACTTCCACCCCGGTGCCGCCGGGCCCCAGGAACCCCTCGGTGGGCTCGGGGCAGTCCCCGGGCACGACGGGCAGCGCGGCCCCGTTGGCCTGGGCGCTCTCCTTCTGCTCCAGCGTGGAAGTCATGCTGCAGCACCCGCTCTGCTGACCCTTGGCTCGCTGGGCCTACAGCCAGCAGCTGCTCCAGCAGGGATCTTCTGCCAGCAGCTTATCCACACGGCCTTCCCAGCATCTAGGGGTGAGCTGTGCCAGCCCTGCTCGCCCGCCCGGGAGTGCAGAGCCTGCTCCTGCGGCAGAGATCCCCATCAAGCAGCGCCCGGGATGGGGACACGGAGCAAGGGGAGGGCAGGGGACACGGCAGCAGCTGGGACCGGCAGCAATTCCCCCTGGCTCTGCTCCTCTCCAGCGCCCTGTGCTGCAGCAGCCGCCCAGGCAGAATCCCAGCTTTCCTCCCGAGATGGGTGATGCTTTACTGCATCTCTTCCCGGTTTTTTAACAGCAGATGTGATGGGGCACAGGGAAAACCAGAAGAAGTGAAGGACAAAGAAGCTCAAAGGAACACTGAAGGAGAGGACTGGCTTTTAGACGTGATCCCACTCAGGCTCTTCTTGCTGCCACTGTCCCTCTGCAGAATTCCAGTGGGAAGGCTCCTGCGGGCTTTCTGCCAGAACAGCCAGCGATTCCAGCAGGATTCCAGTGCCACTGCCGCCCTCCTCCTCCTCGCCCAGCAGAATTTCTCACCCAGCTCTTACTCAGGGTAGCAGCAGCTCCCACGGAGGGTTACTCACGGCGCTGGGCAGGCTGCAGGGTGGGGGCTGGCATTTGGGCAGCCCGGGATCTAACGTGGTTTTCCAAGAACTCGTCCGTCACCTGAAACACACGGGAGGAAAGCCGATATTCCCCGCGGTCCCGTGGGATCAGCGATCCGTTCCCAACCTTCGCCGTGCCCCTCCTCTCCCCGGGCTGTCCTCCCGCACCGCCGGGCACGCTCAGCGGCCGGGCCGGGGCTGCGGGGGCACAGCCGCAGGGCGATCCCCGCGGCCGGTGCTGCTCCCGCAGCGCCCCGCGAGCCGCCAGCTCCGGAGCGGATCCCCGCGGGAATGCGCGCAGCGGAGCGGAGCGGGGCTGCCGCCCGGCCCGTGTCCCCGTGCCCCGCGGTGCCGGTACCGTGTCCCGCCGTGCCGGTACCGCCCGGTGCCGGTACCGCCCGGTGCCGGTCCCGTGTCCCGCCGTGCCGGTACCGCCCGGTGCCGGTCCCGTGTCCCGCCGTGCCGGTACGGCCCGGTGCCGGTACCGTGTCCCGCCGTGCCGGTACGGCCCGGTGCCGGCCGCTCCGCTCCCGCCGCTCCCCCGCCGCCCCGCGCTCTGCCCCGCAGGGCCCCGCCCCGCGCCGCCCTGACATCACCGCCGCCCAATGGCGACCACGCCCGCCCCGCCAAACCGCGCTCCCATTGGCCCGACGCGCGTGGCGTCACGTCTGGTCACGCCCCCCGGCGCGCAGCGCGTCCCCGGTGTTTGTAGGCCACGCCCCTTTGGCGCGCGGGGGCGGGGCCTCGGTCCCAGGCGGGGCCGGCGGGAGCGGCCGGTCCGTCTGTCCTGTCCGTCTGTCCGTCTGTCCTGTCCTTCTGTCCGTCTGTCCTGTTCTTCTGTCCGTCTGTCCGTCTGTCCGTCTGTCCGTCTGTCCGTCTGCCCATCTGCCTGTCTGTCTTTCTGTCCGTCTGTCCTTCTCTCCGTCTGTCCTGTTCTTCTGTCCGTCTGTCCGCCCCTCCGTTCGTCTGTATGTCCATCCCTCCATGTGTCCGTCTGTTGGTCAGTCCTTCTGTCGGTCTGTCGGTCTGTCCATCTGTCCGTCTGTCCATCCATCCGTCTGTCCTTCTGTCCGCCCCTCCGTCTGTCCGTCCTTCCATCCACTCTGCCGTCTGTTCTTTCTTCCGTCCTGCTGTCTGTCCATCTGCCCATCCATCCATCCATCCCTCCATCCAGCATCCATCCATCCATCATCCATCATCCAGCCATCCATCATCCATCATCCATCCATCCATCATCCATCCATCATCCATCCATCCATCCATCCCCCATCCATCCATCCATCCATCCATCATCCATCCATCCATCATCCATCCATCCATCATCCATCCATCCATCATCCATCCATCCATCATCCATCCATCATCCATCCATCATCCATCCATCCATCCATCCATCATCCATCCATCCATCCATCCATCATCCATCCATCCATCATCCATCCATCCATCCATCCATCCATCCATCATCCATCCATCCATCCATCCATCATCCATCCATCCATCCATCATCCATCCATCCATCCATCCATCATCCATCCATCCATCCATCATCCATCCATCCATTATCCATCCATCATCCATCCATCCATCCATCCATCATCCATCCATCCATCCATCCATCCATCCCTCCATCCCCCATGCCTTTACCTGCTCTCCCTGGGGCTCTCCGGGGCTCCCTCTCTCTCCCCACTGTGCCCCACTGGCGACCGGAGCTCAGGGGTGGCCAGAGGTGCCCGGCAATGCCACCCCCATGCAGGGAAGCAGGGCTGGATGCAGCCCAGTGGTACCCACTGGATTTCAGGCCTCTGCCAGGCTGGGGCAGCTCTGAACAAAAGCTCAGCAATATTGTCACGTACTCTGCCTCTACTTGTGCCAAACTGTCCCACGACAAATAAATAAAGAGCATAAAAACTCCTGCTACAGAGGTCAGGTCCTTGTTGCTCTGTACAATTCTGTGTTCCTGAATGAACCAACTCCTCTGATTCATGCTTTCCTTTTATTTCCCCTTTTTTTTTTTTTTTTTTTTTTTTTTTTTTCTTGTCATGAGTGGAAATTTTGAGCAGTTGTTTTTCCTTCCTGCCTTTCCTTTCCTCCCAGGAAACAGCCAGCAGCGAGTTATTGCTCAGGGTGGTGATGTGACCCCAGCTCCAGGCCTTGGAGACACGCTCTGGGCCAGTGAGGGTGGCTGGGACACTGCAAGTGTGTGGGGGAAGGGGAGGCAGCCCGGGAGGTGTCGGAATCTGAGGTATTGATGATTCCAAGATTGTAGAAAGTCTCTGTCTGTCAGCCCCGCTGCCAAAGCAGAAGCCATAATTGGTCTGTGCTGGTTTCAAGGTTGTTTATTCTGTTTATCTCTAACATGTTCTGCTGCCCTGCCGCAGCTCTGTCCTGCAGGGCAGCGTGTGGGGCTCTGCCCTCAGTGGGATGGTACAAACATTAAATACCACAAACTACCTGTGCTGGATTTACAATAACGTGCCAATATCTGTCACCTACGTTGGACAGTGTGTCCCCAGCCTGAACCAACAGAAAAATGCCAACACCGCAGTGAAACATGGAGGGCATGAAGAAGGAGAAAAAGGACAAGGCACACCCAATTTCCTCCATCTTGTCCCCTTTGAACCCCTTATCTGGAATCCTAAAATTTTACTTTTGCACTTGTGCCACACTTAATTATTACTTATATCAAACACTCAGAGCTTGTAATTCATCCTGTAAGATTGAAAACTCTTTTCCATGGCCAGAGATCACAGCCAGTGTCTCTGGGGGCTCTGTCCAGGGGGGTTCCTGACCCCTGCCAGGGTCCCAGATCTGCCAGGGCAGACAGAGGGAAGCCCTGGATTCCCACAGGGAGCCACATTCCCACATGGATACAAGGATCCAGACATGCCTGGAGCTGCTGACTTCATTCCTTAAGGAAGCTGAAGCAGTCCTGGGTAGGGATCCATTGTGGATCCATTGTCACCCAAAGCTCTGGGCTCTGCTGCTTCAGTTCTCTCTGCTCCTGTCAAGAGCTGGGCACAGTCAGGTGTTCTCCTGGAGGAGATATATTCTCCTGGAATATTTGGTGCTTTTGGAGAAGAGGATGAGAGGAACCTGTGGAGCAGAGCAGGACAGATGATTAGAGAGAGCAGCACTGTGAAAGGGAATTTTTATAGGGTAGAGAGTGACAGGACACAGGGAATGGCTTCCCACTGCCAAAGGGCAGGGATAGATGGGATATTGGGAAGGAATTCCTCCCTGAGAGGGTGGGCATGCCCTGGCACAGGGTGCCCAGAGCAGCTGGGGCTGCCCGGGGTCCCTGGCAGTGTCCAAAGCCAGGCTGGACAGGGCTTGGAGCCACGGGACAGTGGGAGGTGTCCCTGCCATGGCAGGGGTAGGACGGATGAGTGTAAAGTCCCTTCCAACCCAAACCATCCTGGGATTCTGGGATTTCAAGGCATGTGAAGCCTTTGGGGTCATTTCACTCATTCTCAGGACCTCCACCAGCAAAGAAACCTCATGGAAAACTGGAGACATCCAGAGACACAACTCCAGCCTCAGCCAACTTCTACCCTCCAGCTGGGACTGGAGTTCCAAACCCTGCCTCCAGCCCAGCCTCCATTCTCCTTTGTCCGAACAAACCTGGCTGCAAGGCTCTGCTTCCACCTTCATCTTCCCTTCCTGACTCGGAAAATCCATCCCTCCCCCGGGATGGAGCCTCCATTCTTCCCTCACCTCCCCAAAAACCACGTGCACCCAAATCTGACCTCGCTGCTCCCCAGCTGCAGGCTCAGGAAGTGGAAGTGTGGGGACAAAAGCTGCCTGAGACAAGAAAACAGAAATAGATAAAACTCCCCCCAGCGAGGCTGACATCAAAAAAGCAGAGGATGAAAGGGCAGGAAATTGGGTTTCCAATTGCAGGGAGCAGGTAGCAAAGGCAACAAAAATTGTTTGGAAAGGAAGGAGTTGACCACTGAGCTGTGCTGGATCATGGAATGTCTGGTGGAATGTGGTGCCCATGTGATTCTGGCACTGCTGAACTGCCCAGCTCTGGGCCAGCACTCAGGAATGGCCTCAGGGATTCACAGGAGAATCCAGCAGGATAAAAGGGTTTGGCCAAAGTTACCCAAAAAATCCTGACGTAGAAATGTCAGTGCCCTGAGAGGTGCCTTTGCTCCCTGTCCTGGCTCCACCACTGCCTGTCACAACCTAAATGGAGCTCCAGCTACTCCTCAGCGAGGATCCTGAGGGAACTGGGTTCTTAATTCCTTGCAAGGAGGAATCTCAGCAGGAAAACAAACCTGAGCAGGTTACAGAACAGGATTTGCCCTTTCAGATGTCACTGCAGGGCACAAGCAGCTCACGAGGGCAGGCAAAACATCAGCAGCTGGGCCTGAGCTGGGGGAGAAATGCAGATCCAGGAAGTTCTGTTTTGCCAGCCTGGAAGCAAACAACCCATCTCCATCCTTTTTTCCAAGGTCCCAGCTGTGTTCCTGTGTCCCCACGTGCTGTGACAAACACAGGGCAGCCCCTGGCAGGTCCCTCCCTGGGGCTGGTGGCCACGGGAGAGCACCTGGGCCTGGTTTTCCTGTGTTCCACAAGGTCAGCGGATCCGGTGGGGCAGCAGGGACAGGGACACCTGTCATGGAGCCACTGGGGATGTGCCTCACATGTCAGCTTTGTTCCAGTTATGGGCTGGGAGGGAATTCATTTATAGCCAGAATTAGGCTGAAGAAAACACTGATACCACAAGGCTGGCCAGACCAGAGACTGATGATGAAAAAAAATACATAATAATATCTTAATTCCCCCTATTTCCTGCTCCATAAAGACCTCTCACTTCCCAAAATCCCAAAGAGGACTTTGGATTAACATGTTTACATACAACAAGGCAGTCCTGCAGTACCAACATTTAAAAATGCAAGTGGAAGGATATCAGATCCAGAATATCTGAATTCCCACTGCATGGGATCATCTCTGTAGTGCAAGGCCAGGCACGATGTTCAAGCGATCTGAGTATTTACAGGGCTGCAATAAACCACACCATTGTGCTGGGTTTAAAACATAAATTAAAAGAGGGACCCTGGGAAAAGCTTCATGGTTCAAATGTCACTTGTAAGACTCCCTGCTCTGTGACCGACCCCATGGCAAATCTCTGAGTGCCAAAGAGCATTTTCCCTTTGTCCCCTGCCCTCTGCTCTAACCACCCTTCCATGTGGTCATTTTCCTTCCTGCTGAGGAGTGACTGCAGCTTCCTCTGGGCCCCCCACCACAGCTCTGAGCTCAGCTCTGCCATCAGCAGAGGGATCTGCAGGGAGCAGGGCCCTCCCTTCCCTCCCTTCCCCAGCCTTTATCTCTGCCTCCCCTGCCCTGGGAAGCTGCAGCAGCTGCGAGCAGAGCCAAGGCCCCGCTGCAGGGCCACACAGCCCTCCCCGAGCCGCTCAGCCACCAAACCATCCCCTGCTCTGGGAACTCAAAGCGTCCCTCGGACACTTTTGGATGTTCCGGGCCCAGGTCAGAAGCATTTGAGACCCTGGCGGGCAGCTGGAAACAGCTGTGATTTTGGGTTTGAGCCATGGAATGATTTACCAACCTTGCAGGGAGAACAAGAAGTCACAAAAGTTTAGATATTATAGTAGAAGTAGTCACAAAGTAAAGGGAAGAATTTTTGAGTGCTGTACAGGGGGGTTTGGTTTTGTACATGGGGGTCAGAGGGTTTAAGATGGAGGGATTTGGGCCTGCCCTGTCCTCCCTCTTTCTTCTTCCTTCCCTCCATGTTCTTGGTGATGTTGGCACTCACAGATTGGTTTAGAGTAGAAAAGCACCATTTAATATAGGTAATAGGCATTGGGGAAAAACTGTACCCATGTAACACGTAATGTACCATATAAAAGATAGAAAAGCACCATTTAATATAGGTAATGGGCATTGGGGAAAAACTGTACCCATGTAACACGTAATGTACCATATAAAAGATAGAAAAGCACCATTTAATATAGGTAATAGGCATTGGGGAAAAACTGTACCCATGTAACACGTAATGTACCATATAAAAGACAGCAGCAGCCCTGGGCAGAGGGGGAGAGAAGAAGCAGTCGGGAGTCAGAGAGGATGTCAGGGTGTGTGTGTGCCTCTGCCTGAGCTGCTGAGCAGTTGACATACAACAGACAGAGTTTCTTGTTTTAACTAGAATGTATGCATAACCATGAAGGATATATGAATATGCAACAGTGTATTGTTTTAAAGGTGATTCCTTTGTTCACAAGCCATGCTTTCTGTGACTTAGTGTCCAAGAGCATCCGGACGTCCGTAATTCTTTGCTTTTTATTGTCTTGTAATTATCCTAACTCTAAACTTTATCACTCTAATTGTATTACTATTTTTATAACCATTTTATTATTATTAAACTTTTAAAATCTTAAAAAACAAGTGATTGGCGTTTTTCACAATTCAAGAGCCTGAATTCAGGACTGAAGGGACAAAAATTCTGTAAAAGTACCAGAGCACCAGCAAAGACTGAAGGGATTGGCAAGAATTTGTGCAGGGTTCAAGCAGCAGCAGAAAGAGCAGTGAAAACCAGAGAATTCAGGGTCACAGGCTGAGCTGCAGGTGAGGAATGCTCCTCTCTAATAGCAAAGGCATCCAGGCTGTGGCTGAGCAGCCTCCAGGTTCTCAGTGGATGTCTCACTCCACTGAGACAGAAATTTTCACAGCACCTGCTGGAGAAAATGGATTTCAACAGCTCCATGGAATATCAAATGAAACAGCAAAAGAGGAGCCAAGAATCCAAGTGTCAAATGCAAAGCTGGAGGAAACAACTCTGTAAACACCTTGTTCCTCCAGCTCTGAGCCTGAGCTCCCCACGGCCACTTGGAGCTGAAAATAAACCAAGCTCTGTTAAAGAGAGCCCAGCAACAGAGCTTTCTTTAGAAAATGCAGGTGTGGGATGTGACCTTTTCTTTTCCCCAGGGTGCAGCAGGCCCAGCTCAGCTGGCCCACAGCAGTCTGACACAGCACACAGCTCACTTGGAGTCACTGCTGGCACAGGAACATCAACGCTGTAGATTTGGGGAAAAAGGAAGTTGCTATGGATGTAAGACACGCTGGAATTGGGCTAACACACTGCTCCAACCATATCTGTCAATATGACTGAGTTACCTGAATTCAGAGAAGAAAATCAGGCTCTTCCTTCCTCCTCTGAGTCAGAGGTAATTGCTCTCCCTGCTCGAGGCACAGTGACTCACTGCAACACAAAAAGAATAGCTCCTGGAGTCATTAATCTGTGTTTTCATCGTGTGCTTGGCACTCTCCAGTAACTGCTCACACCATGCAAACTTGGAGGTGATCTTAACAGAAAAGGCATCATTCATATTCTTGTTATTATTTATATGAATTTCACACCCCACTTAGGAAAAGATGTTTTCAGAACCATCTCCTGCAAGGTGAAATGGGGTGGGAAGGGATCTTCAGTCAGGAGGTGTGTGCAGACACCAAACACTGAGTGCCTCCCTGGAGCTGTGTCACACAACCACGACCTGCCAGCAAATGTGATAAAATAAAGAGGCGTAAGAGCACAAAGGCAAAGCTGCCCCATGGAAAATCAGGGAGAATCATCAGAAGGGACTGGGAAAATGTGTAAGGATGGGAATGTGCTGTTTGCCCAGTGGATCCTGCAGGACAGGCTCTGTTTAAAGCACTCTGGTGTTGCAGAGGTTGCAGCAAAGCTCTGCTGAGCACGTCCCCAGTGCAGAGGCACTGCAAGGTCCCAGGCCTGGCTGATGAGCTGCACTTAATGAGCTCTGCAAGGAGCTGCCCCAGCCAAACCTCACAGCACATGTTCACACAGGAACTGCCAAACCCAGCCCTGCCTTCCCAGCACCCTCTGCCCTTCACTTTTCCTTCAACAGCAAAATGCATCTTCTTCCTTTAAAGAAACAATCCTCACCAGAACAGAGGTGAGGGGTTTTTGGCTGGGGGAAGATTACAGAATACAAAGGATATTTTATGTCTTTAGGACACATTTGTTAGTACAACAGGCAAGAAATCCCTCCTTCCACATCACAAGAGTGTGACTCAGGTCAGGATTTTCACAACCTGTGCTCTCTCATGAGGTTTTGTTCAATTTTCTCTGTTTTCCCATTTTTTCAGTCCCTCTGACTACCAGCACAACCATCAGCTGTTAAACAGTATTGTCCCCATACAGCCACAGCCAAAGCAAAGGCTTTAAACTCAGTTTTGCAGAGAAAAAACAACAACAAATCCTTCTCTGCACCTCCCACTGCCAGGGCTGTGTCCCATTCAGTGCTGTGCCCTGACACATCACTTTTGCTGTGCCTGCACACAGGAGCAGTGACACCTCCACAAAAGAGCCACAGACACGTGGCTGAACAAATCACAGAGTGCAGCAAACCAGAAAAGATGCAAACTATTTACTGCCCAACAATGCCTGGCCAGGGTGAGCTGATTTTGTGTAGAAAAGGGAGCAAAGATTAAAGCTGGCTGGAAAATAGGTGGGTTTGTTTTGATGGAAAGTTTATGGATTGCTCAGGTGTGGAAATTACTTCAGTGCAATTACACAGCTACATAAAAAGACTAAATAATCACCAGAAAAGAATTCACATTCTTCATTTTATTAGATGAAACTGTCAGTTTTGTTTCAATTACTCAGTGATACAGTTGGAGCCCTCTGGCCATAGTGATAAGATCAGACTACAAATAAATAAGAGAACGGTGAACGGAAAGAATTGGAATCACAGTTCCATCAGTGTTTTTCAGGATACATTTCACGGTATTTCCTCTACATTCCAGCTCATTTCACAGTATGAATTTAGAGCAGAACATCCACCCATCCCAGTGCACAATTTAAGCTCTGAAAAACAGACACATCTGTGCAGCAGGAGGTGCTGCACTGGTCCCTGCAGCACAGACACTGCCACTGTCACACAGCAGCTTTCAGGCTTTTCTTTGGCTAACATCACTTTGTTAACTATTTATTGATAGAATTAATTTAATTAACTGAGTAAATAAATTATTTGTCTAATTAATACTGGTGACCTCAACTGTCAAGGCCAAAAGAATGCTGAACCCTTGAGTGCTGTCATAGGTAGGCAAGAAGTGCAAGATAAAACAGTGTTAACACCCATGGCCTGCCTTCCCCAGGATTCCCAAAAAACTGAGCAGGAAAGTGGAAATTGCTTGCACTGGCAGTGAAGGAACAAACCTCTGAGCCCTCTGAAATGGGAGAACTGAAGGACTTCACATCTTTCACAATCAAGTTCTCAGAAAAACAAAGGAGAAGCATAAAGTGATTCAGTGGGAAAAGAGACGAGCAGACAACAGGGATTTAATTCCTTATTTAAAGCTGCAATCCCTTATTCTGACACCCAGTTGCACAACACACCCTGAGCCACACCATGTGTCAGGGAGGGGAAAAAGAAAACATCACTAAAATGATGGGAAGGAAAATTTTCAGCACCTCTTCAGTTACAACAACATGGAAGCTCTGGAGTACCTGAAAATGGAGTCAGAAATCAGTGCAGCCATGGGAGTGAGCACTGACCCTGGCTCAGAGTACCATGGATGATGGTGACAGCATCCCCTGGGAGAATCCCCTGGGAAGCAGCAGTGCCCAGCAGCAGTGCAAGAACCTCTCAGTGTGGCTGTACCAGTGACAGGAACCCTCCCACCAAGCCACAAACCCTCCCCGTGAGCTTCTGGCAGAGTCCTCACCTGAGACAGATCCACTCACCATAAAAAAGGAATTTGTCAGAAGCACACAGGATGAGTCACCTTCTAATGGTGAGTGACTGCTGATTATAACTTAGATTTTTAGTGATTACCCATTTCAGAGGTTTAAAGTGCTGAAAAAAATTAATGTCAGATTAATGGCTGCACATCAGACCACAGAGAGCAGGAATCAGGGTTATTTGTTGGGTTTGGCCAGGTTCCTATCACACAACCAGCATTTTTCCCATCTGTATGTAAACCACAATATCAAAACCCCCCAAATTCCAGCTGTAGCTCAATACACAAGTGCATCTTCAGCCCCTTGTCCCAGAGTCCACCTGCAGCTGCTCTTCCCAGAAGTCTCTCAGAGCTCGTGGGAGTTGGCGTGGGGCTCTGGAAGTGTCTCAATGTCACAGTTCTTGATCAGCTGAAAGAGGAATTCCACCTGTTTCTCGTAATTCTCAATGGAGATTCTCTCATTCAACCCATGGATCCTGAAAGAAAAAGGACATTTTTCAGTCCAGGGGGAATTTCTGACCCAATTGCACAAACTCAGCACCCTGTTTGGCTGCTGACTTCATAAAGCAGTGCACAACAAAAAAGCACAGCAATACAGACCAAAAACTGCACTGTAACCAACCCAAATGTACTGATTCACAGGCTCAGAGCCCAACAGCTAGGGCTGGAAAAATTCTAAAAATCTAATCTTGAAAAAATCCTAATGGCCTATTTCTTGTCCATTCTTGTAGAGCCAGAACACTCAACTCCTGCCTCATCTGCACCTCAATAAAATGAGAAATCGAAATAAGCAAACAATCCCTTGCATGATGATGTTGTTATCACATAATTTCAGGAAATTTCAAATCAATTCACAGTGGCAAGTGTCCAAAAAGGTGGATAAATCTGCAGGACAAGGCCAACTACCACAACAACACCTCCCACACTGCTGCAGCAGACAAAAGATCCACTTAGCCCCACAGAATCAAACACCTGAATGGGTCCTGCCTGCATTTGAAGGAACAGAGAGCTGACAGTGTCCCAGGGTAATATATATACGGGTAATTTCCATCCCCAGCACCCAAATCTGCAGGAAATGGGTGGCCTGACAGGATGGGAGGCCAAGGTACACAAGGCTGGGTTTCCTTCTGCTCATGGATCTCCTCTTTCCCTGGGCCCACCCCAAGAGCTGCCCAGCAGAGTTCAGTACCTGGGGAGATCATCCTGTTTCAGGAGCAGAGGGTTGAACCTGTAAATGGCCTTGGTGACGTTGGTGAAGTGCCTGCTGTCCGTGTTTCCAATACACGTGCCTGGAAAACAAACCTCAGGCTTGTTCTGCAGGAGAGGAACAACTGAACTCCAAAAAGTGACCCACCTTTCCCCAGGAGAGAGGAAAAGCAAGTGATAACAGTCCTGCACTGCCTGCACCAAAAGCATCACTGGAAACATTGATTGGCACGTGCTGCAGAACATTGTCTCCTTCAGGAGCAGGAGCTGAACACACAACTCAAGAACAGCCTCAGACTCCCCAAAAATTACAACTTCAAGATTCAATCCAACAACTGCAGAGCTAGGAAGGAGTTGCAAGAAAGGGAAGGGGCTGGGATCATAAGGAACAATACAGAAAAGCAGGAATGGCTTTGCCAGCTATGAAAACAATAAAAGAAGAACTAAAGCAAGAAGACCTCCTCCTCTCCCTCACAATTCCTTTCTTCCCCGAAGAGATTCCTTTGTATGTGCAGAGAGCCCAATTCAAGGCTCATTGTTTCTGTCAGCTTCCTGTTTGCTTTTTTACTTCCACTGCTAAAAAACATTAAAATTTTTAAAGCATAAAGAGGGAACGGAATAAAAAGAGGAAAAACCAGCTGTTTCCAGCAGTTAACAGCTGGGGTGGAGGAGCACACAGCAAATGGAAACAAGGAGTGCTGGGGGAGGGAAAAGCAGAGGAGGAAACAATAATCATCATGTGCCTGCTGTCACCTGGGACTACACTGTCAACATCTGGGAAAGTGTCCAGGGTGGTTCTTTGAAAAATATGGACTGCAAATGTCTGCTCATCCCAAGGACTGATGGGCAGGGGGTCAAAGGCCTCCACCACATCAATCTTCACTCTCTCATCAGCAATGGTGTTCCTGACTGCCTCCAGCACCTGTGGGTGAAACACAGAGACAACAGCAGCACAAGAAATGAGAAAGCAGTCCTTAGAGACATCAGCAGATGTTCAGCTTTCCAGAAAACATCTGTCTGGGAACTGTCAGTTGTGGCTGCAAAGACAGGCTGAAAGTGTGTGTCAGTGCCTCTTCTGCGTGCATGGCTGATACTTCAGCTGAAGTTTTTAATCAGATGCACATCACTGTCCCAAGGGACTCCTGAACTGCTTCAGCCCTGCAACAGCTCAGCCTGATGCTCTTGGAAATTATGGCATTCAAATAATCCAGAAAAAGCTTCCAGAGAAAGAAACTTCCAGCAAAGGCTTGGGGAGGGAGGAGGTTTTGTACTGACAATATTTCACAGCCGGGCAGGCCTGTCAGACCTCCTGAGGTGTGCAAGATTCCCAAACTCTCCCAGGTCACAAACCCATTCCACATCCCAAATGATCCAGGTGTTCTGTGGCACAAAAGGTGAGGAGATCTGAGCAGGGCTACCTCAGCAGCTGTCTCAGCCGAGTGGATCCTGAAGTTCACCGTGGCTCTGGCAGAGGAAGGGATGACATTCACCTGGAAAAAAGGAAGGGCCAAAGTTTAAAAGGAAGTGAAAACCAGAATAAAATGCCAGCTGAAAACTCAGAACTGCTCCAACAATTGCAGACCTCAGGTGCTCCACTGTTTCCACCAAGTGTGATGTCTCTTTCTGTGTTAAAACACTGCAAATCCTATCTAAAATACAGATAAATACACAAAGAAATATTCATCAAATTAGGAGAAATGAAGTTAGCTGTTACTTCTGTAGTTTTTATATTGAGCTAAGCCCTCTACCTTCAGAAAACTTATACTGAGAAATTCAGTATAGTATAGAAATTCAGTACAGAATTTCAGTATAGAATTTCAGTACATACTGAGAAATTTTTTTAAGTGTTATTTTTACCTCATTGTCACATTACGTGCTTCATATTTGGGTAAATGTAAGTCACTTAACAACAGATTTTTATTGAACACGTAACTCTTCTTATCTACAGACTGAATATTTACAACTTTGTTAAACAAAAACGTGTAATCTTTAGGAGAAAACCCAAGGAACCAGGGTGTCACTTTCCTCCTGGCCACTCCGTGTCACTGTTCAGCCACTGCATCTTTTCCTGTCCAGTGATGCTTTTCAGTCACAGATTTTTTCAGGGCCACACCAAACACAGCCTGTTTGTTTTCCAGGGCTCCGGTATTTTTGGACAGTTCCCCTCCTTATCAGGGCAGGATCTTGCTGTTATCTCTCAGTCCAAGGTGCACATTTAACACACTTCAGGCAAACCCCAGACCTGTGCTGCAAATGTCTGGGTCAAGGAAGTGTTTGTGACTGGGACAGTTTCAAATATTGCCTTTGATACTTTGTAGGATTATGCAGAAACCACATTTTCTTGTTTATGCTGAAATATTAACAATTTTAACAGTAGTGGACAGAGATAAGATACTTCTGAAAGGAAATGATTTCCAACTGTAGCCAAATCCAAGCCACATCTGAGGTAAGAATGAGACTGAGGCACCACACAGGGCCCACACTGATCTTAGAACTGGATATAAATAGGTGGAAATTAAATATCCTAATTGTCTCATCATAATTACATGGAGAAAAACGCAAATGAAAGCACCTTGATTCCTGCATTAAACAGGGTGACTGCAGTGGTCGTTCGGATCAAGGCATTGGTGGAAGGTTTCCAGGCAAGCACTCTACAAAAATAGAAACAAACAAACACAATTTTTCAAATAAGTTGAATATTGCTAAAAAACAAGTACCATAATTCCACAGGCAATAAGCTGAATGATGGCTTATTCAATTAACGAAGTGGTTATTAACAGGAAACCACTGAATTATCTAAACCACAAAATAACAGATTTCCTGGGAAGATTAGAAATGCCTTCATCCTTTAAGGGTGAGAGGCTGAGGATGTTTATCAAGAATCTCTTTTCTTACCTGCTGACAATAGGTGAGAACAGCCACAAATTGCTCATGATGATGTTGAGAGGAAACTTGAACTAAGGGGAAGAAACAAAACCACAAATCAGAAAGTTTTAATTTGTCAAGAGCACAGTGGAGTCATTTGAATATGGACAAAAATATTCCAGCAGGAACAATAATCTGGGGGAAAAATCAGCTTTTTTTACGCTTTCTACACAGCTGTGCTCTAAATTTTTCATTTGGTTACTCTTGTAGAAATTTGGGGATGAAATCCTGGCTCTGTCCTCACCTCTGCTGCGAGGTGCTCCATAGTCATGAGCTCTGGGCCATAGCCAAACAGATTGCGCAAGGGATTCTGCTCCAGCCTACAAAACAAATTGTTAATGTTTTCAACACTGAAAAGGTTAAAAAGCAACTCTCTGGCTGTTATTGCTCCAGAAGGATGTCAGGAATCTGATTTGTGAAATGGATCCCTGTTACTGGAGATGCAATCACACTCTGCTCTCCTGGTAAGTGAATGTGCAAACACGGCTCCACAGATTTTTGGGCATTCCAGTAACGTGCAAAGATTTCCTTTGAGAAACAGTTGACAAAATCCCAAATCCTGGCTCCTATAAACGCATGGAAATCTAGAAAAATAGCACACAAATCCCACCATGTCTGGACATACTCAGTTTTTCTAAAATTTGTATTTCTTAGCCAATTTGGTATCTACACAGAGATGTAAAGAGATGATTTCTGCAGTCACATTATGACTCTATTCCATGTTCATTGGCTTGGAGAATTCCAAGCTGAGGTAGCAGGGATGTGCAGGAACAAATTGCAGAGAAATCCTGCCACCCCAACAAAGGAATCTCTGTTGCTACAGAGTAAATTAGGGCAGACAGCACCTGTCTTGCTTTTAAAGAATTGGCTGACACTTGGAACAGCTGAAGTGCAAAGACTCTGCAGACATCTGGCAATTGTTCCCTGACTGGGAGTTTCATTTCTGCCCTTCAAAGTGAGCTACAAACTGCAATTTCAAATATAGAACAGCAGTTTGAAAAATACTCTAAACAGTAATATTTCAAAAGTCACATATCAGTGGTTCAGGAGGTTTTTTGACATCAGGTGACAGAGAAATTCTCACCTGGACATGGCTGCTGCCAGAATGCCAATACTTGTCTCCTTAGGAGGAAAGGATGAATGCCCTGGCTCTTTTTCCACAGTGAAGTTCAGTGTCATTGAACCTTTTTCTGTGACAGCAATCCTGGACAATGATAAATTAATTAACAAATAAATGACTAATGTAATTCCAAACACAAACACACACACAGAGACTGTAGATAAAAATAACTACTCTGCATAGTTTTAGTATGATAAAAACCACTCAAGCAGCAACAACAAATCATTAACACAGTGTTTAGATCTCTGCAGGAGTGATGTCTGGGCTGCCTCTGCAGTGAGCAGAGCTCCAGAGCACAGAATTAAAATGCTCAGTGGAAGGTTGTGCCTCTGTCAGCATGCCTGTGATGGACAGCAGGCAGAGGCTGAAGGTCCCTGCCTTGCACCTTGTGCCACTGCTGCAGCTCCAGCAGCACCAACACTGCCACACGTCCTGAAAACATTCTGTAGGAACATCAACAATGTCATTTATCACTAATTAATGACTGAAAATTAATCACATTCTGGTGGTCACTCTTACATAGCCACTGGCTTCTTCACCCCTGCAATGATGCCATCCAGCACTGCGCTCCCCTCATCCAGCAGGAAGGAGAGTTTCACTCCTCTGGCTTCCAGCAGAGCTGCAATTTTCCTTGCTCCCTTCAGCCCAGACACCTGTGCAATCCAGGCAGAGGAACTGATCAGATCCAGCCAGAACACTGGGAGGAAAACTGGAAAGCACCTTGCTGTTGGCTACAGCAAAAGAGTGCATGAAATCCCCTGGGGAACAGCTGCAGAACAATCATAAAAGATTCTTCCAGGAAAATTAATTGGAGATGGTTAATGGCCTGATAGCAGATGAATTTATAGCCATGATGAGAAGTGCTCTCACTGATGAGTCGCTGACTGCTGCTTTCATTTTGGTATCTCAGAGCTATAAACTCCACAGATTAGCAAATGCAGACCTATTTATTTCAACAATTAAAAATTCCTTGTCTTTATATTTCGACAGTGCATAACCAAACCCACCTCCCCTGTCTCTCTGGACCACTGGAACATACTGGTCAGTTCTTTCTGAACATTTGGCACAACCATGTGAATCTCAACCCAGCTTTTCTTGTCTCCAAAATGGGATTCCTGTTGCACCTTCCTTGCAGGAAAGAATTTGAAGTGACACCCTCCAATGTTCTTTTCCCTTTGCTCATCACACCAAAGCCTCAGTGAATGTCACTCCAAGCCAAATAATTAGTCCAGAAGTGTGACCTGGGGCCTGACACAGTATCTCCCCACAGAACCAAGAAAAACAGGAAAGACTTTCCAGCTAAACAATGTTTCAGAATTAAGCCTTGTTACCTAGAGGAACAATGCAAACAGGCTGTTGTTGTTTCAAGGAAAGGAAAGAAAATACCTCCTCGTCGTGGCCAATGCCAACATAGAAGGAGCGGCGGGGTCTGTAATTCCTCCTCAGCAGGAATTCCAGAGCTTGCAGAATGCCCTGCAGGAAAAGCAGAATAAATGCAACAGAATGCAGAGTGATGGAACAGAACTGTGATGCTTTCACAGCCACAGCTAAGCTTTGATTCCTACAGCTCCCACTGAAGATATTCCCGTTCCTTGGAAAAGACACTGTAGTGGTGTTGCTATAGGATATGTGAAAGTACAATGTGAGTTATTGTTATTTGTAAGGTGAAAAAAGAGAGTGCTTATTTTTTGATTTTAGTATTTATATTTTTTTAAAGGTGACAATGGATTGGAGAGTGAATGTGTCACCTCTCTAAAGATATTGGATAAACTATTAGTATATTAAGTTTCTCTACCCTTATGAAGGAATGTAAAATAATAGGTTGTTTATAGAAAGTTGTGTGAGAAAATTCTCTAACAAAATGTAAACTTAAAAAGTTTTAAAAAATCTTAAAAATCAGGGCAACACAGTGGTTTTGATCAATAATGCTCTGGATTTCATGTCCAGCTGGTTCAGGGACAACTGCACAAGGAGCCCCCCAGAGCCAGAATTATCCAAGAATTCGCTGTTCCCTTACAGTGCCTGTCACACACCCAGACTGGCTCTGTCTGGAGCTACCAAATCCAGGCTGCATGTTTTGTACAAGTGCCAAGGTGACAGAAACAGAACAGGAAACTTAATCTGAAGGATGAGAAATCAAATCTACCATTTGCTGTGGCAATATATATATATATATATATATATATATATTTATATATATATATAAACAATACATTTGCTCTATTATTCCATCTCTCTTTTTCAATTTAAATTAATAATTTTTCACATATCACCTCTATATTGTCAGCACCCATTTTTGCCATGTTCACTGAAATTGTTGATTTTTTTTTTTTTTTTTTTGGTAGTTTGTGAAGTTACTTGGCATTTCACAGCAGAATAAAGCACCAACCTAAACTTTTAAGTTTCAAGGCTTTGAAATTGATGAATAAAGATCCTGAAACTTTCTAGGAGCGTGTCCTGTGTGAATCTGTTCAAATTTAAATACAGGCTGCCATGTAAGTCATCATCAAAGTCACAAAGAGACATTTTCCTTATTAATTTTTCCATCAACCTTTTCCCCATGAGAAATCTTTCCCAATCTTTTCTGAATCCATTCCTCCCAAATGTGCTTAGTACAACAGCTCTTTGTTCTGCCACAGGCTGCATAAAAGATGTTTGTCTATCCTATTAAATAAACAGATTTAATTTGAAACTCAAGCCTTTGCAAAGGGCCAGTTTTGGCTTGCAGTGCCTCTGTGACACCTGGGAAAAGGAAAAGGTCTATCCCTGGTTTCAAACACAGCATTTGACAGAGAATTATGGAATGGTTTGGGATGGAAATGATCTTACAGCTCATCCAGTGCCACAGGCAGGGAAACTTCCACTATCCCAGGCTGCTCCAACCTGGCCTTGTACATTCCCAGGGATGGGGCAGCCACAAATTCTATGGGCACCTGTGGCATAAAACTTTAATATGGCATTTAACCAAATTTATCTGCATCTGTGAATATGATTCTCCTGACTCCTCATGAGTTTTAACCCTCTTTTCTTCAGTAACAGTGGTCACTCCACTCCATCTTTAGGAAAAGAAAACTGCAGGACTTGGAATTGATCTGGAAATTGGAAAATTGATCAGGACTTGGAAAATGGATCAATTTCTTGGAATTGATCCAAACTAGGAATTTATCCCTATCAGAAAGAGGGGCAAGAGAGAGACAACAGAGTGAATTCCAAGAGCATGGGCTGCTCCCTGTGCCTTTCCCAGGCTGTATCTCTGTGGAAGGACATTACCCAGCACACGTACAACGGCAGAGTTTTTGTTATCCAGCGTTCCTCGTCCGTAGATGAAACCTTCGTGCTCTGCAGCTGAGAAAGGAGGGAAATCCCAGCCCTCAGGGGGAGCAGGCACCACATCCATGTGTGCCAGCAGCATATAGGGCAGCAGGCCAGGGGCAGAGCCCTGAACTGTAAACAGGTGGCTGTATTTCCCAACAATTTCATGTTGGATGAACTTTGAAGAAAATACAGCCGGGAAGACTGTTAAGGGAAAAAAATTAAAGACACGTGTAAAAGAAAAAGTTAACAATAATAGCCAATTTTAGCATTATTCCATAGTTGTCAGCTAGGTAGCAGCAGGGGGGACTGTAAGTAAGACTGGCCACAGTAGAAAATAGAAGTTCTCACACTTCTGCCAATCCATCTCACTTGGGTTTTGAAATTCTCCTAAACAGAAGGAGAATTCTTGTTCAGCAGTGCTGCAGCTCTTTTGCAGAGAGCCAAAAAATTAGGCTGAAGCAGCAGCAGTCATCCTCTTTTATTTTTTATATGGCATTTAGCTATCTCACGGACCAAAACCATCATTACAAAAAGTCTTTTGAACCTTTTGGGGCCAGTGATACCCCTAAACCACTGCTGCAGTTGGGATATAAATGTGACATTTCTGACAGGCCTTTCTTCAGGAAAAAGATATAAATCTCTTCCCTTATATTCAGGAATGATACATGCTCTCTTCAATTTGTTTATGAGAATGAAAATAGAGCAGCAGAGATTGCCAAGAGTGAAAGTTCAGTACCTTTCTGAATGTAACTCCCAAATTCTGCCATGGCAGTTGTATTCAAATCCTCTGGAGACCTGGACACAGTTGGGATTTTAATGGCGCCTTCAAAGAAACACAGAACAGAAATCACTCAGCACCAAAACCAAACAAAGCTCGAACTGCCCTTCAAAAGTGGAAGTACATTTATGCTCCTGAGTGCTTTTCCAGGCTTTAAACATTATTTCACAGCACAGCACGAGCTGCCACGATCAAAAGGAGACTGATGTGCTTCAGCTGGGCCGTGCACATGCAGCCACAGCATTTCCTAAGAGCTCAGCCAAGGTATCTCTCCAGACAATTTGACTCCACTTTTCATGCTGAAGTGTTGAATGACATCCTTAGAAATGCTACTGTCCAGGAGCAGCTGCAATTGGCTTGGGTGATCTGATTCCCCAGAGCCATAGGCTCCTCTGGCAGCTGAACAGGCAGCTGGGTCGGCAGTCCAAGGCTCTTTCTCAAGAGTTAAGCAGGTTGTGATGGTTATTACACCTCCATACTGCTTTGTAAATTAACCTATATAAACAGAAAGGGCTTTTGTTGGCCCTTTTGGTCTGCCCTGTCATCTAAACAAGCTCTCCAAAATCCAGTCCCTGTCCTGCAGCACATGGGAGTAACTCAGCCCCAGCTGCCTTTCCAAACAGCAGCTGCCAGGAGAGGTTATGGATTCTTTTGAGGTGGTGTGATTCATGAATTAACACAAAAATCTATTGTGAGCCTTCATTTTCCCATTAAAAAAGGAATGCAAACACGATTTGCTAGGCAATAAATCCTACAAACCAGCAAGGTATGAGGTTTACACACAGAGTTTTATCACTTGGTGCCAGATTGTGGTTTCCTGCTCAGTGCCAGCCCTACTGAGAGCTAAACCCCTCAAATCTTCTACGTCAGACAGCACAAACAGCCCAGGACTGGTCACAGCAGTGGTGAGCAAGAACAAGAAAGGGAGAAAATCCCGACAGTGACTTATCCAGTGGATAAAGGCATGTCTGGAAACGCCTTCATGGGTGTCTGGCAAAATTCTTTGTGTACAAGCAGGAAACAGTAGAGAAAATCAACACAGGGCAAGAGCTGGCTCAGGAGAAGCACAGGATCCCTGAGGCTGGAAAATCCCTGTGGGATCATTGAGTCCCAGCTGTGCCCAAACCCCACCCTGAGCACTCAGTGCCACTTCCAGGTGCCACCTCCAGGGATGGGCACTCCAAACCCCCCTGGCAGCCCCTTCCAAGGCTTTCCATGAGGAAATTCCTGCTGATGTCCAACCTGAGCCTCCCCAGCACAGCCTGAGGCCGTTCCCTCTCCTCCTGTCCCTGTTCCCTGGGATAAAATCCCAAATCCCCCCCGGCTGTCCCCTCCTGTCAGGAGTTGTGCAGAGCCAGAAATTCCCCCTGAGCCTCCTTTGCTCCAGGCTGAGCCCCTTCCCAGCTCCCTCAGGACTCCCCAAACCCTTCCCAGCTCCCTCAGGACTCCCCAAACCCTTCCCAGCTCCCTCAGGACTCCCCAAACCCTTCCCAGCTCCCTCAGGACTCCCCAAACCCTTCCCAGATCCCTCAGGACTCTCCAGCCCCTTCCCAGCTCCCTCAGGACTCTCCAAACCCTCCCCAGCTCCCTCAGGGCTCCCCAAACCCTTCCCAGCTCCCTCAGGGCTCTCCAAACCCTTCCCAGCTCCCTCAGAATTCTCCAAACCCTTTTCCAGCTCCCTCAGAATTCTCCAAACCCTTCCCAGCTCCCTCAGTATGCTCCATTCCCTTCCCTGGACTCGCTCCAGCCCTTCCTGAACCGCAGCGCCCAGAACTGGACACGGCGCTCAAGGCGTGGCCTCAGCAGCGCCCAGCACAGATTTCCAATCCCTTCCTCAGTCCTGCTGGGATCCAAGCCCCGCTTCCTTGCGGGGCAAGCACCCGGGGAGGGCCGCCTGCACGCCCGCCCGCCGTGCCCGGTTCCCCCTCAGGAGGAGCCAGTCCCGGGGCGAGGGGGGCTCACAGCGCTCGGCCCCCTCACCTCGCAGCGCCTCCTTCAGCTCCCGCCGCTCGCCGGCGCTGAGGGCGGCGCTGCCGGCGCTCCGTGCCCAGAGCCGCGGGACGCCAGCCGGGGCTCGCAGGACGAAGGCGCGGAGCAGGACGGCGGCCGCCAGCGCCAGGACTACCGAGCCCAGCGCCAGCAGAGCCGCCAGCACCGCCCGCCGCCCGCCCGCCATCACTGACCCAGCGCAACCGCACTGACGGGCGTGGCCCGGAGCCAATCGCCGCACGCGTCGTCAGCACAGTGACCAATAGGATTGGAGAAGGGGCGGGCTTAACCCGCTCCTCTCGCGGGTGCTGCTGGGAGCTGTAGTTTGCGGCGGATGTGGCGGCGGCCGGGGGAAGCGCGGAATTAGGGAATGGTCGCGGAATTAGGGAATGGTTTGCGTTGGAAAGGATCTTAAATCTCATCCCATTCCTCCCCTGCCGTATCAGGGACACCTTCCGCTGTCCCAGGCTGCGCCAAGCCCGTTCCAACCTGGCCTTGGACAATTCCAGGGGTGGGGCAGCCGCAGCTTCTCTGGGCACCCTGTGCCAGGGCCTGCCCACCCTCACTGGGGAGAATTTCTTCCCAATATTTTGGGTGCTGCTCCCGAAAGGATGGGGATAAAAGGAGTTCCTGTGGGGAATAACCGCCCCAGGCTCATTGGGGGCACAAGTGATGCCAGGACTGGCCAAGGGACAGCCCAGGGAGTCTCTGTGTTGTGCAGCCCCACTCCTGACAGACTTTAAATCCACCTGCTTTTCAAAATATGTCACTTCTTTCCTTGATTCTACCAGCTAGCACGACACAACACTTCTTATTCCCTTCTTTGCAGCTGTTCTGAACGGAATGTGAAGATTTATCCCAGCTTCCCATGGCATGAAGTGTCCCAGGATGCCAAAGAGCAGATGGGAACAGCCATGGTAATCCTGCCCCTGAGTCAGCAGAAGAAGACAATGATTGTTCACACATTCTTTATTATCAAAAAAAAAAAAAAAAAAGGAATGAAACCAACATTAAATTAAATAAATTACAAACATTTCTGAGCTGGTTATACATCATGCATTTACCAAGTAAGGCTTCAGAGCCAAAACACATCACTGTTACTTAAGAGCAATAAAGGGAATATTTTACTTGAAGTGAAAATATTTCACCAGCGTGACTTTGAGCTCCCCTAATTTTATCCCCAGGCACTTGAGAATTATGACTTTGGCCACATCGTGCTTCCAGCAGCAGAATTTACCTGCTGATGTTACATTTATTGCCAGAACTGATCCAGAATTTGGCTACAGAAATGGGATTTCCTTCTGCCTGGGTCATGATTTGCAGGAGAGCCACTGCTGCTCTTTCTGAGCCATTTCTCATGACCTCCCATCCCATTTCTTGTAGGAATTTCAGGAAATACAATCTGGTTTATGCCTCTGCACAACCCAGATTGAGGATTCCTGCATTTGGCCTGTCAGACCCCAGGCTGGGAAATCAACCTCCTGTAATGAATCCTGAATGTAGAGCTGGGAACTGGAACTTCCTTCTTTTCATTTGATGCCACCTCAGAGACCCAAAAATATTGATCAGGACAGTTTCTTGTTGCTCTGTACCAATTTCTTTGTTGTCCTTCTTTCAAAATTAGCACTTTTTAAAAGGAGAACTAAGGCAGTACAAAAGGCCACGAGGAATCACCCTCAAAGATAATTTAGGAGACTTAATCTCTTGTTTTCACCTTGTAAAACAAGCTATACATGGAGATTTCTGGAGAAACCACTGTTGTCTAAGATTTAAACAACCAATAACCATCAGCTAGTGGGGTTTTCTGCCCTCCTTTGGTTTTATTACTCTCCTGCACCACATAATCAGAAACTGAGGTAGAGAAATGGTGACTTGGTTATTGAGGTGTTACATAAAACCAAACTGGCAGGCTGCTGCTGTTGTTTCCTTTAGTCTAGCAAGGATGGTTCAGGAAGAGTTATTTTCCTTAAAAATGAGACATCTGGGAGCTGCAGGAATGCCCCACATTCTCTTCCCAGGAAGCCTTCAGCAATCATCTCAATAACGTCTGTGTACTTCAAAACCATACGCTAAAACTTGCTTATATTTGTAATATTTTAGAGTGTTAAAATAGAGAAATAGCATTTTAAAATAGAATCTGTTTTCGTGTACTCAACCCACTGGGCAGGCAGGACAACGTGCGCATGACAAGGAATTCTTATTTTTGTTAGAAGCCTGTTCTATTATTAAGAAAAAAAGTATATTAGCCCTAATATATTAGGGCTAATATATATATATAGCCCTAGAATGTGTGTGTGTATATATATATATATTAAGTCTATATATATATATAGCCTCTGCTAATATATTAGCAGAATTTAGCCCTGCTGAGAGTGTCCTGAGGTCTTTGGGGTGTCAGAAATGCAGCACTGGTCCAAGGCAGTGTTTTTTGGGATGCTGGGACACAGAAGAGGAGAGAGACACGCAGGGAAATTCGGGGGTCAGTGCACATCAGAGAGCAGCAGCAGCTGGCAGAGCTGCCCTGCCACACCTCGTGAAGCAAACCCTGAAGGGCTCTCAGTGTTTGCTCATGTTTCACTCCGTGGGGGAAAGAGGGAGGAGGGAGAGGCAAGGAGCAGGATGCCCAGGGGATGCAATTCCAGCGTGGGCAGAAGGATGGTGAGGGACAGAGGAGTTCAGGCAGCTGGCTCCACTTCTGCAATCCATGAGATGGCATCTCCTGAGCTCCTGCTTCCCCAGCTGGCTCTGCCTGCTCTGGAGCCCTTTGCTCCGAGTGCCACGAGCAGAGCAGGGAGGATTTGGCAGTTCTGGAGGGTGATGGCCTCGTTGCAAGCCCGTCGAATCCCCAGGCAGAAGCACAGCTCTCCACGGAGGGGTGGGAAGGAGGAATTTCCTCTGGAGGGTTTGCCCAGCTCGCTGTGCTCACAGAGCTGTCTGGGTCTCTGAGTGGAACATGCTCCCAAACATCTCCTAAAGGGCACAGAGGATGAGCAGGGTCAGGGCTGGTGCCAGAGTGACACAGCTGGGTGTCATTGGCACACAAACACCCCCAGGAGCTCCAGCCCTTCTCCATCTTCCAGCTGGGCATGGACAGCATGGGGAAGGGCAGCCCTGGAGGGGATCTCCTCCCAACACCCACATGTGGGTGCAAATTGCTGCAGCAACTACAAAACATGTGCTGAAAATCTTCACTGATGACTCTTCTTCTGGGCATGAACCAGCTTGCTTCTCCAAGTTCACCCCAGTGTGTGAGACCACAGGTCTGGCTGACCCTGAGCTGTGTGGCTCCTCTGTGGGATGCCCTACCTGCTCCTCATCCAGCTCCTTCCAGAGCTCCTCAAGACAGGGATTGAAAATTATATTTGCAATTAACTTTCCGAAGCACTGCAGTTACTTCCAGATGATTTCCCATCTAATCCAGATGATTCCCCATCCCAATCAACTGGGATCTAATCAATCCCATTTAGAAGTTCTGATTTCTGCCTCACAGCCACAGCTGCAGTGACCTCTGGCACTACAACTCACCTCCTCCAGGTTCTTGTACTCTGCACTGCCCTCGTCCACAGACTCGTCATAAATGGAGAGCTCTGTCTGGGTCGGCCTCTGTGCAGGGAAGAGTTGAGAGCACAAATTAGCAGAGTGCAGGGTCAAAAGGAGTGAAAACAATGACTAAGCCAGGCCTAAAGGGTGCCCCATGCTCCAAGGGAACTGCCCAGGAGAAGGGGCACAGGAGGAGCCCTGCTCCAGGTGTTTATCTGCGTTTGCCTATCGCTCTGGTTTGATAGGAGATACCTTAACTCCTCCTGGGGAGATAACTACTGGTGCCAACGGGTGTCAGTTCCAGCTGGCACACAATAAACCAGCCCCTGTTTGGGGACAGAGCCTGTCTGACGCTGTGCCACCAGCACGGGCCACAATCCTGCCTCAGAATTCCTGCTGTTCTCCTCCCACCAATGGAGCACTCGTGGATGCTGGGACTGTTCCAGCTGTACGAGCTTTGCCTTCATTTCTTCATCACTGGGGGCCAAATTCTGCCTTTGCCTGTTCCAACCAGCACCAGACTGAGGGCACAGTGCTGGAACAGCTCTCCTGGCTCCTCCAGGCTGGCACAGCACTCATCTCTCAGCCAAGGGTTTGTGTAAAGCTTTGACACTTCTGAATTCCCACGGAAATCCATTCCATCCCAAGGTGCTGGGCCCGTACACAACAGCTGGAATATTAAATAATTTGCTGCATTTAGGCCTTTAGCACTTGATTTAAACATGAAGCTTCTTTAGGTGCAGTAGCAATTTGTTATTTTTCCATTGTGCTGACGCAGCCTGGAAGGCAAACAGGAGAATCCTGTGGGCTGGGGAGCAAATTTACCTCTTCCAAGATGGGCGGGTGGACAAATTCTCTGATACTGGCCAGTGCAAACAAAACAGCATCGTGGATGGTCAGGAAGATGTGGCTTCGGTCCAGGCCTCCTTCCTCAAAGACTCCCCCTGTGCTGATGTCATTGTACACCTGGGCTGGAGAAAGGAGACAGCTGAACGAGGAGGAAAGCAGAGGAGGGATTCTGTGACTGCTGGGGTCCTCTGAGCTAAGGCAAGGCTCAGAAGAAGCAGGTTTGCAGCAGAAATGAGTGTGGGGATCTGTTTTCCTGCATGCTGAGTGTGGAGATGTTACAGCTTTACCACTTCCCAAATGAAAGCATTGATTTCACAGAAAGACAACAGTGATTCTCTTTCCTTTCTTCTGTTTTCTCCTTTTATCTGTTCTGGCCTGGTCCAGCAAAGGACTGACATCTTACAGTTTGAATAAAGAACAGAAAAGGGTCTGCTGTTTGTCAGGAGCTCAGAAATGGGGGAAGATCCCATGGAAATGTGTTCTTTAGGGGTTCTTACCTTGCACGTTTGCCAAGAACACTTTAATCCCAATCTTCTGGTAACTGGAACACAACTGGAAGGGATGAGATGGGAGAGAGAGGATTAAAAACACTGCTGCTCCAGCTTTGTGCTTATGCATAAAGACTTTTATCAGCTCTGGGGCTGGAGGAGAAATTCAGAGATGCAGAAGAGGGAAAGCCACAAAATTGGAACACAAAACCTGTGAGGAACCACTGAGAGGGAGCTGGAGAAAAGGAGACTCAGGGGTGACCTTGTCACTCCCCACAGCTCCTGAAAGGTGGCTGTGCTCAGCTGGGGCTGGGCTCTTTCTCCAGGAGCTGACAGAACCAGAGCACAGCCTCAGCTGCACCAAGGGAAATTTAGGTTGGATGTTAGGGAAAAGTTTTTCACAGAAAGAGTGATAAAGTTCTGGAATGTTCTGCCCGGGGAGGTGGAGTCACCACACCTGAGTGTGTTTAAAACAAGCCTAGATGTGGCTCTGGGTGCCAGGGTTCAGTTGAGGTGTTGGGGCTGGGCTGGACTCGATGATCTTTCAGATCTCTCCCAACCTGATGATTCTGTGTCTCTGTGCACTGAGGCACATAAACACCTTTGTGTGAGAGAGCAAAAGGTCCCTGCTGCCCGGCTGTGGGAGTCCAGAGCTTCCCTCTGGCTGCCCTGGCAGGTCTGGGACCCTGGCAGGGGTCAGGAACCCCCCTGGACAGAGCCCCCAGAGACACTGGCTGTGATCTCTGTCCATGGAAAAGAGTTTTCAATCTTACAGGATGAATTACAAGCTCTGAGTGTTTGATATAAGTAATAATTAAGTGTGGCACACGTGCAAAAGTAAAATTTTAGGATTCTAGATGAGGGGTCCAAAGGGGACAAGATGGAGGAAATTGGGTGTGCCTTGTCCTTTTTCTCCTTCTTCATGCCCTCCATGTTTCACTGTGGTGTTGGCATTTTTCTGTTGGTTCAGGCTGGGGACACACTGTCCAACGTAGGTGACAGATATTGGCACGTTATTGTAAATCCAGCACAGGTAGTTTGTGGTATTTAATGTTTGTACCATCCCACTGAGGGCAGAGCCCCACACGCTGCCCTGCAGGACAGAGCTGCGGCAGGGCAGCAGAACATGTTAGAGATAAACAGAATAAACCACCTTGAAACAGCACAGACGACTTTCTGCAATCTCAGAATCACCAATACCTCAGATTCCGACACCTGGCTGTGTTGGCAGCACAGAACTCACCTTGCTCAGCGCTTTTGTGCCCATCAGGTCCACAAAGCACACCCCACTCATATCCAGGATGATGGTGTGGAAGCTGATGTAGGGCGGTGCTGTCAGCACAGGGTCGGTGCTGCCCTGCAGGGTGGTGCTGCTGCCCAGCTCCCCGGGGCTCTGCCCTGGGCCAGCCCCGGGGGCAGGAGGGCGGAATGTGATGTAGGAGATGCTGGCACCGTTAGCAGTGGTCTGGTTGTTGTTGGTGTCTGTTGGAGAAGCACTCTCAAAGTCCTTCTGGAGCTCTTGCAAAGACAAGGTCTGCGGCAGGGCAGAGAGGCAGAGTCAGGCAGGGCACAGGTGGGGTCCTGGCAGGTGACTGCACCTCTACCCACTGATATGAAGGGTTTTAGTCTGGACTTACTCCAGCCTGGCTGTTCCTTGGGGCTGGATTTAGTCAGGATAATTTACATGAATCATTTATTTCAAAATAATCTGCTCAGCATTGCAAAGGAAATGGGGCTGGGGTGACTGAGAAATGGGCTTTGAAGGGGCACCTTGGGGCTGAACTGCTGACACAGCCCCAGAGAAAGAGGCCAAAGTTGTCTGGTTTCTGCAGATTTTTCCCCATGTTCCTGTTCCAGCCTCCTCTCCAGAATCTCAGCCATTCCCAGTTCTCCTGCACCTTCAGGTTTGCGGGAGGAATGGAGATCTAGGTGGGTAGGAAAGGGGATGAGAAGTGGGAAATATGGCCAGGAAAACAGTGCAGGAAATCCCATGTCAAGAGGAGCTGTTTGATGGGGACTTGGGGTCATTCCCATGGACAGAGGGACCTTTTTGGGAACTCAGGAGCTGAGTTACCTTGTTCTCCTTCAGCAGGAATTTTAGGAGCTTTGTTGGTGGTTGTGCTGTGCCCTTCCCCTGCTGTTTCACAAATTTCTTCCTGGCCAAGTACACCTTGCCAGGATCCACCCCTGTCTGTGGGAAAGAGAAATTTTTTTCCTTAAAAAGTCTGTTCCAAGAGTCAGGAGCTGCTGTTCCTTCCTGGCATTTCCCAGCCTGGGGCACCAGCTGGGCACTGGAGTGTGGTGATCCTGATGGCATCCGAACATCTCCTGGATCTTGGGGAACCTGCACATGCAGGGAGAGACTTGGAATAGCAGGATGCCCCTGTTTTTGCAGAGCTTGGAGGAGGAACCTGCCAGGATTTGGGCACAATTTCTAAAATGAGCTCTGCCAACAGCCCTGAGGCTCAGGGAGAGGAGGACTGAGGAGCAGAGAGTGGACATGACCATGATTCATGATCATCCACAGCTTAATTATCCCCATGTAGCAACACAGGAGAGAGCAAGGGCAGTTTGGGACTGGCTTCAGGCAGGGATTTATTAAGGAATTGCTCACCTTGGCTATAATTTTCTCCCGGAATATCTCCGAGTTGGCGAAATACAGCGGCGAGCAGTAGGTGACAATTTTAATCCCATTAACTTCATGGACCTGCACCAGAGACAGGAGCTCAGAGCAAGCCTGGACACCAGTAGCAAGGAACAGCATTTTCTCCGAGGATGTTTTATCTGCAGCTCACCTTGTTGTAGGTTTTGGGGTTCTTGTAGATGTCAGTGGAAGTCACCTGGCCCAGGGCAGAGCCGTTGCGGCTGCAGAAAAGAAGGGATCAGCATTAGGGGAAAGAAAACTGCTTTTGCTTCATGTTCCATCCCAGGATTTGAACATTTGCTGTGTGAAAACGCTTATATTTCACCCCTGCAGAGTCTACAGGGCAAAAAAAAGTCACTATTTTGAGATGCCAGATTGGGAAATTAAGAAAGATTTAAAGAGATGGATTTAAAGTGGTGAGAAGACCTCACGCCAGGGCCCTGCACACAGACACAACTTGCTCTTTTTATGAGCTGGGAACTGTGTGGGGTGAAGCAAATACCTCGAGGCTCCCCCTTGCCCTGGGATGTGCACGGGAGCGGGAATGCAGGCAGTGAACTGGCGCCTGCCATTCCTGTTTGCACATTCCGGGCAGGACACCTGCACTCCCCGGGGCTCCCGCCGCGCCTTCCGCGGGCCAGAGGTCGCTTCTGAAAAATCACCCGTCCCTCCTTCTGCCCCTGGGAGAGCTCCCGTGGCCTGTGGGGCCAGGAGGTACTCACAACTGGGTGTGGAAAACCACGACGAGCACGGAGAATCCCACGCCCACCGCCACTCCGTAGGGGAGGCTGAGGAAGAAAGCGGAGAAGAAGCTCACGAGCCAGACCAGCTGCAGGGAGAGAAGGGAGAGAAGAGCTGAACCATGGGGACATGGATGGAAATGGAATGGAGGGGAACGGATGGATGGGGGAAAAATGGATGGATGGGGAAAAATGGATGGATGGGGGGAAAAACGGACGGATGGGGGGAAAATGGATGGATGGGGGGAAAATGGATGGATGGGGGGAAAATGGATGGATGGGGGGAAAATGGATGGGTGGATGGGAAAAATGGATGGGTGGATGGGAAAATGGATGGGTGGATGGGAAAATGGGTGGATGGGAAAACTGATGGGAAAAGGTGGATGGGGGAAAAGTGGATGGGGGAAAAGTGGATGGGGGAAAAGTGGATGGGGGAAAAGTGGATGGGGGAAAAGTGGATGGGGGAAAATGGACGGGAAAAGATGGACGGGAAAAGATGGACGGGAAAATGTCTCTCTGCTGCTGTCCTGGACTCTCAAACCCTCCCAGCTCAACAGGAATAGGCCAAACCCTGACTTCTGCAGCTGTTCCAGTGCTGCAGTTGCTGCATGTTTTAGAGTGAACCGTCCTTGCTGGGAAGTTTGCCAGGAGCCCCAGTTTCCTGTCAGCCATAAAAGCAGCCGGGGCATTTCTCCACGGCTACTCCAGTGCCCACTCCGTGCCTTCCACCCAAAAGCAATCGGCCTGGCTCGTCAGGAAGGGGCTCCTGCAGATCCCAGCATCTGCTGCTCCTTGCTCCAGCCCTGAGCAGCTCCTGCTGTCCGTCAGAGCAGTTCAGAAAAAAATCAGAAATCATCTCTCTGAAAACTGCCTGAGCACCTGCTAGAAATGGCCTGAACAGAGAGGATTCAATAGCCAGGTGTGACAGACGAGACCAAAACCTGCCCCACTCCAGCTCACAGCTCTGCCATTTGTCATTTTTACATGTTAGCACTCAAGCATCTCACTCCATATGAGATCAGCCCTGCCCTGCATTTAAACATCTCCTCTGAAAATCATTATCAGGTTGTTTTAATCCCATCCTCAAAATTAATAAAAACTAACTCTGACCTTGGATGAATAAGGGCAACTTTGATGACTTCAATATCTTAATTTATATTCATTTTGTGCATAAATAGCAAGGAAGAGCTTCCATCCATCCATCCATCCATCCATCCATCCATCCATCCATCCATCCATCCATCCATCCATCCATCCATCCATCCATCATTAGACTTGGCTGGAATTAGCTGTCCTGAAACAAGCTGGCATTAAGGCGATGAACACCAATGATCTGATGTCACCCAGGAATGGTGCACCCCATTTTGGGACAGGACACTGAATCTAGTTCAAATTCCAAGGAGATTAAGGTCAGGCGAATCCCGTTCACTCCATTGGCATCTGCCAGGATGTTCCTCAGGCAGCGCCATCCATCTCCACTCAGTCCACGCTCAGGGGTCTGCCCAGGATTTTGGGGTTTCTGAAGCCTGTGGGGTCTGTCTGTGCTCTGCCAGAGCCCACAGACCTCCCCTCTCACCCCACAGCAGCAGAACCCATTCAGAGATGTGCCCAAATTGATAACCCAGCTCTTCTCCAGCACTTGTTTGAGCGGGATTTTGGGAAAGCTCTTCATGGTTCGGGCCAGCCCCTCTGGACTCCTGATTGCCCCGATAAGGGGGTTTGTCGGGCCCTGACAGGATATTGGCTCCATGTCCACACACGGCACTCAGCCGTGGGAGTCCTGTTCAAACACTGTCTTTTTATGTCAGACATTTCCAAATTCCGCTCTCACTCCCCCGCCGCCCCCTGCCTGGGTTTATACATCAACCAGTGCCTGGAGTCCTTATCACTCTGAAGGGCTCTCCTCAGCCTGGAGGGCCATTGTGTGAGTTTTTAAGTCATGACTCCCAGATATTGAGCAGGGCCGGTTTGGCTAGTTCTGGGCAAACAGGCTCCGCACTTGATTGGCATTTAAACACAGCAGGTAAGAGTTCAGGCCTCTCTGATATGTGCTCTGAGCAGCAGCGTGCTCAGCTGGGCAGGACAGGCAGCACCATCTCACCAAGAGAGCCAAACCCACCTCCTGCAAGGGACTCATAACCCCAAAACCCCACAAAGGACTTCCCTGGGGTCTGTCCTGCTCATGCTGCCCTGGCCAGGTGATGCCTCCTGCCACCCCAGGCACTCACACAGTCCAGCTTGCTCTTCTTCCACAGGTAGAAGGGGTCAGCCAGCTGCTTGAGGGAGTTTTTCAGGTTGACAGCGATGAGGGCTCCCAGCACAGACTGTGGAGGACAGGGAATGGTGTCAGCCAGCACCTGGATGTGCCACGTTTGGCAGTGGATGCCTTTCTGAACCATCTGCCTGCCTTGGGCCACCCCCATCACAAGGGTGATCTCACTTGGATCTGAGCAGGGCCATTTGGATGATTCTTTCATTATCATTTACATTATAATTTCATACTTAATAATAATTTAGAATTCATAATTTACACTTACATTTGCTCAGAGAAACTGTGGCTGCCCCATCCCTGCCCAAGGCCAGCTTGGACGGGGCTTGGAGCAACAGTGAAAGGTGTCGCTGCCCATGGCAGGGATGAAGCTTAAGGTCCCTTCCAACCCAAACCAGCCTGGAATTGTGTGATTGTGTGATTCCAGACAGGTCCCCAGGCCAGGAACAAGCTGTCCCATGCTGCTTTTTGCATCAGGGTTTTTTGGAGCGGGGCTGTGTTTGGGTGTGGTGAGCGGGTGTTGCAATGGCTCTGCCTGCACAGATGTTTGTGTTACCTTTGGAAGAGGCTCGAGGTAGATTCCCAGGGACAGCATTGTCACCATGACCACCAGAGCCACAAAAAAACTTGCCACCTGCAAAGAGGGAAGGAAATAACTTCTGCAAACATCAGGGCTTCCCAAAGCTCCCCTGGGTGTTCACAGGGGCACAACTGGGCACTGCAGCATTTTATGGGAGAGGATGTTTGCCTCTGAAAACAGGCAGGGGTTTGCAGATCTCCCAGATAACCCCAAAATTCCCTCACTGGTCCAGGGAGCTAGAGTGGGACTGCAGAGCTCTGCTTCTGTGCCCACCCCAGAGAACCAAATCAGGGACCGAAATGGGCTTGGGGAGGGAGGAAGTTCTGCTTTAACAGCAGCAGCCTGAAGCACTTGGGTGTGAAACTTCTCCAGAGCTGCTCAGTCACGCTGGCAACACGTGGCAGCTGCAGCACTTTGTGATCCAGAGGGAATGGAGAGAGGAGAGGAGGAGAGGAGGAGGAGGAGGAACTAACTTGGGATTTCGCTCCTGCCCCATCCACGGCGAGGGTGACAGAGAGAGCACAGCAGATCACGTGAATTTTGAAGAAGGATCCAAAGAAGTTGCTGCAGCCCAGGGCCAGCATTTCCTGTGGAGGTGTGGAGAATGCCCATCAGAAAGGACAGCTGCCCTTCCTGCTGGCACATGGCAAGAGAGCAGGGGCCTGAGGCTGGTTTATGTGGCCAGGGCAGGCTCTGGGTTCCCTGCAGTGCATCCCAGACTCTTTCCTTCCAGTAAGATCTGGGATAGCACCTGGTGTAGCAGGGAAACCTGGAAGCACAATTCCACATAAACACGTTGTCATCTGTTGACACACTCAGGGCAGGGCTCCATGTGGTATGTGTGGCTGTTGTTGAAAGCTGCCACTGTGCCAGGGATGACAAAAGAGGATTATTTAATGTCCTGCCTCCCAGAGTATCTGGGTGACACACCAGGAATCCAGGTCTTTCTCTGCTCCCTGAGAAGCGCACGCACCTCACCGTGCTTCAGCAAGCTGCCAAAACGCTGAGCCTGGAGGGGGAGCAAGGCAGAGAGAGCCCAGCCTAAAGCTCCTTTCCCTCTTCCAGCCTTTCTCCAGCCCACAGGACAGAGCTCTGCCGTGTCCTTTTCCCCCCCAACGTGGCACAAAGCCACGGAGCCTCCTCGGGAGCAGCACGTCTGCTCTGAGCCCAGCACGTCTGAGCTCTTCCCTTCACGCCTGAGAGCAAAGGCAGCAGCCCCTGGCTGCCCCAGCCCCAGCAATACCTGGTTGGGGTCCACGTCGTAGCCATGCTTGGCTGCCAGGGTCCTCCCCATGGCCAGGTTGATCACGTAGCCCACGATGGCAAGCGAGAAAGCCGTGCCCACCATGTCCTTCCACTTGCTGACCAGGGGCAGGGTGGGCTCTGGGAACCTGCACTCAGAGCACAGATGAGAAGCTGTGGCAGCGCTGGCTGGGGGCTGGGGGGGTGGGTGAGGAGCTGGAGGCTTCAGGAATGACACAGTCCCTGCCCACACTCCCGAGGATGGTTGTGTCACAGGGCACGCTGACACTCCTGGAAGGGGACTCTGGGATTACAGGGAAGAATGAGGTGTTTTCCAAGCTGGAGGAGGAGGAGGAGGAAGGAAAACTTTCTGGAAGGTGAATCAGACCTGCAGAAGCACTTACCCCATGCTGAGCTTCCCCACTATTGGCATGCCATACTTGTCGGGCATGTTGAAGCTGCCGGAGATTGCGGTGGCCACGATCACCTGCAAGGACGGGGAGAGAAGAGCTGGGAGCAGGAAGAGCTGGGCTGGCTCACAGCATTAACCCTGCCACGCTCCCAGAGCTGACAGAGCAAAATCAGCACCAAGTTTGGGCTGGGGAAGGCAAGGACAGCCCCAGCAGGGGTTATTCGCTTCACCCTCAGCACCACCAGGATGCAGTGCAGGGATGAGTTTGGGGCTGGCCCCGTTTCTGACCCCAAACCATGTGGGGGCTGCGTCACACTCACTGTGCAGATGTTCTGCATGGTGGCCCTGCTGAGAGCAGCAGTGTCAGGGCTGTGAGGCGAGGGGAGGCTCCCAGGGACAGCCCAGGGGTCACTTACAATGATGATCTCCATCGGGATGGGCATCCGGATCTTCTTCATGTACTTGAGGTTGAGCTCCTTGACGACGATCAGGAGCACAGCGCTGACCAAGGCGTAGACCAGGGAGGCCAGGTTGGTTTGGGGCAGACCTTTACAAATGTCAATGAATGTCTGAAGGGGAGACAAGAGGAGAAGGGGTCACGGCGAGCCAGACACTCTGGACAACATGGACAGAACAACAGACAGCACTTCTACCACAATCAACACCCTGAGACGTGAGCAGTGCTAAAAACCCTCTGCTGAGGGATCAGCCCCTAGCCCCGGGCCTGTGCTGGTGACTTAATGCAGCTCTGGCTGCATCAGCACAGGATGCATCCATGCAACACACAGGAAATCCCACAGGAATGGCCAAACCTGCTCTGAGGAAACATTCCTGCTGCTAACAACTCTGCAAGACTCCTGCTGCAAAGCAACGCAGCTCATACCCCGCCCGGATCCCAATCCCGTTTCATTATTCCTCCCATTTCATTATTCCTCATTAAAACCACGCTGCTGGGGCAGGGATCCCCCTTCCCCCAGCCCTTTCCTGCTCTCCTGGGCCCCGTTTCCCTGGTGGGGGTGGCGGTGCCGCCGTGCTGGGGAGGAAGGTCGCTGTGCAGAGCCCCCACTTACGTAGACGATAGCTAAGGGCCCGGTGTAAGACGGGACTGTCAAGCCGAAGACGTACTTGAGCACGGAGATGAGGATCTGCAGCCCCGCCGCCGTCATGAAGCCCCTGATGAAGGACTCGGACAGGTAGATGGCCACGAAGCCAAACTGCAGGAAGCCCAGGCACAGCTAGGGTGGGACAGAGGAGATGTGGTCAGAGCAGTGACAGCCCCCTGCGGGGCAGGGTGATGCTCTGGGAGAGCACACACAGCTCTCCCGCACACAGCAGGGCTGGGCCGGGGCAGGGATGGAGACAGCAGGGCTAAGAGTGCCATTCTTGGGTTGTCCATGCAGAGAATTCCACCCCAAGACCAAAACAAATCTCAATTTTTGATCCATTATCCACTCCCACTCCAGGCTAAGAGTGCCATTCTTGGATTTTCCACGTAGAGAATTCCACCCCAAGACCAAAATCCCCAAAAATCCCAAAAAATCTATATTTTGATCCATCATCCACCTGTACTCAGGGCTAAGAGTGCCATTCTTAGATTGCCCACATAGAGAATTCCACCCCAAGACCAAAAATGCCCCCAAAAAAATCTCTATTTTGAGGCATCATCCACCCCCACTCAGAGCTAAGATTGCCATTCTTGGATTGTCCAGGTAGAGAATTCCACCCCAAGACTAAAAATCTTCAAAAATCCCCAAAAAGCCCCATTTTGACACATCATCCACCCAGCCTCTTCCAGCCTCTCTCTTCATAATGGCTAAGAGTGCCATTCTTGGACTGTCCATGTAGAGAATTCCACCCCAAGACCAAAAATCTTCAAAAATCCCAAAAAATCCCCAAAATCTCTATTTTGATCCATCATCCACCCATACTCAGGGCTAAGAGTGCCATTCTTGGCTTGACCATGTAAAGAATTCCACCCCAAGACCAAAAATCTCTATTTTGATCCATCATCCACCTGCACTCAGGGCTAAAAGTGGAATTCTTGGATTGTCCACATAGAGAATTCCACCCCAAGACCGAAAACAAATCTCTATTTTGATCCATCACCCACCCCCACTCAGGGCTAGAAGTGGAATTCTTGGATTGTCCACATAGAGAATTCCACCCCAAGACCAAAAACAAATCTATTTTGATCCATCATCCACCCCCATTCAGGGCTAAGAGTGCCATTCTTGGATTGCCCACATAGAGAATTCCACCCCAAGACCAAAAATCGCCAAAAATCCCAATTTTGATCCATCATCCACCCATACTCAGGGCTAAGAGTGCCATTCTTGGATTGTCCATGTAGAGAATTACACCCCAAGACCAAAATCCCTAAAAATCTCCAAAAATCCGCAAAATCTCTATTTTGATCCATCATCCACCCATACTCAGGGCTAGAAGTGGAATTCTTGGATTGTCCACATAGAGAATTCCACCCCAAGACCAAAAATGTCCCAAAAATCCCTATTTTAACCCATCATCCACCCAGAAGCGGGGCCTCTCCGAGCACCTGCCCCCAGCACCTGTGCCCCAGGGACAGCCTGGCTCCCAGGGAGGCTCGGGGACACAGCAGAGCCCTCACCTGTATGACGGCCGTCAGGCAGGCCAGGGTGGCAGAGATCTGCAGCCTGGCCGCCTGCAGGGCCGTGGAGTTCACACTGGTCTCGTTGGTGGTGTGGTTGAAGACCTGGAAGTTGGACTCGGGAGCCAGCTCGCTGCAGATGTTGCCAACAATGATGCTGATGACGGCAAAAGTCCCTGCAGGCAGCACGGGGAGGTCAGGAGCTCCCTCTGGGGAGAGCCCTGTCCTGGAAGGCTCCTGGGCAGGTGGGGCTGTGCACAACCATGGGAGTCCACGGCATCCCTCTGGCTGCCCTGGGACCCTGGCAGGGGTCAGGAACCCCCCTGGACAGAGCCCCCAGAGACACTGGCTGTGATCTCTGCCCATGGAAAAGAGTTTTCAATCTTACAGGATGAATTACAAGCTCTGAGGGTTTGATAGAAGTAATAATTAAGTGTGGCACGGGTGCAAAAGTAAAATTTTAGGATTTTAGATGAGGGGTCCAAAGGGGACAAGATGGAGGAAATTGGGTGTGCCTTGTCCTTTTTCTCCTTCTTCATGCCCTCCATGTTTCACTGTGGTGTTGGCATTTTTCTGTTGGTTCAGGCTGGGGACACACTGTCCAACGTAGGTGACAGATATTGGCACGTTATTGTAAATCCAGCACAGGTAGTTTGTGGTATTTAATGTTTGTACCATCCCACTGAGGGCAGAGCCCCACACGCTGCCCTGCAGGACAGAGCTGCGGCAGGGCAGCAGAACATGTTAGAGATAAACAGAATAAACAACCTTGAAACAGCACAGACGAATTATGGCTTCTGCTTTGGCAGCGGGGCTGACAGACAGAGACTTTCTACAACCTCAGAATCATCGATACCTCAGATTCTGACACACATGGAGTCACTCAGCACCCCCCAGCCCCACGGGAGGTGGCACAGGGTCGTTGTGGGGACATCCTGAGCAAACGCCCCAGTGCTGGGACACAGCAGCACTCCCAGCCAGCATTTCACTGTGCTGGGCAGGCAATTCCTCACCTGGCACCATCTGATGGATGCCCCCGAGGAAGAAGTAGGTGAGCAGGGGGAAGAAGGAGGAGTAGAGCCCGTTGACAGGAGGCAGATTGGCCAGGAGGGCGAAGGCCATCCCTGCAAAACACGAGGGGCACAGGCAGGGAAATACAGGGCTGGAGGGAGAGCTTGGGGTTATCAGTAAAACACAAAACCCCTCCCCACGGGGCACCAGCATCACCTGCAGAGCTTTACTCGAGCTGGCAAAGCGTGATTCCCTCTTGGACAGGCAGAGAGGGACTCTCTCACCTTGTGGCACTTGGATTGTCCCCGCACTGATCCCGCCGAGCACATCAGGCAGGATGTAATCCTTGATTTTGTACTTGGGGAGCCACCTCAGTATTGGGAACAGGTGGAAGAGGGTGAGCTTGAACCTGGATGTGGAACATCTAGAAGGGAGATAAAAAAATGAAAGCAGATTTGAAAGGTGAAGAATTTGAAAATGAAAGAAGGGAGGAAGAGAATGAGCTGGAAGTAAGGAAGGATCTTCCTAGAAATGCCTCAACCTTTCTCCCTCACCAGATTCTGAGCCCTCTCTTTTCTCTATTATTGCCTTCCTTTACCCGAAGAGTGGAGATAGATTTCCAAGAACGTGATCAGCAGGGTTATTAACCTTTGTTTACATAATTATAAGCCTTTCTTTAAGGTGGTATTGGTTTCAAACAGAAAGCTGAGAAAAGGAAATCACAGCTGGAAAGCTTAAAAAAAAAATAATCCACATGTCCCTACATCACCAATTGTGCTTTTTCCACTATTAAAAAAAAAACCAAAAAACCTTGGGAAACAGGACCCCAAATCCCAAATGCACTCAGTGCAGCTACCAATCTAATTTTTTTCAGCCCAATTTGCATTGCTCCCATACCTTTCATCCATCAAACCCCTGAAGACCACGGTTCCCCGGGATAAAAATGGGATCTGAATTATATCCCCCAATTCCTGACTAAATCTGGTTTACATTCTACTGCATTCCCTGTTACCTGAAAAGGTTTCTCAGTTTCTCCCCAACGGGGTAAGTTCTGGTTTTCTTCTCAAACTCCTCGTCGAAGAGGCTGACAGAGTAGGCAGGACGTTCGATGGCATAGCGAGGCCTGGCCTGGCTCATCTCTGGAGCATTGGGATTTTTCCCACGGAAAAAAAAAAAAAAAAAATATATATATATATAGCAAGAGCAAAGCCAAGAATGTGGCTGGAGTCGGCCCCACCTGCGCTATAACAGAACGGACACCTCCAGCGTCTGGAGCCCTCCCCGAGCTCCTCCACCCTAAATAGTTTCCCCGTGGCAGAGGCAGGACCTGGGAGTGGCTTCTCCCCGCTCCGGGGGCTGCTGCTGCTCCCCGGGCCCGGCGCTTTCGCGGCTCCTCGGAGGTGATGCTGATGAGCGCTGCTAATGAGCGGTGCTAATTAACGAGCGGAGGGACCCGAGCCCGGCCCGGATCTCCTGGCAGGCGGGCAGCGGTGCCAATCCCGGCTCCGGGAGCGCCTTTTTGCCCCGGGCGAGGCGCTTGACCTTTCCCATGGCTCGGTTTCACCATCCGTGGCGTTGGCAAAGCTTTGCCAGGCTGGTTGATACCGGCACCGGGATTGAGGGCTGGATCCCTTCCGAGGTGTTCCCGCCACACTGCCCAGCCTGTCCGGCATTCCAGAGCCTTCCCAATCCTCGCTGGCCGTGGGTGAGTGCCCGGGTTCCTCTAGGAAGTGATGCGCGGGGAGATAACTGTTGCTAACTCATGGCAGTGATGAAGATGCCAAAACATCCCGGCAGACCAGTCCTGCCCGGTATCTGGGTCTCAGCAAAGGGATGATGAACTTCAGACATCCCTGATTTTACCGTGCCCAGAGATGCCTGGGGAGAGGGGAGAATCACCCCGAAGCGGCCGGGTGGGGAGGGGAGGGAAGTGGTTGGATACACACCGAGGATCTCGGTAATTATTTGTGTTTTTGGGGTGTATCTAAGCGGGTCATTGCCCAACGCAGGAGGAGAAGAGGGGCTGGTGATTCAGGCAGGAGAAAAAAATCACCATAAAAGCTGGTGATTCAGGCAGGAGAATGCATCGAGAAGCAGCATCCAGGTTGCTGAGAGTTTATGGAGTGATCTGGATGTGCCAGAGCCTCCCCTCCCCTCTCTGGGTGCTGCTGAAAGTCGGGGCACACCTGGACACCGGGATGGACAAAATGTCCTTCCACAGGACCGGTGAGATGCCTCGGAGTGGAGGACAGGAGGGGATTGTAGCAGAACAGGGCAGGAAGGAAAGGATGATGCAGGGAGCCGAAACTTTGGGGAGAATTTAGGTCAACAGAATCATTATGCAAATAGCGGCTAATGGGTCTAGAAAGGGAGGTCAGCAACCCCGCTCCTTTAGAGATCACAGGGGCCATCGAGAGCACCCGGCTGTAAAACTGCCCCTGCCGCGGGGGGTTTGTGATTCCAGCTCTGATCTGCACCGCCGGGGCTCGGGGGGGACCCCAGGGGGACCCCAGCCCACGGCTTTGGGGCAAAGGGGAGACCCGTCCCTCTTCCTGCAGTGCCAGGTGCCCCATCCAGTGCCCTCTGCAGGGCATCCCTGCTGCTCCTTTTCCCCTGCAGATTCCCCTCCAAGAGCAAGGACAAGCTTTGCCTTTGGATCACAGCACTAACCAGTGTCCTGGGCTCTTCCCAGTCCCTCCTGCCAAAAGCCTGTCTGATAAGCAGCCATGGCTTTCCCACTTTTCCCGTGATCCTGTGTCTGTTCCCAGCCTCCCTCCCAGCCCCACAGCTCTGCTCGGAATTTCCAGTTCTCCTTGGTGAATATTTTGTAGGTCCACACTCAGCAACAGCTTCTGAGGGCTGATAATCCCGCCCCAGGTCCTGGTGGTGTCTCTGATCTCCATCCCTTCTGCCACCAGACAGACCCAAGCAGCCAATTAAACCCCAGCTCTTTAATGAAATTCCCCCGCTGAGTGAAAGTGCTGGCAATCAGGAAAAATAATAAACAGAGCAGGTATAGAGGGGAAAATATCCCCATGATTAAATTCCATCTTAAACAAACAGGCTCGTGATGTCAGCGTCCCGGACAGAGTCAAGTTCTTGACTTGGCTTATCACGGCCTTGCCCAGATCAAACAGCAGCTTAAACCTCTGAGATTTGGGCATTAAAGAGCACGAGGAGCTGTGTGGCTGCTCCTTGAACAAAAGGCAAATGCAGCTGGCCTGGTGCTGGTGGGATGAGCCCACGGCAAGCTGCAGAGCTGGTTTAAACCCTGCAGCTGGGGCAGCAGCCCGGAGCAATTCCATGAGTGTGGAGGGGAGAGCGGAGTGCCAGTCAGCTGCTGCATTGCAGGGACCAGGTTTTTCAAGATCTCTCTTCCAGTTTGAGCATGGAAATAAAGGACAAGGTCTGGGAGAAGAGCTCCAAGAGCTCACGAGTTTTCAGGCAGCCCATCCCTGCAGTGGGTGATGCTCAGAAATGCAAAATTTGACCTCACTGAGTACACAAATGGGATGTGACACTCAGAGCAAACAACACATGAGAGCAGAGCTGCTCTGCTCCAGCAACGTGATGTGGGTGACCAGCATTGTCCCAGCAGGTCAGGAGCGTCCCCTCGGTCCAGACCTGGCTGATCCCAGCCCTGCCAGGCCCAGCCAGGCTGTGCATGCCAGGCATGGACCTTTTCTCCCAGAGTTCATTCTGCAAACGCACTCACTGAGCTCTTATCTGCTGTCCCCGTGCTGGTGATAGCTGTGCTTGGGAAGAGGAAAGTCACATTGAGGTTCCTGGCTGGGGTTGATAGGAGCCATTGGCACAAAGCCACTTTCCTGCGCTGACGTAGGCACAGAACAGGAGCTCCAGTCCAAGGAATGAGTCAAAATTTGGTGGGAGAGCCATCTGATCCCTGCCTTGGGCGTGACACAAGGGCCCAAACCGATCCCAGTGCTGGAGGTGGACGAATGTCCCGTTCAACCAGCTGCTTCTTAATTTCAGGGATTAAAAGTCAGTGCTCTTGAAATAACACTTCCTCCTTTGCCTGCCCCCTCTCCATCCCCCTTGCACGAGGCACACCCAGCCCTCCGTGCTGTTTGCTTCGGGACTGGGTTCAGAGGTCCAACCTCTTCCCAATCCTGTGTGAATCTCCCTCCAAAACCCCCTCCCGGCCCCATTGCCCAAGAAAGGGCCATAAAAGCAGCTCCCCCCCTTTCCCCCAGCCCAGGTCTGCTGGGAGAGCACCGGCACAGGTGCAAGGGTTTGGTTGCAACACCAGGACAAGGTCTTGACTCCTGTGCCCCCGGCCCGGTGCCTTCAGCACCCGCCTGGCTGCGGCTGCAGGTGCCACAGGAGCCCTGGGGCAGCACGGGGAAAGGGCCCAGGTCCTGCAAGGTCAGCAGGGAAAGCCACCAGTTCCCTGAGACTTGCTCTTGGTGCCAGATGTGGCAGTGCCAGATGTGGCGGTGCCAGGCTCTGCAGCGCCAGGCTCTGCAGCACCAGGCGCTCCCCCTGGCTGAACTCTCACTCGTCCTCCTGCCACACACCCGCTCCCCTCTGCCTGAGGAGAAGGAGGTTCCTGCTGTCACTCGCTCAGCTCAGGTATTTCAGAAGATGTTGTATAATTCACCTCTGCCATCGGGCACTGGCACTCCCCGGTCACTCCCTGCAACTTCCTGGCATTGGGAACATGCCAGCACCGAGTCCAGCTGATGGACCACACCAGCAACTGACCACCAAGGGACCCTAGAGTCTTCAGCTGTGCCATTTGGGCACAAATTCTTTTTCACACTCAGAATTTAGTTGATTTAGTTTTGTTTTACCTTTGGCTCTGGATGGTCACAGGCTTCACCTACAAATGAACTGATTCAGGAAGAAAAGCTGGCAGTGATAAAGGCACATCTACAGTCCCACTTTTCTGGCACAGGTATTTTGGGGAAAAAATAATTCTCAATAATCTGGGGAGGAGGAAGAAGCAGGGGCAGGGAAGCAGGGGTTGTATTGAGGGGGCTGATGCCATGCACTGGGCACACACCTTTGTCCCTGGGGTTTAACCTTTCCTTAACCTTTACCCATTAGAAATAGAAGAGGAAGGCACCAGAAGAGTATATAAATCAGTTATGAAAAATATCCATGCTTTAGAAAAGGCAAAATGCCAGAATCCATAAAATTCAGTCAAAACTTTGCATTTTCCTGTCCATTTTCCAGGAGGAACCACAGGGATGGCTGGAGGAATAGGAGCCAGAGGGAGAAGGGGGTGAAAGGAGGTGCTAACGGGCTCTGATGGATTTTGGGCAGGCAGGGGATGGGTCCTAAACCACAGTGCAGGGCCAGGAGGAGACATCTCTGCTTCCCTCCAGCCCTCACCTCCCATCCCCCTGCCCTGGGCTGCCCCTCGTCCCCTGTCAGAACTCAAAATGTCCCTCAGACATTTTTGGATGTTCCGGGCCCAGGTCAGAAGCATTTGAGACCCTGGCAGGCAGCTGGAAACAGCTGTGATTTTGGGTTTGAGCCATGGAATGATTTACCAACCTTGCAGGGAGAACAAGAAGTCACAAAAGTTTAGATATTATAGTGGAAGTAGTCACAAAGTAGAGGGAAGAATTTTTGAGTGCTGTACAGGGGGGGTTTGGTTTTGTACATGGGGGTCAGAGGGTTTAAGATGGAGGGATTTGGGCCTGCCCTGTCCTCCCTCTTTCTTCTTCCTTCCCTCCATGTTCTTGTTGGTGTTGGCACTCACAGATTGGTTTAGAGTAGAAAAGCACCATTTAATATAGGTAATGGGCATTGGGGAAAAACTGTAACATGTAACACGTAATGTACCATATAAAAGATAGAAAAGCACCATTTAATATAGGCAATGGGCATTGGGGAAAAACTGTACCCATGTAACACATAATGTACCATATAAAAGACAGCAGCAGCCCTGGGCAGAGGGGGAGAGAAGAAGCAGTCGGGAGTCAGAGAGGATGTCAGGGTGTGTGTGTGCCTCTGCCTGAGCTGGGAGCAAACCACAGCAGCCCCAGAAGAAAATCTTTTAGATAACTTGCAATAAACTGCCTTGAGACCGAACAGCAGAGACTGCTGAGCCTTTCTTTGGAAGCACGGGTTGGAGGAGAAGTTTTTCCACCACACGAAGCCACCCCTGGCCTAGGGTGGGCTCTGACAGTCCCTCAGGATCCCCCATCCCACTGCCCCACTCCTGCACCTTCACCACACAACACCAGGCATTAAACCAACGTTTTCTCTCCGTTCAGGTGCAATATTTGGGGTGTTCAGCAGGTGATTTCCATGAGGCAGATGGTCATTTTCTCCTTGTGAGTGACCCAGCCCAGTGCAGGCCGCGGGCAGAGCTCTTGTGCTGCCGCTGCTGGGCCGGTGCCAATGTTTGATGTACCACTTCACACGAGTTTCTAACCAAACTAGCTCTGTGCCCGGTAACCAGAATAAAATCTGCAGGCATCTGCCAGCTCCTGAGGGTAAAGCAGAAGTGTTTGGCTCACGGGGTGTTTATTAAGTGAAATGTTTCTACTCAGCAGCTCGGCTCCTGCACTTTGCTGTGAGGGAGCAAATGCTGTGGGCACAGGGGATCTGCCCTGCACCAACAGCAAGGAGAAACACCCAGGCTGGACCCGCTTTCCGTGGGATTTGTTTGATTTACCCACTTTTTCCCAACCCCACCCCAACTCTCAGTTGCTGTTGGAGCTTCATCAGCACCATAGCCCTGCAAGGAAGGGCTGGGCTGGGGCGAGGCATCGGGCACATGGCCTGGGGTGCTGCTTTGGGGTGTCCATCCCAAAGTATCTATGTCTGTATGGGCATCCCAAAAGCTTCCCTGCCCTGCCGTACCCCCAGGCTGTCACCTGGCAGAGTGTAGCAGAGCAGTGCCTGACCCCAACAGCATCTCAGCCCAGTCCCTGGAAGTGTTGTCTCCATCCCCTTCCCATGGAAAAGGCAGCTGGGATGGGCAGGAGTGAACTGGAAAGGGCATTTAAAGGAAGGAGAAGTGAGACTTTGTTGTCCGTCTGTGCCACAGTCTCTGTTCTTCACCTGTCTCTGACACAGACCTTTGAAGAGCAGTGGGCAAGGTAAATCCTGAGAATTACAAAGTTTGCAGCGTTCCTGCAGCTCCTGCCAGCACTGATCTGGGATGCCTGCTGAGAGCTCACTCCTCCACATGCTCTCTCCCCTGTGGATCCACTTTTGGAGAAGGAAAAACACCTCTGGGGTCACCCCGTCCATGCTGTCCTGGAGGTGGAGGATGGGACAGCATTTCTGTGCTGGGAATCTCTGACCCGGGGCAGACACACGGTGTGACCAGGACAAATCTCACTGCAGGGACTTATCTCAGAGGGAAAGAAGGACAGGCCCCCAGCTCCAGGTTTCAGCCTGCTTACAAATAAGGTGTGGACAAATTTATTCAGGTCAGAGCAGAAGGCATCCCAGCTGCGGGAACTGCAATTTTCCACCATGGAGCAAGACTGAGAGGATATTTCCTCTTGCTTATATATGAAGGAGCCTGCCCAAATTGGACCTAAACATCCCTTGAAAGGGCACTGGGAGGAGCTGGAGACCCTGCCTGCAGTGTGACAGGTCTCAGTCTGGGAGCACTCCTCATTCCCAGCTTTATAATTCCCTCCTAACCTGACTGTGAGCACAGGATGCCCTGTGCAGCCAAATCCCCTTTCCTGGGCCGGATTCCTGTGCGCAGCCAGTGCTTCCCAACCACTGCCTGCAGGCTCTGGGCTCCACATCCCTCCCCTCTATCCCGGGATGTGCAACACCCAGTTTGGGCTGCAACATCCTCAGGGCAGGGACCACTTTCCACAGTCCCACGCTCAGAAAGTTCTGGTCATAACAAGGGTCCAGAAACTGAGTGTTTCTCATCAGTGTTGCCTGTCCTATATCAGGCAAATCCCTCCACACATCTCAGCAGGAACCAGGCAGGATAAGATGGCAGGATTTATTCTAGCAATAATTAATTCACATATTTGGCTCTTGCAGCCTCTCTCTTCATAATAAATCAAGCTGCTGGATCGTTGGTGTTGCTAATTCCTGAGTAAATCTGCCGCCGTAAATCCCCTTGGTGAAAGAAGGGAGGAAAAGAGAAGTGGGGAAAAGGAAAGGAAAAAAAATAAAAAGAGAAAAAAAAAAAAAGAAGTACCAGTTCTCCAAATAATGCGCCTCACACCCAGTGGCTGTGCAAGCGGAGTGTAAATCCCCCACGCCCACCCAGACAAAGAGCCCGATTGTTGGAGGTACCTGCGCCCGGGGAAGCGGCCGATGGCGCGGGGTGCGGATGGGGCAGGAGAGGTGCTGCCAGGAGCTGTGCAGAGGTCTGCGCTCCAAGGGCCCGTGAGTCATTTATAAATCACCCCAGTCAAGGGGACCGAGGGCTGTGCTCGGCGCCTGATTGGCTTGAGGAGCTAATTGCCAGCAGGTACACCCAGGCTAAGCCCAGGAGATAGCCTGGGGAGATAAGGGGAGATCTGAAGAGGCAGAAGAGCTTTTTTGGATGTCCCCCCCTCACCCCACCCCTTCCCGCTCCGGCCTGAGCCGTTTGATCCCCTCTGCGGGTCCCTCCGTGCTCTGGGTGACAATATCCCATTTTCCCGTCACCCCGGCCCCCTCCCGCGGCTGCCCCGGGCCGGGGGCGGCAGGAGATGCTTTTGTCGGCCGCGGTGGGCAGCGCCTGCCCGGCCTTTGAGCTCGGCCGATTCCCCTCCCCCGGGATGGACAATGGGGCGCTTTGTGCCAGCGCCCGACCCCGGCAGCGGAGAGCGGAGTTTCTCTCATTTCCACGTTCAAAGGGATGAGAGGAGCGGGGGAGAGAGGGGAAGCGCCGCTGCCGGCCCGGGGCTCGGGCTGTGGGAGCTCTCGGGGATGCTCCACTGCCGGCCCGGGGCTGGGGCTGTGGGAGCTCTCGGGGATGCTCTATCTGCCATCAGCCTGGCAGGCACGGTCCCGGCAGGAGCCGCACCTGGCCGCCAGCTCCTCCGCACGGGGTCGGACAGGTTCTCCCGACGCCCCCGGCGGGGCACAGCGATCCGCCGGGAGGGGCCGGCCGGGAGCTGCAGCTCGGGAGCCGCCCCGGAGGTGCTGCTCCATCTCCTGGCGTGGGAGCTGCCAGGGAGAGGCGGCTTTTGGAACGGGAAAAGCTCCTGGGACAGAGGAGCTGGCAGCTCAGAGCAGGGGACACGGCTCATCCCGTGCTGCCATCGTGTCCAATCCATGGCAGCGCCACTGTGCTGAGTTGGGGCCAGGATTCTGATGCTCTTCTCCAGGATCCTGATCTCCTCTCCTCTCCAGGCTCCTGGACTCCTCTCTTCTCCACGATCCTGATCTCTCTTCTTCAGGATCCCTGATCTCCTCCCTTCTCCAGGATCCCTGGGCTCCTCTCTTCTCCAGGCTCCCAGACTCTTCTTATGTCCAGGATCCTGATCTCTCTTCTCCAGGATCCTGATCTCCTCTCCAGGCTCTTGGACTCCTCTCTTCTCCACGATCCTGATCTCTCTTCTTCAGGATCCCTAATCTCCTCCCTTCTCCAGGATCCCTGGACTCCTCTCTTCTCCAGGCTCCCAGACTCTTCTCATGTCCAGGATCCTAATCTGTCTTCTCCAGGATCCTAATCTCCTCTCATGTCCAGGCTCTTGGACTCCTCTCTTTTCCAGGTTCCTGGACTACTCTCCTCTCCAGGCTCCTGGATTCTTCTCGTGTCCAGGATCCTGATCTCTCTTCTCCAGGAGTCCTGATCTCTCTTCTCCAGGATCCTGATCTCTCTTCTCCAGGATCCTGATCTCCTCTCTTTCTTCTCCAGGCTCCTGTACACCTCTCCTCTCCACCCAGAGGGATTTGAGAGTGCAGGAGCCAGGATACTGCAGGTGATGAGATGGACAGGGACATCAGCACGGAATGGGATGAGGAACGGGACAGGAACATGTCCCCAAAGGAATTGGCCACCAGAAAGGAGCTGCAGGGGGTTTTTTGTTGTGGAGGAACTGGTCCCTCATGTTCCCATTGTCCCCAAGGGCAGCTTGGCACGGGGTGCTCACAGGGGTGGCTCTGCTGCCCTCCCTCCTCTGGGAGTCACCGGGATGTGCTGGAAAACAATGGGAAAAGGGAGCAGGAGAGGGACACAAGGGCGGGGAACCCACGGCTGGGCTGAGCAGAGGGCGGAAGGCAGCGGTGCAGGCTGTGCTCGCTCCCAGAGTAAAAATTCCTGGTACCTTGTGCACGCTCGAGGCATCGGCAGCTCCTGCCAAGAAGGCTCATGGTATGGGAATCAATCATGGTGTCTGGAGCACGCCAGAGGAACACCCTGCCCAGGGTGCCCAGGGAAGGGGCTGATTCATCGCCATCTGACCGACAGAGGTAATCACTGCCGAGCACTTATCCTGTAAATATCATTAATAACTCCTATCGAGTGGGGTTTTTCTTACAGGACAGCCTGAGAGGAGCGGAGCCCTGTGGGACAGGAACGCGTGGCACGGCAGCAGGAGCAGCCCACGAGTGTTCCCAGAGGCTCCTGACACAGAGCAAATCCCAGGAACACAGAGCTCCAGCATCCACAGGGATCCTACACCATGGAAAGAGGGGGAACAGCATCCCAGCTGATGCTAATTAACTTCCAGGGCTAATGTGCAGGGTTAATTAGCTGGAGCGTTCATGCCAAAAGGGACTTTTGCCAGGAGTAAAGGGCATTTTTCCTAGCGAAGCTCCACTGGAGAAAGACAAAAGGTAACATTCCAAAGCTGGTTCCCAGAGTGAGGGAAACAGGAGCAGCTGGTGCTGCTCATCCTCGGAGCTGCTCTGTGCACCAGGCACAGGGAGGGCCCAGAAGATCCATGCCAGGACCATGGAATGCCACTGACCCCTGGCACAGGCAGGAAAGCGCTGTCTGGGCACTCTAAGACATAAAACCACCCCAAAGAGACTCAGTGCTGCACTTGCTGGGGCTTGGACTGGGATGCTGGCTGGGCTGGAGTCCAGCTGGATGGATTTTTGTCTCCCCGGTGCTCACAAAACCCAATGAAGTTCTCAACCATGTGCGAGGTGGTTTTTCCACAGGGAATGACACCAGGCCTTCGTGCTCTCCCTGTCCCTCCTGCACAGATGGATTCCCTCTTGCTTCCTGCTGCCTGTGGCAGGAGCTGCTATTCCAAAGTCCTGCTGGGTGTGATCAGGATAAAACGAAGTCTTGCCCTGCAAAGAACCCAGCCCTGTGCAGCCACCGATGGTCCTGGGGCATTTCTGGTGCGGGAGGCACAGTCCTGGTCAAATTCCATTTTCAGTAATTATAAATACAACCCATTCTGCCTCTTTCTGCTCTGACCAAACTGCCCACGCGTGGCCCGAGGATGTGACCACCCACAGAGCATCCAGGATGGTGTGCAAGGCATGGATGAATGTTTGGGAAGCTGGGGAGCACTGGGACATGGAAGGACACCCCAGGGACTCCCCAGGTCAGCCTGGGGTGCACAGAGTGCTGAGCTGGTTATCTCCTGGGCTGATAGCAGCATTCCACGTGCTGGAATGTGTGGGTTCATTTGCAGATGATTAATTTTAGATGATACGTTGAACTTAACGGGACGATAATTCAGTGGTAATAATTCAGTGGTAATAATTCAGTGGGAGGCTGAGGCTGGGGGCAGCAGGGGCAGGCAGCCATGCCCTGGGGCAGAGGGAGCTGGTTCCTGGGAGATGATGGGACCTGTAGGGAGCCTTCTTTTCTTTATCCTTCCCTCCCATCCCCATCCCCACCCCTGCAGCCAGAGCTGCTCCTCATTTTTGGGTGGTTTTGCTGAGGAAACGGGGCTTGTGCAGGCACAGGTGTGGGAAGGATGTGGGGTTTGGGATGGAAATGCTGCAGGTGGGGTGGGGCAGCCTCTGAGGAGGGAATCTGGGGCTTCCGTGAGGATCTGAGAGGTGCTGAACAGGTTGAGAGATGCTGGGGGCTTGTTCCTCATGGCTGACGAGTGCTCAGGCTGTGACACCTACACAGGCGGGGTGTCCTGCTTCCCTGTCTGTCTGTCTGTCTGACCCTTCAGGAGCATTTCAAACCCCTCAGCCAGGTGGGAAAGCAGAGATCTGGGCTGCCAAATTCCTACAGGAACGAGGTGACCATTCCTGGAGCAGGCAATGGCCGTGCCCAGAGCTGCAGGATGCTCTGAGCTGCCGGGAGGGCGGGCAGGGGTTGGCACTGCCGGTGTCACCACGGGCACTGCACAGAGCTCTGACATTCCCAGGGCTGGTTATCACCATTTCCTGCTCCCCCAGGAATGCAGGGCCCGGGCTGGATGCCACCATCCCGCTGGCTCCGTGGTGCCAGGGCTGGAGCCACGGCTGCCACCTGAAAGGGAACCGCTGGCACTGCCACCCCCGCTCGGTGTCACCGGCTGGCACAGGGGACAGCGGCCTGATCCGGGCAGGAATGAGGAACACCATGCCCCAGAGGAGGCAGCAGGATTATTTACAGCACCAAAATGAAGGCTGGAATGCAGGAAGGCTTCGGGAGGTTCGAGCTGCCCCCGTGGCTCGGCAGCGCGGGGGCGTTTGGGGCCCTTCGGCTCTCGGGGCTGGGAGAGGCTCTGGGGTTTTGGGGTTTATCTCTGGGGGAATTGCTGGGTCACAGCTCCTTCCTCAGGGCTTTTCCAGCCTGCCCCAGCCCTGTGGGGACATCTCCAGAGGCAAGGGAAGGGCCACGCCGCTGCTGGGACCGTGTCACCTGCGTGTGTCTGTGGGGTCAGCCCTGTCACCGCCTCTTCTTCACAGGGGAGCTCCTCCCGGGGCTGCAGCAGCAGGGTTGGCACGGGCACACCCCCAAATTGAAGGATTTGTGGGGTGAGACACTCTGGCTTGGGGAGCAGAGCGCGTTTGGCTGGTCAGAGCCAACCCTACCAATCCAAATTTCTGTCTGGAGCACCACAAGGATCTCCAGAGGAATCATCACCCCCAAAAAACCCTGCCCAGCCCACAGAGAGCACCTGGCACACACCTGGGCAGTGTGCCCTCACCTGGGACTGGCCCGTGCTCTCTGGACAACCCCCAGGTCACCTTGAGCAAGGGCTGTTATCTTATTTGTAAAATAGGTGTAGGATATCTGCCAGATGCTGGGGAGCTCCAAATCTGCTCAGCAAGGTCTGCCCGAGGCCTAGGGACACCAGCAGCTCCTGGGGCTAGGTGGGAGCAGCCCCAGCATCAAAAATTCCTGCCCTTGGAGCAGCCCTGAAGTGTTGGGGGCCCCCAGGCCAAGGGGTGCCAGTGGAGCATCCAATTCTCCTGGAATTTGGGCTGGGGGCTGGCTCCAGGCATTGCCTCCCCCACCCCTCAAGGCTTCCTCTGACCCAGCAAAGTCAACCCAAATGAGGTTTTTTCACTTAAACCATTGAATTCCTGTGAAGGGAGGTTTCCCAATCTGAAAAAAAAAAAAAAAAAGGAATTTCCCCCCCCCCCAAAAAAAAAAAAAAAAAAAAAAAAAG